AGGATCGTTAAATGAATAGTAATTTTCAATTAACTATTTTCGTCAACCAAGAAAACCATTGCAATGCTCAAAATAGACTTTATATCACAAAACGAAACCAAATATATGAGATAAATTTAAACTTGCGCGAAACGTTACTGCGTAAACCATTTAGGGTTTTAATTGCGGGCGAGTAGGAGTATAATTACTCTAAGCTAATTAGAACTAATGCCTAACGACGCTATTTGATATAATAAACATGAATTTCTGTAATAACAACTTTGCTCTTTAACTACAGCTTGTATTGGAAGTCAGTTTTAGTCTTTGCAATTATAACAAAGAAGTTTATTTGGAAAATATCCTTCTTTTAAGTTTCATACACACAAAGAAGCCTTAGCCTGTTTATAACAATTTCTTAATAGAATAATAAAAGTCGAAAACCATACAAATTCATGCCTAAATCTATGGTTAGAGGAATTCATCCTTTAAATTGGCGAATTTAAATCTACATTTGCCAATCACTGTATGTTAGCTGTAGCTTGTATAGTTGTTTTATGAAGTACCAAATATAAAATTGGTCTGATAGTTGAAAACCACGCAGTAGTTTTCGTTCTCAATTTGGCTATATCCAGATATTTGGATAAAACTATGATTTCTATTTCACTGTGCTTTAAGACTTAATAATATAAAAGTGTACTAAATATTGTAAAAATATTTTGAAGACATGAATTTATAGTAGATTAATAAAATAATTTTAATTACTTATGTTGTACTAATTACTAACATTTAGGAAGAAAACAATAGAACTGTAAAATTTTTGTTCATGTCTTTATCAATCTTCTAAACTTATCACAATTTATCTCACAGTTTTCTTTCATATTTTTATTCCATTTTCCTCTTGACCTTAGCGTGTTTCAGGACTCCGGCGTTACTTTTTTATTTATAAATGACATTTCAATAACAAGACGGACCTAATTCTTTAGCCCATTAACCGTATTTTAGACAGTAAATACGTAAATGAAATTCATTAAAGAAAGTTCAATTATTCAGTACAATTATCGTCTGCGTATGCAATACAGGAGTTTCAATAAATACAACTGTACTCCAAAACCATCTAATATTACTACAATCGGATCCATTCCAACACATTTCAAGATTCTCGAGAGGAACAAGCGAGTGATGATATTAAAAAAAGACAAAAGGAAACGCCATTACATGAATTCGTAATATATTTGAACAGAAAAGATATGGTTTTTATTATTCACGTGATTATATTGTAAAATCTCCCACGAAACAGGCATTCAACTGTATAATACCAATATACAGGGTGACTGGTGAATTACTATCAATATTTAAGGAGCATACTCGGTACATGATTCTCATTCGGATTATATAAAAAAAATAGGTACTTAATTTTTGACCAAATTTCCTTATTAATAAATAAAGTGTGTACACGTTCCAAGTGTTCCATGTGTGGACGCGTGCGGCGGCGTGCTGATACAACAACACGCCGCCGCGCGCGAGTGTGTGTGTGTGTATACCTAATCTGTAGGGTGTTCATACGATGCGTAATTAATTACATAACTTTAGGTTAACTTTACTTAGAAGTTTATTAATATTTATGTTATATTAATTTTTATTTTGTCATATATGATCGTCAAATACCACGTCCTCAAATATCGATAGTAATTCACCAGTCACCCTGTATACAGTTAAATGTGTGTATGAAAGAAATGTGTGTGTGTGAAAAAACATGCGTGTGTGTGAAAAAACATGTGTGTGTGTGCGTGTGTGTGTGTGTGTGTGTGTGTGTGTGTGAATGTATAAAAATTAAATGAAATTCTTAGTTGCTCCGAGTAAAGAAAAACCATTGAGACTACTAGGGAAATGTCTTAAGTTTAAAAATAGTATCAGAGACCGAGTCAATTTTATGTTTGTAACAAGTAACGGTCCGGCTCACACTTGACCGCTTTAATTATTTCTCCCGCCAGAAGTGCTTGTATACGTTACACTAAACTTTAAATAAACATTGGAATGGAATATATGATGTTTGTTGAATGTTTTCGAATATATATTTAATTAAAAGCGTTACAATATAAAAAGATTAATAAGAAAACTATATTTAAATCAAACTTTTTTCATAATAACATATATGTATTTAATTGTAAAGTCTTTTTTTTAAACCTTTGTCTATTTTTTTTTTTTGGTAAAATAAACACGTTTTTGACAGAATTACTAGTAAGTTACAAATAAAACACTATCAGACTAAAATAACTAGTTTAACTAAATATAAGCGATTAATCTTCAGAGACTTAATGCATAACAATTTGTCATTATTATTATTATATTATATTTCTGAACGGATGTTTTTAAAATTTCAAAATTAGAATAGCATGTCACAGATTATTATTTTTCGTTGTATATTTTTGCATTACGTTCTATTAAAATAAGTCAAATGCTTTTAATTTTGATGGCCATTAAAATTCTAATACATATTTTGTGTATAATAAATACATATAGTATATAATTATGGTCCACATCTGCAATGCGACTTCATACTTGACTCTCATCACAATCCACAATCATCTACATTTTACGTGGCAGCGTTTTAACTTTAATTTCAAACTCTCTCAATATATCATTTAAAAATGCAATTCTTAAAAGCGTACTGAATACATATGATTATTTTTAAACCTCTTCCATTGTAACGCTGTGCATTTGTGTATAATTTTAATTGGATATGCTTTGTAAATAAAATTTTTATTTCGTTTTCGATTACAATTCATCTATTTACAACCTATATAGTCTATTTTTATCTGTGTATATTAATTTTCATTTGACATTGACATTTCGCTTTATTGAAATGACAGGTAACTTTTTTTAGGTCTTGCTAAACTTAGCGCCAATATTAAATTTATTTGATAACCTATACAGAACTTATTAAAACTAATAAATAAATTATTAGTAAGATACAAAGGTCTATTTTATGATGCTTGTCACATGTGCCTCTGCAAGGTGTTACAATCTATCACGACTAGGCCGAATGACGTCACCATGACACCGACATCGCGCCAAAATGTCGCGTCATAAACAGTTATAATTATTTAATTATCTATACATAACTCTTGTTATTTACAATAGACGTATTTGTGATATATTTTTATTAAAATATCTTGTTAATGAATTACATTAATGGAAACTTTCTAGTAAAGACGAAACATGTAACACTTGACTTACTTATTCTGTATTAAATATTACAACTTTTTTATTGTAGATTTATTTTGTATCTACAGAAAAACGGATATATTGTTATTAATGTTTTATTCCCTGCATTTTTTCTATAAATATACGAAAAAAATATAATAATTCGGATATTACTGTAGCTATTATTTTTGTGGATATATTTAATAGATTAAAAAACTGTAGTCATGTAGCAAAACATAATTATAACACAATGCCATTCATATTTGAATGTAAGATAACAAGATTGAAATTTGTATGACATTTGTGTTGCCTTGAACGAATGATTTGAAGTAAATACGAGTATAACAAAATTTTATTAAATTCAAAAAACAACTAATATATTCATTGTTATTTCACAATTACACTGAAGAGAGGGAAGGAATTAAGAAAGTAATCATACCTCAAAAATGTGAAAAGACCTGATACTCTTACACTGCTAAGCCGAAATTAACCAAACAAAACAGAAAACACAGCAAGGAAAATGGCTATGAATGTCTATTATATTAAAAAAAACGCATCTTGTAAGATCCATTTAAGAGATGCGTTGCCCAAGACAGACATATAGATTTCGTTAATCTTCAATCTCATAACACCCCTTTGCGATTGATGAGTAAAGAGAAAAAAGGTAAAGAAGTATTTAATAGTTCTATATGATTTTGGAACTCAATATACTTGTATACTTAAAACTCAATAATAATAAGAATTCACAGGTTTTTGTTGATGATAATATGATATTAATTTTCTTATATATCTTCCAATATATATGTTTATATATAAATCTGTAATATATTTGTATATGCCCATAGTAAAGGTAGCAGGAACAAAGTACTACACATACAAACAGCGTGAACTTCCTTAAGTGGGTTTTTCTTCCTCATATTTAAACTTTCATGTATATTTAAATCTTTTCTTCATTAAATAAAGAACACTAGCTTCTGACCGCGTCTTCGTTTGATAAATGGAATTTGTCTCATAGTACGTAAATATTAGTTTTTTATTTAAATGTATAATGCTGTTAGACCCGTTAAAATATTAGATTACGACCAAAAATATACTGTAATTTTTAATTTTAAATATTGTAATTTTTAAGTTCACAGTCTCAATTGTACTAAATCATTTGTAACCCGGATTTTAATGAACACGCGACTAAATTAAAACAGAACGTTTAATATTTTAGGTGGTTTAAAAATATGTCAAATTAATTTTAATTTTGTTGATTTAGCTGAACTAGGTTTGTTTAAAGTGCTATAAAATTTTTGGACTAAAAAAGTAATTACTATCTATATTATCCTTTCATATTACATTTAATATATTTAATTTCGTCAGATTTTGTAATAATAAGCCGCTTTTAATACTATACTATACTTTTAAGCTAATTTTGATCATTCAAGGATTTTTCTTTGTTTTAGTATCGAGAACAAATGTAGTAAGTAGACGTAGAAGTAGACACTGCAGACATTTAAATTCGCAGGTTAATCAAATGATACATTTTAGATGCGCTCTCATAAATTGTTTAAAGAGTTCCTCCGAAATAAACCGCAGTAATCCTCGCTATATTCACATTTAAACCTCTTTATATATTATTCAACCTGACATTCTGTCATAACAGTCTAATTTCGATTTTAAAATAAAAATTTTACGACTATTAAAAATTTATAAACTGCTCCGAGCGTATTAGATAATTTTAATATTATATTACAGATCATACTTTATAAAATTTTGATGCATTTTAGGGCGAAAAAAAAAACTTTCCCGCCAAAAAGTTTATATATGTTATGTCACTTACCGATTTTTTTCTCGGGTGTGGATTCCTGGTGAGTCCTTAGTAATTGTAGTGCGAACTCCGTCCCAACTTCTTCGGAGCGCGGGCAGGGTACATATGCGTACTGTTTCTTTGTCGGCGCCGGGGCGGGCGCGACGCGGTGCCTACTCCGGTCGGCCATGCGGCGTCTGACGCTGAAACTGTACTCCAGTGCTGCCAACTACAATATATATTTACCCCGGACCGTGTTTGTCGATACAATTTGAATCGTTTATTTTATGACTTTTCTGATAAATAATTTTTTATTTCTTTACACAATTTAAATCTTTCTCGTTATGAAGTATACATCAAATTATTTCATGTTAAATCCTTTAATTGCAATTAAGGATACTTCATATATAAATTTGTTTTCAATTATTATGAAGAATAATGTGAAAATCATTCAAGATTTAATACGTTTTATATCTCCCTAAATTTGAGAAAAATTGTTCGGATACTGGCCACACTGTCACTGCCGCAGCCAACGCGCGGTCTTATCGATAAAGCGCGCGTATTCTCTTAATTTTCACAACAACCGATAATTGTACCATTACTAGCTCACTTGTTTCGAAACAAAGGCGTTTATAGCATGATAACTTCCCTTTAACTTGGTAATGTGTTTGAAAGCTTTCGGAAATGCCACCATTTCTCAAATATATGACGCGTTAAGTAAACCTTTGCGTCCATAACACTTTGTTTAACCGTCCCTTGTTTAACTGAATTTTTATAAAAAGTCCGATCTGTGTCAAAGATACGTAAAAATTAAGAAATGTAATTTAAATAACTACTACAAATACTCCGAAATGGCATGTTATGTTTTTTATTTTAATTTACAGTACTGTAACCGTAATTTTCAGAAATTTAATTATTTATATTGTAAATATGAATTATGTTTTATTTATTCAAATGACTCACAAACAGATAATTACGACAACTATAGAAATAATTTTACTAAGACCTATGTAAAACATTATTCGATTTGATTGACTAAAAAGTTTTTAATATCACTGCGCAGGGAATTTTAATAACTTATACATTAATACTTTTTGTTAACAGGCTGTATGGACTATGCATAATATTTTTGTATTACTTTTAATTTCTAACAATACAAAGTAAACAGTGCAACACTGGTTATGTCATTGCGCGCGCAATGATCGTTCTTATCCCGCACCAGGGTCGATAGCACGTGCGGGAACGCTGCATTAGAAAAATATACTTTAATTTATTCTAAAAGACCTTAAAAACGTATTTAAACATAATCTAAGCATACTAATCAACAAAATTTTATAATTTTTTTTTTTATTAAAACCTCTTTTTAATCCAGTCTGTTTGGCTGTAAACATTAGGATCTTTATATTTATAAAAAAAAACAAATATATGTTGAAAGAATGAATTACATGTTATACAAAATGTGATAAATTATTTTTAATTATACATTATTTTAAGGTATTATTCAAGTAGCATTTAAAATGTTTCCGATTGTATTATTATTTATAATAGCACGACAGTTTAATTTATCCGCATGTAAAGTTTCGACTTACAACGAGGCGTAAACTTTTCCCGCAGTGAAAAGTAAACTTTGTTTGTAATGGGAACTCATAAATTACATTTTTTTTTAATGTTTAGCGTCGAATACCTTCCTTTGTTTTATCTTTTTTTGTTTGAAACATCAAAATCCTCATATACATAGATACGTAATATATGACATAAATATTCCTAAACTTACAAAATAGTTTTTATATATTTTTCCAGAGCTCAACAAAATACAACTGGCACATAAAATAGACTTCAACTTTAAATTTTTAAATAAAAATCTGAGTCCATTCTAAAAAGTAAATATATTATTCTGTACTACGAGGTTTTCGATAGTTTAGTGACATATATATTTATGAATATTGGTAACGGTCACGCTATGCAAACTACGTGTGAACGGTTGTAAATTTTACTTGGCTTTACATAGAGCTAACTGCTTTAAATGGATTATCTTCTATCTTCTATATATATAAAAATGGATTGCTGTTCCTTAGTCTCGCTAAAACTTGAGAACGGCTGAACCGATTTGGCTAATTTTAGTCTTGAAATACTCCTGGAAGTCCACTGAAGGTATAAAAGGTGAGAAAAATTGGAACAATTGCCGGGAAAATCCTAAAAACAGCCCTTTTCTATTTCCCATACAAATGTTTTTTTTGACATTCGATTTGACAACTAACTAATATGTTAATCATTCTGTTTGATTGAAACAGGAAAACCTGATTATTTATGGCCTCTAAAACGGAATAGAGTTCGCCTGGTCAGCTATACCTGCATATATACCTACATATATTACTCTTGATCAAACTAACGCGGACGAAGTCGCGGGCAAAAACTAGTATTTCATATAAATAAACTCTTTAAAGGTTGATATATATATGTATAATATTTGGTTCAGAATATTAAGAAGAAAGATTATTTAGTGTTATCAACTTTTTTTTAATCCTATCACAGTCCACTGCTGAGCAAAGGCCTCTTTTCTCACATCGAGAAGGTTTGAGCATTAATCACCACGCTTGCTCAAGACGGGTTGGTGATTTCAAACTTATAATAAGAAATTATAAGTCCTTGCTACCTCACGATGTTTTCATTCGCCGTCTGTCAGTGGTGTCTAAATACTCTTAGAAAGTACTGTATATGAGTCGAAAAAATCACTGTATTAAATTAAAAACGTCATATAATTTACATTATATGTTTGTTTGAATCTAATTATCTCTTGTTTAATCCGTAGTTGTCTCCGAAAAGGCTAAAACGTTTTTTTCTTATTGTTTGTATGAGAGAAAAGTTTTTCAGAGCATATCTTGTCATTTCAAAAACATATAAAAAAATTATTGCAATCCTAAAATTCCCTTAACAATTCTTATGTTTCGGAATGGTTTATACAAAATACATTTTTATTAGTATTATATCGCTTTAGACCCGGCACCCTCATATTGAATCCATGGAATGCTGAGAGATTTCGTCTCTTTACATTTATATTTACTTTTACCTCTTTTACTTTCCCAACAATATTTTAATCTTTAATTTTCTGAAAAACAATAAAATGTATAAATATAGAATTCTTAAACTTTCTGCTGGTCTATCAAGATAACAAATTATTAATGTCAATACAAGAAATATAAGAAGAAGAGACCAGTACAATTTCAATAACAGGTTATAAAAAGCTTACGTGGAATATCATTTCTGCTTCCCGTTTGGAAAAGAATGAGAATTGTCTTATGAAAGCCTGCTTCACTTACTTTACTTTACTTAACAACCAAAGCTTTGTGACCAAATGGTGGCGGTAGGTCAACAAAAAGTTGAGCATCCTTAAATGGTAATCCTAATTGACTGTAAGGGCGCCACTAGATATAGGTCTCAAAAACAGCGATCTTCAACCAATTAGGAGGTTTGTTAAAAAAGCTTAACTTCACAAGTTGACGATGATTGGCCGATGAAGATTATGAACATAGAGATCACGTGATGAAAGTAATAATTATTACTTTGTCAACATTTATCAAAAAAAAATACACTTAATCAATACCTATATGTTAGGTTTGAAATTGTCTTAAGAAAAGAGTAATTTCAAAAACACTAGTTTTTTTATAGCCAATATTAGATTAATAAATACAATTGTATTTATTTCATTTCATTGAGATAAACTTATATTCGCTCTCATTTCTCTATTTGGATTCGTCAGAGTTACTAATACCAAATAAAATTATTTCATTTAACATTCAAAGTACTATTTTACATGAAAAAACAGTTATTCATATGAGAATCTTAAATATGTATCAGATGTCAGATCTTCAGCTAAAGTAAACACATGTAGCAGTACGATCTCCTCATTCTTAGTCACTAGGTCACGTCTACAAAAGAATTATAAAACCAAATACCTTTTTACTCGTCGATGCATAGTTGCAAACAAACATTTTAAAATTCAAATACAACTCTGTATAATTCAAAAAAGTTTAAATGCTTTTATCTCATTGGATATAAAACAATATTTTAAAGAATCAAAAAATAACTTCATACAAATCAATATTAAGAATAATATAATTAAAAATTACGACTCACTAATTTTAAATAACGTGATAATAGAGAATATATTGTAATCGTAAATGTCTTAAAAGTACGAAACAATACTTGATTTGATAAAAATTATTCATTATACAACTGAGATAGCATGTATCATATGAAAATAATCTTACAAATTGACTGGATGTAGAGAGGCAACAGAATTAGTGATTGCGGTTTTTATTGCAGTGGCTTTTGAGCTAGTTGGATGCAATGCGGGATTTTTAGTTGTCAGAAATCTTGTTATTTTTATTGCAGGTTCTTCTGAAACGTTTTGCGTCATTGGGAATTGGTTTTAGTACACTTTAAATTTGTTTTCCAAACATGAAACAAACGTGTACAGTATTTAAAACTGATATTGAAAGTTAATTAGTGAATTTTTTACTTCAAGGATTTTTGATGTCTAAAGATTGAGTTCTTGGCTTTTAGTTTCGATGAGGTCTTTACTTAGCTTACTTTTATGATATTCTAATATGATGTATACAATTCGCAAGTCCCAAGCACTGTTGAAGCTCCTCTCCCTGCAATGATGGACCCGCACCCGCACGGTGAATCCAAGGAATGCTAAGAGGTTTCGCCTCATATTCTAAATACCTTCCAAAAACACACAGTAATTAAATAACATAATGACTTGACAATGACTTTATATAAAATTTTAAAGTAATTTAGTTTCTATATTACAAAATGTGAGATAGTTTAATGTTATTTAGATTTAAGCCAAATAACAAAGAAATTGACTTCGAAAAATAATTAATTTGAGCGAAAGCCGCACATTTGTAAACGGGAAGGGAGATATATCCGTGTCAAATTTGTCCTTGGTATGAATCTTTGTCTAGTCAGATTCACGACAATACAAAATAAACTAGTTTTAGAAATTTTGAATTTTATTCTATGGAATCTATCGTAAGTATCGTATGTTTGTAACTACGACCATTTTTACCACCTTTAAAGAAGATGTAGTTATTAATTCGACTATATATTTGTCGCTCTATTACACTTTAAAATGTACGCTGATTTTCAACATAATTTTTATATTTCAACGACCTTTATCCTGAGGTACTCCTAATGAAATCAAATCAGAAACTAATGAAGGGATCTTCGTAAAATCAAATGAAAGCCTTTAAAAATGATGCAGGATTTCTCCAATGGGTTTCATACGGCTAAGGCCGCTGGTAGCAGCTAGTACGTGAATAAAATTTAAGTATCAGTTTTTAAGAATTTAGCTTTCTTTATAAGCTAAAATGATAGTCTATTTTCTCTAATTAATGTCCAAATCATTCGTTCTTTGTTTGATAGAACTTAAGTTAATTTTCTTATGAAAACTCCTTGTTATTTTATATTGACTGTATTATTATGGCCGCAGCTGATAGCATATTATTAAGAGTATTTATGTCGTAAACGATAGAAAAACATCTAATTTGCTTGAAATAATGAGTGGTCTTAAGCATATCCTAAGTAAATATGTTATCCTAAGTCAGCCCAAAACGAGTAGCGGCAGGATAATTTGGTACCCCTTATAATCTTACAAATAAATCTCCACAAATCTTATTAAGACCTCTTTGCTTTAAATTATAAGGTGGAGGAAAAAAAAGTTTGTGGTGTAATAATTTAAATAATAAATTCAGACTATAATATTTATAGCATTAACATGGATTATGCAAAGCTTTGTTTCGCTCTCATTAGCAAAGTCTTTGTATCGTGGAAAGCGAATTGCCCATACCTTTATATAAGAACCTCGAAAGAGATTCGAGCATTTTTCTCACAAAATGTTAATGGACGCCGTTAAAACGCTATTTAAAAAATTCTCTAACTACTTAGTGTTAATGCACGTGTATTATTTTTAATTAATATATTTTTTAAAAAGGTTGATCAATAAAAATATATGATATCTGTTTTATAAGTTCTAATAAATATCTATTCTAATACATATAAATTTAAGGTCGAAACAAAAAAATCACATGAAAAGATTATGCTTTAATTAGTAAATTGATACAAGCTTGTTAGTAAGAGACCCGAAAGACCTACACCTTTGAAGAAATAAGTGATAGATAAAACGTCAATGCATTGTTTGACAAGATGTTGTGGCGTCTTTATAGTGTGATGACGTTTATGAAAGAAGTTCAGCAGTGGTGCATGTCGACGAAAGTCCTCTTATCCTTGAAGGTTGGGCCCCAGGCGCCGTAATTTTTCTGCTCAGACTTTTTTGCTGATTGTGATGCTAATTGACTTGCTATAGGTTTTCTGAAAATAAATAAAACCTTATTTAGCATTCACGAAATCTATTAGTTACTTATAGTGTTTAATTGTATTGTAATCAAGAATTACAATCAATTTAATCATTCTCATAAACTTGCTCTAGATAATATCAGTAACTTTTAAACGAGAATATAAAATATAAGCGTTTTAACGAGCTCTCAAGGGATGCGGTGGAAAAAAGTTGTGTAATTGACAAGAGAACTCGACTCACAAAGACAATAGTTTTTAAAATGAATGCATTTTATATTTCATTGAATTATAATGAGTTTTCTTCGTATGTTTATTCTTTAATTACTTGCAAATATCCTAGATGAAACAATTTTTTTCGTATTACTATACATATTTTATTATTTTTAAAAAACTATATACTCCCGACGATTCAGTTAGTTTGCAGCAACCGCGATCAAATATTGTCTGTCCGTGATTCGAATTGAATCCGAAAAAAATATAAATGAATACTCGCGAAAGTCTTAGATCTCATTACATCCTATATATTTGTTCTGTATTGTATCTGAATAAATAAATTTATGGTTAGTATTCTCACTTGATCGGAGCAGAGACATCGAATTGCTTGCAAGCGTTTGTAGCCTTGGAGGCTGTCTTAACTTCATCGCCGCGGGCCATCGTCGACTGCTGAAGGAAGATGATAAGAGGATCTAAGGCACGTGCTGTATGTGGGTCAGGACCGAGTGCTCCAGACGGTTCCCTGTGTTAGCGCGACGACTGCCTTTTCTGGTGCACAAGTTTTTTGCGAGTCTGGAAGTTGAGATAGCAAAATATTTATAACATACTAGAAGACCCGGCGAACTTCGTATCGCCCTATAATCAAGGAATATCTATTACGTTTTTTTATTTTTGGAGTTTACCTGTAAGCCATGAATCTCCGTGTTTTGAAGTGCGACAGAATGATTGACATATTAGTTAGTTGTCAAATCTAATGGAAAAAAAATCGTTTGTATGGGAAATAGAAAAGGCTGTTTTTATGGTTTTCCCAGTAATGAATCAATTTTTTTCAGCTTTTATACCTTCCCTGAACCTCCACGAACATTTCAAGACTAAGATAAGATAAATCCGTTCAGCTATTCTCGAGTTTTAGCGAGACTAAGGAACAGCAATCCATTTTTATATATACAGACAATATCATATTTACGTCAAAAAAATGATTTTAAGTTCAGTTTTTGCTCTCGATACGTGATAATTCTAAAAGGTAATAGGTATTAGAAAGCTTTTCATTAGAAATTCATTGTAATTATATATGAGATAACTTGAGAATATCTGTCTATTATCCATACTTCAACCCAATAAGGAATAATTAATAAGTAATAATTAATAAGTAATAATTAATTTAAACGTTATATAGGAGTTAATTTACGCATACCGCATAATAACGGCTAATAATTCAAATATTATGCAATACTATTACTGAATCTTGTTCTGCAGTCGTGACAATGATATCCTAAGTTGAAAAACAGGATAAACAGTCTGATGCAATACTCGTTGAGATGCCGTCAGCTTGATTACAATATTATTTATAAGTATTATGGAGTTTTGTATACATAAACTTGAACGTTTATGTCTTATTAATGTATTATTAAAATTTTATTTAAATTTAACAATATTTACGTTACAATAAATCCTTATGTTTCCTTATCTTTATATAAAACAGAAAAAATTCTTCATTTTTTACGTGAATTTGGAGATGACAAAGAAATTCATATATATTAAAGACGCTGGTGTTTTGTTTTGTCTGCTCTCATCTTTTGAAGTCTCAATGTCGTGATACCCTTGACTACACTTTACAATTGAAATTGGGTCATGGGAGTTTTAACTTGGGGGATATTTTGTGTATTTATTTTTTTATTTTACATTTTTGTAAATTCCTACTAATATTATAAATGCGAAAGTAACTCTGTCTGTCTGTTACGGTTTCACGCCTAAACCACTGAACTGATTTTAATGAAATTTGGTACAGAGATGGAGTTGACCTTGAGAAAGAACATAGGATAGTTTTTATCCCAGACTTTTGACAGGTTCTCTTGGAAATGCAATATAACCGAACTCCACGCGGGCGAGGCTGCGGGCGGAAAGCTAGTAATGAATAATTATATACGTTATTCGAATGCGTGTGTTGCATATTGCTCGTTAAAAAAAAAGCTTTATTTACTAATTCCATTTAGTAATAGAAAGTACGCAATGAACTTCAAACTATCCTATAATCTTTTAAAATACGTAAAAATTAATTAAAATTTAAATGTTTTGCCAATTATTTAAATTAAAACATAATCAAATTTAATATGGATACAAAATATGTTATATTTAGACCGTTTGACATTTAGGTGAAATAAGGAAAACGAGACTAATATTTCCGACGAATATTAGAAAGCTAGATAATTGTTCTCTGGGAATTTTGGCCTATAAAGTTTTTAGCTTAAAATATTAGATTTATTCCAAGAGATTTTAAAATAATATTTTTTTTATCTATATGCTTTATTGAATATAAGAAATAGCTTCAATGTGAAATGTAATTTCGTTTATTTACTAAACGATTTCAATTTAAATTTTACTTATTATTTATTAAAATATCCATAATAGTTAAAAGTTATGTATATTTTGTGAAGGAAAAAGTTGAGTGGGAAGTAGAGGTATTTACAAGTGTGTTTTCTATTAATTTTGTTATTCATTATTTCACATACTGCAGCTTAGTGGAGAATGTTTTCTTATAATATAAATAACCATTTTTTATATACATATATAATATATGCTTAATATTTTTAATTTATAAAGAAATATAAAATATCTTGAGCGTTAAATAAAATCTAACACGAATAGATACTTTGATGCTTACAAACCACCACATTTTTTTAATCAGTAGAAACAGTAGTAGTGTTGTATTTACGTGTTTATTTAATACTACATCTTTTGCTTACTTTTTACGTGTGTTTATTATTATTTATTTCTAAATTAACTTATAAAATTGAAAATCTTAAGATATTTCATTTTTCTTCTTCTACCTGGCAATTTCCCGGCTATAGCCAGTTGTGAATACTTTTGGCTATTTATTTTTACGACCGGCCGCCTGCCTGACATCAACCCTCTTTTGGGAATCAACATTAATCAGTGATGTCTAAATACTCTTAGAAAGTACATATGACTAGAAAAAATCATATTGGTACTTGCCCGGGCCAGGATCGAACCCGCGCCCTCGGCAACGAGAGGCGGGCCCTTTAACCACTAGGCCACCACTGACTTATTTCATTTTAATTTCATACTAATGACACCTAATGTTGTCCAAATCTACTCTATTTTCAGATAAGGTACACTACAATATTTTAGCCCTTCCAAAAATTAAGACAAGCAAAACAAAAATCTATCAAAAGTAATTTAAAAAAATAACAAACTGACAAATTTTTTAATGTAAATGAATTGATATTCAGAGATCGAGACGTATTAGAAATATTTGTAAGAATTCCTTAATGAGGACAAAAATGTCAATATATAATACATATTGTAAGGCCAATGACTACACTGGACTACACGCGACGCCCTCGTGTCCGAATAGATTAACATATCGGTTGTAAACATTAACCGGTTTAAATATATTATATAGAAATTGATGGCTTTGATTTCCTTTAACGTTCTTGTTTTTGTTACACATTATACTTTAGATAAAACGTGACGGGTGACACGTTCGTGTGTCCTAATCTGCCTAAACTACAAGTTATCAAACAATTCTCATGACCCTTACAACTATATATGTAGTTCTCATTGTCGCAATATAAGTGTTGATAGTTTTTCATTCATAAGTCCTCTCATAATATTAAAGTATTTACATTAACATTGAGCAAAGATGCAACAATGAACATTAGTATGGGTATTTCTTAAAAAGCTTTCGAGATATAACTCAACATTACAAAATTCACGTTGTTATATGGGAATACCAAGATTGCAAAGAGTTTATAGAGATTTTTTCACAAAATCCAGTGATGTCTTCCTTTTTTTGTAATAAATGTATCATAGCAATTTAAAAATAAAATAGTTATCCTCTATGTCATAAATTTCAGAAAATATGCCACTCAATTTAATATAAACTAATTTTTTAAAGTAATTTAACTTTCATGCTATTATAGTAAATTAAAAATTATATTTAGAAAATCTTAGTACGTGAAAGTGTAGTAGAAAAATATAATTGTTATTTAGAAAAATAATCATAGTTATAAAAAAATAGGAAATACTTTAAGAATTCAATAGAAATTGATAAAATTGTATAAAAAAATACTAGTATTACACATATTTCACAATATATTGAAATATAAAGAAACATTAATATTGTGAGAGCACATCGTCAGCGAAGAAAGTTTTGGCAGAAACTTTTCTGTTTCTAACAGTTTCATTCATTATTAACCAATATTCTGAATTATTAACACTCTCAATGGAAAACATTCAAATAAAATATCTAAATTCAATAACAAAACATTATAACTAAAGTTATTAAAATACAAAATTCTATTAAAAGAATATAAATTCCGTTTGCCATCTCCTGTATAATTTATTGTTTTAGTTTAGATGCCGAAACCAATTTTATCAAATATTTTTATTTCACAACCAAAGAGTTAATAATAGAAATTTTCAACGAGAAAAGTTTAAAGTAAGACAAGTGATAGAAGTGGATACATATGTTTTTTTATATTAGGCAATAATAGCCATTAAAAATATATATATTTTATAAAAGTTATAAAAAATAGTGGTTAAACATTTAATTCATACTTTTTAAATGGATTTTTAATACTATTTCTTTATATCTCTACTATCAAAAGAAATTGAAAATCTAATGTATAGACGTTTAAAAATATGTCAAAGTATGAACAAAATGGCGGGAACTTATATTGTAACTTTTATTACGTTATATCATGAATATTTACTGACCTGGGCAAAAATTTGTCTGTGATCGCGAATTTTCTCTTCGATTTTGTCATTGACACCTAAATTTTCCTTTAAAAATTAAAACAATTATCTAATAAACACAATTTAGCTGCCGAATAGAATGGGAACCAATTGAAAACTGTGACCAGTCGTCTCAAAGCCGCATTTATGTACTTATCTCGTTTCCATACTGGTTTTTTGACGCAAACACATTTATACGTGAACACGACAGCTTACTACAATATATGATTTAAATAATTGTCATTAGTTGTATAATTTTATTAAGCATTTGGATGGGATTATTAAATTAATACTATAAATGAAGTTAGGAATCTTTTTTGTTTATTTTTACGAAATAATAAATACGTTACTGTTAAGACTATGTTGAAGTGAATAATGCATTTAAGTGTAGAATATTTTCATAACACCAAATTTTCAATAAATTGGGTAAACTTTCTTTACAGTTAATATATAATTAACAAGGATTTAAAATTAATAGTTTTTTTTTAAAGATTTATCTTATACTTATCTAATCGATTCAAAGAGGGATTCTATTTTATTTTATTTTTTTAAAGAATAATCTGTTTCATTATTATAATGTAATACATTATATACGTTCAATAAAATTTAATACTAATATCAAAATATGCCATCGTAAAATAATATTATATTCTCATTATTGCATAACACTGTTCTAAATGCAACCGGCCTAGCAACAGTTATAAATTTCATTTGCACCACGCATCCATGAAATGATAAATGAATCATCAGGAGGTATTTGTATGAGAAGGACTGGTTTTTATATTCTCACAAACGGAATATTACATTTAACACATCTAGTTTGATATTATTCATTGCAACTTGTTTGAAACCAAAATTTGTTGACCTCTCGCTATACACGTGGCGTACAGTTATCTGATATATTCTTGACTTAAAATATTAAGAAGAGATAGATCTAAGTTAAGTTGGTCTAAAACACGAGTTGCGTACACATACCCATATATTTTTACTTAAACTTAAAACACTTCTTAAGGGATTTTTTCCCGTTTCCATACTAAAATCGATATTTCCAAAGTAAACTTCTAGGCTTAATATCTGCTGGGTGTGCGATTCATTCTCCGACATCCAAGAAACGAAATCTTCTCACTCTGAAACGTAAGGAATCAAATCTCCTCCAATAATAATATTCATCACTAAAGCGTCATAATTTAATCCTCGTTCTTAGTCGTTCACTCTTGACAGAGTAGTCGTTGATGACTCTGCACTTTCTTTAGCTAAAACAGCTCCTGCGATTTACCTCCACTTATTCAGATTTAAAACATAATAATAACGTATAAAAAAATCTACTTTAAGTATCATATATTATAAACATATATGGTGGGACACAAATAGTATAAACATATAGTTTAACTAAATATTAGGTCAGTGGTGGCCTAGAATTAAAGAGTCCGCCTCTCATGCACGAGGGCGCGGGTTCGATCCTGGCCCGGGCAAGTACCAATGTGATTTTTCCGAGTCATATGTACTTTCTAAGAGTATTTAGACATCACTGATTAATGCATTTCCAAAGAGGGTTGATGTCAGGCAGGCGGCTGGTCGTAAAAAACAGTTAGCCAAAACTATTCACAACATGTAAGGCAGACCCTGGCTATAGCTGGAAAATTGCCAGGTAGAAGAAGATATAGTATAACTAAATATTACATAAATATCATTTTAGAGCCCAATTTCTCAATTAATATGACCATACTAGAGACTAGGGTTTCGCATCTTCATACATCCAAGTGTATGTTTAATCCACACTGTCATAACATTAACTAACCAGTGACAAGTTTAAACCAAGATTAAGAAGACCGTTAAAGGCACGTGGTGCAATTAACTGTAACTCACATTATGGACACGAGCCAAATTGAACTCTCGTTAACTAACGCTGGGTAACAAGATCGAGTCATGAAATTATTAAGAAAAAGAGTATTATGAGTGTTATCGAAATATAAAACCTTTTAAATAACATTATAAAGAAGACAAAATTAATGTGGAAATTGTTCAAAATATTATACTTTTTTCTAATTGAAATTAAGATGTAATCAATTAATGACTTCATGAATTCAAAATTAGAGTGAAAATTTTATCCTAAATTAGGCTAAGTATCTACAGGGTGACTGGTGAATTACTATCGATACTTGAGGACGTGATATTTGACGATCATATATGACAAAATAAAAATTAATATAACATAAATATTAATAAACTTCTAAGTAAAGTTAACCAAAAGTTATGTAATTAATTACGCATCGTATGAACACCCTACAGATTAGGTATACACTCACACTCACATACGCGTGCGGCGGCGTAGTGTTGTATCAGCACGCCGCCGCACGCGTCCACACTTGGAACGTGTCAACACTTTATTTATTTATACGGAAATTTTGTCAAAAATTAAGTGCCTATTTTTGTACATAATTCGAATGAGAATCATGTACCGAGTATTCTCTTTAAATATTGATAGTAATTCACCAGTCACCCTGTATAATCCTTTAATTTTGCAGGAAAAATGAAACTAGAACAATTCGCAATTAATGTTTTTATTTCACATAAATCACTATACCCTAAAAAAAATATTTAATAAAACTCCTAAGATATGTAGAGCTAAAAATATAAATGTGTAAAAATAATAAAACTTACTACAAAACCATAACAAAATTTGTAAATTAAATAAAATTATTCTACTTTAAGAAATAAGTTCGTGAATTTATAGTTTTATTCGATGTAAGGCTTGATAACTGTGCGTTCTGCTTTGTTCTTTCGTCTGTTATAAAAATATTCCAAAAATAAGACCGTTAGAGCTGAAAAGAACCCTAAAAGAAAGATAATTTAATAATAATAATATATAGAAAATTATATTAAAAGATTAGAATCAAATATTACAAGAAAAACACCAATCATTACGTTCAAAACGGAACGTCTACAAACATTGGAATAAGCAGTCTAGTAAAAAAATATATACATAATTTCACATTATATAGTACATTTTCCATAATAATATAATAAGCTTAATAATCGTCAAAATTTCAAAACACTCATACAAATTAAGAAATATTTGTAAACAAAAAATACGTTTAAAAACAGTTTATATAAAGATAATTAAATAATTATATCCAAACGTAAACTCACCAAGAAAAAGCACGAAAAAGGAGCCCTGCATGTCGCTCAAATTGACGGTGTGATTATTGACTTCTTGAGTGATGGTAGAGGTCTTCCAACAACGGTCACGCTTGGGCAAATACGCTGATAACCACTTTGTTATGAGCCCAGCCTTCTTCATTCTATTTATCCTGTAATTATCCCGAAGTTTTGCTTACTAGGTATAAGAATTCATTTTTATTTTATTTAAAACTATAACACAAATGAATACGAACAATTTTTAGTAAATAAAATATGTATTGTTTTAAGTGAAACTTCTTATGCGACTTCCAACAAGGTTGCGTTAAACGTTTTACGCTGAGGGAGAGAGAAAGAAACATACAGGTATATAGAGAGTAGGAGAGAGAAAGTGAATAATTCTACCGAATTAGATTAGAGTAGATTCCAAGCACGTGTGCATACTGCATGGTATTCTTGATATGCAGTAAAGTAAAGAGTAGCATCGTGAAATTAACTGAAATACGTACTTGTTGTTTTATATTCACTTATAATATTCATTTTTATTAGTTTGATTTGATACACATAAAATTTATTTTCATTTTTCACATTGCAAATTCACTTTAACGCACAATTTTTACCTTATAATAACATTAATGGGAAACTTACTCCTTATTTATAAGAGGTAGGTACGGGCTCCCAGCCGGCAAGATCATAGCCACTTGTTCATCCATGAATTCCTCAGAGCCTAATTTGATATTAAAAAAAATATCTCACATATATTGAGAAAACATTAACATAAGAAAACATCCAGTTTCTAATTTATTTCTTCCGGTAATATTCGTTTCATATGCGGGAGGTAAATAAATCTTTAATTAAAATTATGCTCAATTACATTAAAAGTAAAATATTAACATCTATATCAAGAAATATAAGTCGCGAAGATATTTGTTATTCAACCTTTAGTACAAGCTTGCTTTATCACACTATATAGGAGGAGTTTAAAGTTTAGAACACAATACGCTCCGTATGTAATACAACCTCAGTAAAGTTTGGTAAGTGTGCTAAATAAGAACAAAAAAACTAAATCCTTAAATTAAATTAAAAAGAACTATAGACTCAGAACGTTTCGGTTACTTTTCAGCAAACGCGATCATGGGCAGATGAAATTTAATAGTAGCGTCGGCAGTATGTAGTTTTTACAATAATAAAATACGTAATAAAACTAAAATATAAGTTTAATTTAAATGAATAATCGCGAAAGCCTTATCTTATTATCCTTAAACTAATTTACCCAATAATGAGATCTAAGATTTTCTCAAATCTTATTCATTTAAATGAAACTAATATTTTTCGGATATACTCCCCGACTTTATTTATTTATTTTTCACATCTCGTCTGCCCGTGATCACGGTTGCTGAAAAGTAGCCGAAACATCGCGAGTATTTAGTTTTAAAGATAATAAAATACGCGTAGTAAAACGAAAATATTAGCTTCATTTAAATGAATATTCGGGAAAGTCTTATCTCATTATCCTTAAACTAATTTATCCAATAAGTTACTTATATTAATTTATTTTAAATCTTACTTAAGGCAAAATCACAGGAGTCAGTTTGCTCAGTGTCCGCCCTCATGAGATAACGCAACCGAAGCTTCCAATCAAACAACGCGTGGTGTGAGAAACGAACACGATCTACTATTGCTGCTTTAATTTAAAAAATACTCATTAATCTACAATAACAATAATACTAAAATAATCATTAATATCATTACTTTACTTGCATTTACATCGATTATTTTAACAAGCTATTCATTAAGGTTCACCTTAATAATCTATTTGGATATTAGTTCAATGATTTACGAGTATTCAAAAAAATGTATGAAAAAATACAGAACAGATTTTCCATGTATAATAATAAGATGAATCTAAGGATATTTCTATTAAAACTTCTTGATTAAACTATCATTACAGTAACGTTGTATAAATATTAGAGTAAGTATGTAAATTTGGTATATTTAAGACTATAAAAGTCCTTGGGAAGCTGTAAACAAATATAATACAAATTATATTAAGTTGTACTATAATATTTACCATCATTTTCCGATCCATCGCTAGGAGTAGACAGTTCTGCGCCTTTCAATAGAGCTTCGTACTTCGGTTCGTTGGAATTCTACAAAATAAATCTTAATACTTCTATATAATCTTATTATTATGGTAAACATATTCTAAATAAACACGCGTCATCTCATGTCAAAATTTAGTGCTCCAGCAGTTATGCCTATTATTATAAAGGCTTGGAAAACTAAAATATAAAACGAAAGTAGCAGATACAACTTAGTTTTCATTTCGTATTTAAAAACATAAATTATTACTTCTCATTTCCATGAAAAACTTTAGAAAAACATTTAATTTATTCGGCATATCAAAAATAATATCAAAATATGTTACTTCTATTAAATCGTATAGCTAAAACTATCCCTTATATTAACGTATTTCCTCTTGTAGACTTAACATTTTTATGTAAAAGGTCTTATTAATAACCAATAATTCAAAATTTATTATAATAAAAACCACCTTTAATTGAGCTTCCAAAAACGATCCCTTTCTAATAGACCAAGAGTATGTTCCGCTATCCAATAGTTCAGAGACAGTGGTGACCGGTATCTCTAGTTTCGGGAATGTTAAAAATACCACCAAATTTCCGGAGTAAGTGGTGACTACCACAAGCACCACTAACCACCAAGTTCCTACCACAAGACGGCCACTGTCAGCACGCGGTAAGTACATACCACCTAAAAATTCACATTTATATGCATTTCTAACTATTTCAGCTTGAAAGATCCAAAGACGAATTGCTTCATAGATTTTAAATTCAATTTTATGAAAATTATTTCACGTTTCTTTGTGATAATAGTAAACTATAGAAATACTACTTTAATTAGTAGTCAGTTAAAAAGATATAACAAGAATTTTCTTTATAAGTAAAGTTTATTAAAATCTTTGAAATTCCATAGACAATAGAATGATGTGGCTTTAAGAAAAATCATGAAATGTAAAATGTTTCATAATTGACCATAGACAATATACCTTGTTGTAAAAGTGCGCCATATATATACCATAAGCAGTTATATATTGTGGAGAGGCCACCTTCTCTAGTGATTTCCATGGCTTCATAGTACGGACTCACTCGGTGTATAACGTATAACGTCGGACCCATTAGAACTACTGCGAATGCTATACATAACCATGTCTAGAAAAGAAAACATATTATATATATGTATATATATATATATATACATATATATATCGTCATCAGCCTATCAGCGCCCACTGCTGAGCAAAGGCCTCTTTCTCACATGGAGAAGGTTTGAGCATTAATCATCACGCTTGCTCAAGACGGGTTGGTGATTTCAAACTTATAATTGTGAAACTATAAGTCCAGGTTTCCTCACGATGTTTTCCTTCACCGTATGTCATTGGTGTCTAAATACTCTCAGAAAGTACATATGACACCGAAAAATCACATTGGTACTTGCCAGGTTTGAACCCGCGCCCTCGGCAACGAGAGGCGGACCCTTTAACCACTAGGCCACCACTGACTTTCATGCGATATATATATATGTCGCAGACAATTTGTATAATACGTCAGTTTACAAATTGACAACGGAAAATTGTAAATTGTCGTCATTTTATGAAATGTTTTATAGCATTTATAGTAGCGCATTTTATAATTTGCAGCGGCATTTTTCTCTTTTCAACTGAGGTTAGGTTGAGTGAATGTTTATAAAATACTATATCATTGAAATTGCCTGCGACATATTTATTATTACTAAGGTACAAAACAGACTCACTTGTGGTAAAGGACTACTACAGCTCGAAGACATCAACATATTTAATTTCTCAGATGCATTGCTGACTTTGTGTATAATTTCATACCAATAATTAAACCTAAATAATTTAAAAGCAAAGTCATAGGAATCAAGATTTTAGGAAAAGTACGCGTTTATTATTAAAATAGTAATAATTAACAGCAATTGTGGTCACTGGCAGAAACGAAAGCGTTAAAAATTTTGGTTATTTAAATGTGTACAGGCGGAAGTTTTAGATAAGGAAAAAACCATTTAATAATTAGATTATTATAAACGCGCTTGTTTTTAACAGAACCAAGTTATTTATGGAAATTAATACACAACGAAATATCAAAAACAAGTTATAAACAACCAAAAATAGAATTACTTTATAAATAACACTAAAAACTTTTATAAAACTTATAATTTTATCTAAGATTTTCCTTAACTCATTTAAATGAAGCTAAATTTTTAATAAAACTTTCGCTTCGTCTGTTCTTGATCACGGTTGCTGTAAAGGTAGGGAAACTTCAGGATTATGTACATATTATAAAATAATAAAAAACGCATAGTATCCAAATAGCAAAAAAAAATAGCCAAAACTATTCACAACATGTAAGGCAGACCCTGGCTATAGCTGGAAAAATTGCCAGGTAGAAGAAGAAGAAGAAGAAGTATTCGAAAAACTTTCATAGAAAATGCACTTCATTTCGTATGAGATCACATAATTTAGGTAAAGGCAAATATCCTTAAGTTATTTCACTTGTATTAATAATTATAGTACATGCCATATGGCCGACCATATATCAATAATTGAGAAACATCAATTTTTAATGTTTTAACGATGACAACTTGACTTTTTTGTATCCTAGTATTAATATTAATTTAAACAAAAACTACAAAACATTCACTCAATATTTCATAAACCCAATTTGATATTAAAAAAGCTATAAAAAGCCGTTAAACATTAACAACATTACTTTAAACATAACTTACTATAATAATAATAATATATGACAAAAAATATAGTACTCAATGTAATATATAAAAATATATGGACTTTTACTTACGTCAGTAGTAAATGGGAGTAAAAAGAGCAGAGCTCGGTTCAATTCACGAGGTCTCGCTATTATGAAAGAATATGTCTGAGTGCTTACAGGAACAGTGAAGTTTATACCTGGATTAATATAAAAATATATGTATCTAATTTATTAATAATATAATACAACGAACATTACTTTCAATAGAAAGTAATTAAAGACTAAGCAATGTGACTTGAAGTGAAACTTCTTATGCAACTGTCAACAAGGTTGCGTTAAACGATTAACACTACGCACTATTTCTTTTGTAATTAATGTACCTACTTATAACTGTTACATATTATGTATATTTGATCATAATTTATTTCAAAAAATATCATGGATGTTTAAATATATGTTTACAATATGAAAAAAAAATTCTTTTGGATTACTTTACCGAGAATGTTGTAATAATAATAATTGAAGGATATATATATATATATATATAGAAAATATTGCCATCATTAATTTATCTCACCTGGATGTGAATCTGGCAACACCGTAAAAGGTGCGGCAGCCAACGCGGCATGACCCTTCGCAACCGCTGATAATATCAATTGGCAATTCGTGTTATATGTCTGAAATTATTTTTATTATAAAGAAATTACATAATATAATATGTATTTAATATTTGTATACAATATTACTCACATCGGTCGTCGTTTCGTTTGTATAATTCAATCTCAAATTCTCCGGCAATACTATGCGTATTCTAAAATAATACATTAAAAAGCAATTAGAAATAAGTGAATGATCATTTTATGCTATACATTTTAGAGTATATTAATTTTGAACTATTATAAATCAAGTAAAATACATAATATGTATATACTAATAAATAAAATTTAAGTAACTTTTCGTGTTTCTTAATAAACTGGTTATCCCATAGGGGTGTAATATGACGTCAAAGCTGCATCAACAGAAAGTTAAGTATCAATTTGTTATAGATAAGTTAAAGATAATAATATACTATATATGGACTTGCATTAATTATTATATCTTTTTGAAATAAGCTATTCAAACATATTTATTGTCTTTTCTTATACTAAGTCATAAGTAAAACAATCGTTTATTTGATTAGAAAATAGATACAAACCGCTTATACTGTGAAATTTAATTTCATTTGTTTTTACGAAATTTCGTCACTGTTATACTTATTAAGAAAATTTTGCCTAATCGATTTGCTTATAAAAATGTGAATAACTTTACATTTTTTTAAGAATATAATTATTGATTCGAAATACTTGAAAATGTAATAATACAATGACTTGCAAAAAAAGAATTACGATCAAGACATAAATATTATTTAATTTATATACTTCTAGTAGAATATTAATTCATTTTATATTTAATAGTAATTTGTAAGTCAAACTACAATAAGCGTTACTTCTATGGAGTTCTTAACTTAATAAATAAATACTATATATCATACGTGAAGTTCTTATTCTTAGCGAGTTGGTTCACAATATCGAATAACAGTCCGCTGTAGCTAGTGACGGCTCCAGAGGCGTTATACGTTACCATGGTCCAGGGTGGACTCTAAAACAATATTAAATAAATATAATTAAATAATAATGAAATACAGGTTTATACTTAGCTCAGGGACAGTAGACTTCTTTTATATAATACCTTTATGCATTGTAATTGAAAGTTTCTTTCTTTTTTATTGCTTTCTTTAAATAAATAAAAATATTCAACCATTCAACCATATTATTATAAGAAATATAAGAAAGTTTTCATATGAGCAAAAGGAAAAAACAAAGCTTAGAAAACCGTGCCGTGGTTATTTAAAGATTTATAACTTTATAGTGGAGCACGATGTTTATGTTTAATTCAGACAAAAAAAGTTTATATATTTTTGGAAATCTGTGTATTTTGTCTATGATATTATTTATATAATAAAATAATGAGATCTAAATCTTTCATGAGTGTTCATTTAAATGAAAATACCTAATATTTTCGAATTACCATGTCTTCTTCTTCCTGGCAATTTCCCAGCTTTAGCCAGAGTTTGCCATACATTTTGTGAATAGTTTTGGCTTCTTGTTTAGTGTTATTTTATTATGCTTAAATACTACATACTCTCATAATTATCGTTATTTTACAGCAACCGTGATCACACGCATACAATTACATCTCGTTACTCCAAAAAATCTTATTTCTCATAATGTTATAATATCCACATAATTAATATAGTTGACAAAATAGATAGATTTCAATAAAATTGTATGTTATATTAAGCATACAATTAAAATAATTATCGTGGTTCATCGTAATGTTAACGAGTTTAAATAATAACGGTTTTCTAAACTTTGACTACGTATTCAGTGAAGTATTTTTCATGTTCATACGAAATTTTTTTTATTATATCAAATTATAAAAATACAGTATAAAAACACTCTTCCATTTATATACATTTAAATGTCAGATAATTAATAAAGAGTATTATTACTTGTTAGTTATTTATTGAAACAAACCTTTGTGTTTGATTGTAAAAAAACTTATTATTCAGCCAGAAAACTTTATATTTATCATATATATTCATATTTAAGGAACATTTTGTGTAGATGTTAAATCTCACGCCAAAATTGTTGCCAACCAGAATTCACTTTAACGAAACTAATTATATAAATTCGATAACATAGTGCCAAGTATAATGTTTCATAAAGTAAAATTTTCATATCTCAAAGACATTTTTAAAGTTTTAAAAATATATTGTAAACTAGCTTTCCGCCCGCAGCTTCGCCGCGTGGAGTTCGGTTATATCGCGTTTCCAAGAGAACCTTTCAAAAGTCTGGGATAAAAACTATCCTATGTTCTTTCTCAAGGTCAACTCTATCTCTGTACCGAATTTCATTAAAATCAGTTCAGTGGTTTAGGCGTGAAAGCGTAGCAGACAGACAGACAGACAGACAGACAGAGTTACTTTCGCATTTATAATATTAGTAGGGATTGAAAATTAATATAGAAATTAATATTTTTGAGTGTAATCTACTTTGAAACTAAGCTTTTCGGAAGGACGAGATTATGATGATTGCTGGAAAGGAACTGAAAGGTAAAAAAAAATGATAAAAAAAAAATTTATGTGACTGGTGGCAAACGAGCTGACGGTCCACTTGATGGAAGGTGGTTACCGTCGCTCATGGACATCCGCAACATATTTGTTGTGGATGTGTTGCCAACCTTGTTTATAGAGATAGGGAGAGGTGGGAATAAAGGAAGGGTAGGAAAGGATAGGAATGGGGAAGGGCAACCGTCTCTCTCACTCATCGGACGAAACGCAGCCATTAAAGGCTACTTCACGCCGATCTTCTGTGAGAGGGTGGTACTTCCCCGGTCGAGCCAGCCCATTTTCGAGCTGTAGTAACTGACTACAGCTAGGCTCTACCACCTGAAATGTGGTAAAAAAAATGCGTAGTATCCGAAAATCTTAGTTTCACTTTATATAGAATTTATTTTATCAAGCTTATATATAAAAAGTAGCATATATATAATATAAATATCTTGTAAATAATATTATAAACTTACATGATACGTCATAATCGGTAATTGTTTCCCTCGGAAGCCATGTTGTACATGCGGGAACATCACGTCTTCAAACATGATGCCATCTATCGGACGCCAGAAACCTACCTAACAAATATAAACTACAACGATTAAAATTTCAGGCCATTTTGTGTTAATGCACATAATTTTGTTATAATATTATTGTTATTATGAAAATTATACATATATTTTGATCTGATTATTGACAAAAGTAATACGTAAAACTTATAAAATTTTGTTTGTTTCGTGAAGAAAACTTGGGTCGTTTTAAGCGCTTTTAAATTTGGGCGAGTTTAATATCTAGATATAATAATAATACCAATATACTATATTTATTTAAGAGTAAAGTTGTTTCATTTTGTTTCTTCCGTCAGTATTGTAATGCACAGATCAGCATAGAGCAGCTATTACAGAGCGTTAATTGTACTATCGAATACTTTTTTGGCATAGATAAATGTCATCATAGAGGCAAACAGTGAATATTTCTTAGGCATAGACAAATGTTGTCATAGAGGCAGACAGTGAATATTTCTTAGGCATAGACAAATGTTGTCATAGAGGCAGACAGTGAATATTTCTAATCAATATAGTACCTGTACAAGATGTACTTGTTCTATAAATGAACTTGTGTTTTCATCAGGGTGATCGTAAGTAGCTCCCCACGTGTCCGCTGAGAGCGCTCGCCATGAGCTACAGTTACCACAGACGCCTCTAGTTGATAGATATTGCTGGTAGAAATATGTTAATGTAGAGTAGGTTAGGTAAAAGTATATATATATTAGCATGCACACCATATAAGCTAATAAGCACTGCTTGTCCCAATCCATACAACAACTAAACCTATATTGTTTATTCTTAATCACATAATTTTAATCATACATTACGAAATACTAATGTTTACCGTAATGATTTAGAGGATAGAGGAGGGAATTATGATAAAAATTTGTATTTTTATTTTCAAATATATATTCTGCTTATCTTATCAAAAATCTGTGTGCACGCCCCTCATATATGTATTTTTTTGTATGTATGTATGTGTAGACGTAGATATTAAACAAATTATAATATAACATAAGTAACTTTAATTCTCTTCTAGATTGTACTACAAATTTATATTATATACACGTACTGATAATATTATATTCTTGAATTTTATATTATACTGAAAGCTATTCAAAGTATATTGAGGAAAAAAGCCACAAAATTTTTGATAAGTGCAGAAAACAAAAAGGATTTATTTTAATATTTTTTTGCTAGATCAAAAGTCCTATTCCTACTCGTAGACATAATATGTAACATTTGTGTTCGTACACAAGAGTGAAAATCATGATCACAAGTACTATAATTAGTAGAAAGTGTTAATAAAAAATAAATATATATTACTTAAAACTTTTCCCAAAAAAATCCAAATTTTATCATCACCGCTATTTCAGTTTGATAAACTTTTCGATATTTCAATTGTCAATTGTGAAAGTTATATCAAAATTTTCATTCAATCACTTTATGTCTTTTAAATATATGCTGAGCCACATCTTTAATGCTTACATTTTGATCACTAATTTAATTTTTAAGTTCACTAATTTAATAAGACCTTAAAGGATCAGAACCCACTGCTGAGCAAAACCCTTTTCTCACATGGAGAAGGTTTGAGCATTAATCACCACGCTTGCTAAGACGGGTTGGCGATTTCAAACTTATAATTGTGAATATAAAGTTTTGAATTGAAAATCCTGCTAATATTATAATTGCGAAAGTTAGCGTGTGTATGTTTGTTACTTTTTCACGCTCAAACGGCTGAACCGATTTTGATAAAATTTTATATACAGGAAGCTGATGTCCAGGAATAACACATAGGCTACTTTACATCCCTGAAATCCGCGGGTAAAATGTGGCGCAGCTAGTACTTTATAATTATGAAATTATAAGACCTAAGTGTAATCTATCTCAATATTCTAAATTTCCTCATACAATAAAACTTACTTGCATATGCCAAAGCAGACTGTTCCTTCGTTGTATTTTAGTAGGTCGCACTGCTTCCCATTCCTCGTCAGAAACTTGCAAAGCTGCTTCAAGCTCATCAAGCACAGCTGCTTCCAGTGCTGATATAAATGAATCCAGGACTTCATGAGCGTAGCATTTAAGTCCATTCTAATAATCAATAATAAGAGAAACTATTAAATTAATGAGTATTTCGCTTTTCGTGTATACGACTGGTTTTAATTACGTATTAGACAGGACATTTTCCTACCAGAATTGATCATACTATTATTATATTGTTAAATGATAAATAATTACTAAACTAGCAACCCTCAAGCCACCTATATAAGGAGCGCCATTATTGACAATCTGACACTTTTTGTACTCAACTATTTTCAAGAGAAGAAACTATGCCCTAATTAATCTCGAATATTAATAAATTGTCCATTAGCCGGCGAACGTTTGTTTTTAAAAATCATAACGTATTTTCATTTCTAACAATGTAATTATTATTGTTTGTTTGTGACCAAATGTTATACAAAATTAAAATTAAAAATGATCCACGCGTTGGCTTCCTTACGTACATCTATTAAGCTTAAATTACCTTGCATCCTTTATCGTCAGTGTAATTGAAAATATACGCAATATTCTCCCCTTCATACAAATCATTTATTAAGTAGGTAACATTGCCGGTGTGTGAATCCGTGTCCGGTACTAAATACAGCCACTGGGCGTCAGTGTGTGACATTTTCAATTCCCGCGCTATTTCTGCTATTGTCGCCATTACATCTGTTGTAACTATAGCTATGAAGTTCTCACCTATTTGTTATTTTAAAAACTTTAATAAAATTAATAAAATACAATAAATACTCCATTTAATAATCTATTAATTATCTGTATTTATTTCTTCGCTTCTTAATTGACATTTCATTGACAAATGAAACAAGTCATAACACATACCAATATATTTCACCGGAAGTTTCTTTAAAACTCTATAAACCTCTTTCCTTCGTAAATATTCGTTATTTTCGTGCCTCATTTTATAAACGCTCACAGATATAGATGATATATCTTCTATTTCTGATGTCAGTGATTCGACCACACGAGATACCATGTCTCTGTCTGATGAAATATTTTTTTTTATTATTATACAAATACTTTTTCATTACAATTAAACCTCTTTGGTACCTTCTCTATTTCGAGATGTTGTTGGGAAATACTGAGCGTCTTAATGACGATAATAAATTAAAGAAATTAATTGACTTACTTTTCTTAAACTTTGTTTTATTATATTTTTACTGTTTAATTTCGATCTATAAGCCTATTGAAATTGCAACTATACATGGGAAAGAGAAATCGACGTACATTTTAATAAACTTAAAAATTCGTTTCTTAGTATTCACTTATTTTGATTTTAAATTACAGAACTACAACTTTCTAAATACGAGCACAATTTTCTTTCGGTTTTACTTATTTCATTCATATTTAAACAAGAAAGTCTCAATATTATATTAGATTCCAAATAACATATATGAAGATAAAGAATGAAAATTTCTTAAAACCATTATTGTCTCTTCAAAATCATTTACATTTGATTCACATCTAAACAAAATATCAAAATTCATAACGCTGACTTAATAAATACAAATTAACGATATATCACAAATAGTTTCACTCACTCAATGTTTCGTCATGTAAAATTATAGCTGATTTCCAATTAAACGCTTTACGCGTTCTCAAATCTAGAACCAATTGGGGTAGCTCTTGTCCAGGGTCTGCGAATGTGACCGTGATAGCTGATTCTGAAGGCAACCTTGGACAGTCCACCTCTGTCACAGCTATATGCAAAAGATCCTCTTCTTCAGCCCGTAAAAATAATGACCAAGTATCCTCACATGACGCGATACTGAATACTGCTAAGAAACCTAGGACGAAATTTCACGTAAGCTCATAAGAACATGAGATATTTAAATAAAACTTATATTTTTGGGATATACTACGAGTGCTCCTTAGTAAAAAACTATAAGCCATAAGTAATAAGAACATAAGAATACATATTTAAATGAAATTAATATTTTTGGGATATACTACGCGTGCTTTTGTAAAAAACTACATGCTCTCTCGTTTCGGCTACTTTTAAGCAACCGTGATCAAAGTTATGTTAAAACATGAAAGAGTTTTGATACTTCGTTGGCATGTTAATGAAACTAATACTTTCGGATCAAAACGCGTTATTTTGTTACTTAAAACTACAGACTGATCTCTCTTCTTCTTCCTGGCAATTTCCCAGTTTCACCAGGGTCTACGTTGCACATTTTGTAAATATTTTTGGTTAATTGTTTTTACGACCGGCCACCTAATCCGAAAATATTAGTATCATTTAAATGAATACTTTCGAAAGGCCTATATCTCATTCGTTAGCATTTTTTTAGTCAATTTCATTGAATATTCATTTCATAACTTAACAATTCTTGCTTATTTAAGTCTAGAATATTTTAAAAGTTAAAGATTTATAACAATGAGGTCATTCACCCTTCTTCAGATTTATGGACGTCCAGGAATAATAATGTACATTGACTCCGCCATGTTTGAGTTCAACTCTCACAAGTTCTTTGATGTAATCCTCAAGATCTTCAAGCATCGTCTGGTACTCGTCACCCAGAAATTGATGGTCTAGTACTACAGCTGTTAAATATATGATGTTAAAAGATTTAGAAACAGAACTCTGATGAACTTTCTAATTGAAATTATCTAGAAATAAGACGATTTTAAGAAGTAAAGCCTAACTTTAAAAGAGTTACTAAAAAGTATAGTTCAAATAGGTTGTGTATGTTAGAAGTAAAAAATATTTAAGAGGTACTAATATGAAATATTGGATATAAATCATCTCCCGAAACATTTATAAATTATTATTTTAGAAGCAACCGAAATAAATATTTTGTACTTATTTCATCCTTAGAGTGAAAATCTTGGTCACTTATAATCGAATTAACGTAAAAAAAAGTTATTAATCGATTTTTCAGTGAAGTTAAAAGATTTCTTTTTTTCCCCTGTAAACCAAACTATATTTTGGGACAAAATAAAATTCGATAATCAAATAGTTTGGCCTATTTTTTTATCAAATATTCAAAGTAACAAAAGAGTTTCTATATATTAAACTATTAAAGATACTTATACCAATGGAACCGTTGGCTGTTATCAGCGAAGGAAAATCCTCCGCATTTCCGAGAGCACAAAAAACCAAAATTATCCATAACTTCATCATCCGTCCTCACTGTATCACGACGAGCCGTGTCATATAAATATGAACTCCCAGTCATAATTCGTTAAAATAATCACTTTACAAGGGAAACTTATATTATTTATCGTTCAATCAGAGACATACCGCAGGTGGGCCATGTTCACATTTCGTGTTAACACAATGAATGTTAATTTCTATATAACACGTAAACTTTCGTTAGCTCTTAACTGAAATGGTGCCCTATAAAGGATGCTTCCATACAAGTGTATGTACCTAAGAAAGTTTTTATCTTTATATTATCTTTTTAGTACCACATTTTTACTAGTTAAAAATTATATAGCTTTATATATTTTTAAATATTTGTGGATAAATATTTTTTACTCATTTACATAATAACCATAGGAGTTTTTAATGAAATTATCTATAAGAGCAAATAAACAAATAAAACAACAAAATTAAAAGAATTCAAGAGCGAAAACAAAAACACAAGAAACATATAGTTTAAATATGTAGCTTATGATTTTCGTAAACATTTTAAAATGCCCATGATTTCTAGAATATTCCAATTTATTACTATTTTTAATTATATTTTATATTGTCCTGTTTCCAAAACATAATGTATGTAATCACTACATTTTCTCAATATAATCACCCTAGTTTGGAAAACGGAAACTCGTGAAAGGTCTACATAAAAAATTCAGATCGAGAATTACCAATCAGAACACTTCTTCATACTCTATTGTCCTCAATTTTCTTGTCAATGTCAAAACCTAATTATAACAGCCAATTGAACTGTTATAATCTTGTTTTGGCCAAAAGTTCGATATACATGTACCTATATAATAAATATATCTTCCTACTTGCTTCCCCCATATTCGTTGGTATTGAGTATAGAGATTGAAAATATTATTAAAAAAGAGGGACATTAAGAAGCTACTCTAATAATATCACACTATTATTAATAAAATTGAATACTTTGGTTTAAACAGAGCTTCTACCTGGCAATTTCCCAGCTTTAGCCAGGGTCTGCCTGGCTAATTGTTTTTACGACCGGCCGCCTGCCTGACATCAACCCTCTTTGGGAATTTAGTTTAAACAGAGCGTGCTATAGAAATGCAAAAAGAATAATTTCGGCCGTTTTCACAACACTTTTCATGAAATAGTTGTTGTCCTAGAGTAATAATAGGTAGAGTGTCATAGAACTCTTAGATGAATTATATATTTAACGCTAAAAATAATATTCCAACCAGAACGCTATTAGTGCTTTGAACCAAAAAATCAAATTAAAAACAACTCTTCAACTAATTCATAGATAGGAAAGATGAGAATGAGATTATTTTTTATAATTTACATTCGCTCGAATCTAATATTTTTTTCCGATAGTACCTATATTCAATCAGCAAGTCACTAGTTTTTTATATCTTCCTTTACTCTAAGTACCTGTACTTACAAAAATTGTTAAAATTATATATTTATATTAAAATAATTATAATGTTCTACTTATCGTTCTGTAAAAGTATTCAGCGGATAATTTTTTTTAATAATAAATGCGTAGTCAATTAATTTAAGTCAGAACTATCAGAATTTCAAATAATATTATTCACTAGTTTTTCCCCGCGACTTCGTCTGCGTTAGTTTCAGAATTAGAAGTGTATATCTGACTGAGTGAACTCTATTCCTCCTTAAAGACTTCTCAACATTGTGACGTAATTTATCAAAGTGAGAGATTTCTCGCTCACTTCAATGATTAACATATTAGTTAGTTGTCAAATCTAATGTCAAAAAAAACCGTTTGTATGGGAAATAGAAAAGGGCTGTTTTTAGGGGTTTCCCGGCAATTATTCCAATTTTTCTCACCTTTTAAACCTTCCCTGGACTTCCAGGAGTATTTCAAGACTAAAATTAGCCAAATCGGTTCAGCCGTTCTCGAGTTTTAGCGAGACTAAGGAACAGCAATCCATTTTTATATATATAGAAGATAGAAGATATAGAAGATTATTTAAGTTACAAGCCTCATCCGTTTCGACTATATTCGTCTAACTTCGCTAAGTCTCTTGACTTGTTGACTTCTGATGTTCAGTTAATTCGTTCACGTCCCGAAAAAATCTAAAAAGCAGTACATCAAATGAACGACCACCCCTAAATAACACTTCAGTGAAATAAAAACAATAAGGCATTCTGTTGATTTATATTCTAAAGCTTTGAAAATAATATCAGTAAGTTGTAAATTGTGATATGTTGTTACGAAAATAAGGCGTTAGTTGGTTATATCGTGTTATTTGCATAAAGCGATAATAACGATAGGAGCATTAATACCATAATGATAAACAAGTTATCTGATTTGCTGATTCCCTTGAGGTTAAAGATGAGTTGTTAGCGTCAAAATTATTCGTTTATTTTATTGCAAAATTTCAGTGACCATCGGATAGATTTTTTAAAACATATGTTTTAATCTTATAATCTAAAAGTTACATAATCTAAATTTCTAATTTATACCAATTTTATTTATATTAATTTATACTAATATTATAATTTAAAATTTTCATTCAATCTAAAATTAATAAGATATTAAGGATGGATTAAAGAATTGAAACTGTTTTATACAAAATACCTATATATAAACTTTATTGAATTAAAATTAAATCACGATGTATGTATTTTCAAATTTTAGTCAGCAACACTGAGTTTTTAACATCAAATGCCAAAACATCAGAATCAGATGGATTTTGTGAGTTGACACAAGATATTGTTTGTATGATATTCTTATAAGGCAGGTAAAATAAAGCCATAGCATAAAAAGAAGCTGAATAAAACTAATAAAGGAATTTTAGTAATTTGTCAAATTTATACATATAAATAAACGTCTTATTCTAGAACTTTTAAAGTATTTATATTGAATAACGTAAACGGACATTAACATGCAACGTGTATATAAAAAGTGTTTTATAACTGTAGGAACAACACAATTTAATCTCCTTTGTGAATATATTCAGACACCACCAATTTTAAAAGCTTTAAAAAAACTTGGATGCACTGAAATAACATTTCAAATAGGCAACAGCAACTGTGAACCTAAAGTTTACGAGAAAGAAGGTATCAAACTCGATCTCTACAGATTCAAAGATTCTCTAGACGAGGATATTAAGAACGCAGATTTAATTATAAGTCATGCTGGTGCAGGGAGTTGCTTAGAAGCTTTGAACGCAAATAAACCACTTCTGGTAGTAGTAAATGAGGATTTAATGGATAATCATCAAATGGAGTTAGCAGAACAGCTACAGGTTGATGGACATCTTTATTACTGCACATGCGACACTCTTGAGAGTACTTTAGAAACGGTAGATTTCAACTGGCTCTCACCATTTCCTAAACCTAATCCTTCAGCATTTATCAGCTATCTGGATGATATATTTAAGGTTGCTGTGAATACATGATTTATAATTAAACAATTGTTTTATTACTTTCTTTTATAAAGTCCTAGGATTATACACTATTATTATACACTAACTTAAAATATCAATTAAATACCAATACAAAATAACAGTTTCCAGAAATTAAGAAACAATTTCATTTTTAAGGGTTTTTAATAGCATAAATAATAATTTGTATCCAACACCTTTAAGAAATTAAACAAATTCATTACCATGGTCATTTTATTCATATAAAACAAAACAGAATTATAATCACATTTCATTGAAGAACATCAGATCAGAACAAAAATGTGTGACAATTGTAATCTTAGAAACTGAAGTTATAAAAATTTTATTATTATAAATAGAAGAGAATGTATGACTATGATAAATAATGGTTTTATTTAAACTAATTTCTTAGCCTCAAAGAAACTCTTGAGATGTCTCATCTGCCAGTAACCGATGCCGACGAGGACTCCTGTTTGCATCAAACTCCACCATAATACTCTTTGATGTGTGCTTTCCGATGTCTGTCTGAATCTTTCTTCGCGACGCTGAAATTAAACCATCATTTTTAGTTATATAGTTGTTGGTTATTAATTATTATTAGTCAGTATTGTTAGATTATTATAAAATGTCAAATATAATGTAGGTAGATCACTTTATTATATTAGATTTTGTCATTGAGTCTTGCTACTTAGTACAATAAATATATAACAAATTTAATAGAGCTTTATTAGATACAACCTTAAAAAATCCTCAGTAATTTATGAGGGTCAAACAAATTTTTCAGCTCTAATGATACAATTATTCTAATATAAAAAATTTATAACATACTTTACATATTGATTCTTGTAATATGATTCTCAGTAATAAAACTATGTTGATAGTATAATACAATGTAAATATTGTCAAATCAAAATGACTAAACTCCTTATGTAATATGTAGTTTGACAATTTATAGTAAGAATAAAGATTTATTAAATGTTGGTCATCACTAATTCTCTTATCTAAATAAAATCTGCGACTTATAAAACCTATAAGCATATTTTGTTATGAATTTTGTCAAATACACAACAAAAATACTTCTAAGTTTAATCCTATCAGTGTATATATTTTATGAGCAGTGGCGGCTGGTGGGTTATAAAACTGCTGGTGCACTTTACTAAAATATTAAAATTAGAAAATGCAAAACAACATAACGAGATGTCAATCATGGCTCAATTCGTCATACATCGGGTGCTCTCGGTAATCTTCGGCCGCTCGTGCGGCGCTCGAGAACCGACTCATTACTCGGTACATTTCTATGAACTATGTTTTGTTTCACGCGCCAGGCGTATTATTTCGTGTCTCATACAAGATGTATTAGCAGTCCTCGTGAACTCGCCGAAGCGCACGAGATATTAGTTTAGTAAAGCGCACAAACTTTTTGACTATAATTAGAAAACTTAATTTTTTATACGTTTTTATGTCTAAAAAATAAATATTAAAATAGTAATTTAAAAATAAAGATGAAGTAATATTTTGTAATTTTTTAAATCTTTTGTATTGGAAATTCAGCGCACGAGTGCACTTAAGGTACAGCCGCCACTGTTTATGAGACATGCTTTTTAACTTAAAAAACAAAATAATTATAACAAACCCTCTGATAACTTTGTTCCTTGGTAATCTGATGTACTTGATCAAGCAACTGTCTTATTCTCAACTGAAGTTCAGTCAGCTTGTCCTTCTGAGCTACATTGGCATAATCAACTGCATGCTCGCCCACTTGGATGTCTAAGTGTACCTTAAAAATGTTCAAAAACCAGTTATCAAATGAAAAACAATAAAAAGTTCATAGAATTAAAGAGGAAAGTTACAAAAAGGTTATTTTTTGAATTGAAGTCATATATATCAATGGTGATTACAATGCCAGCAAGTTATTGTTTGCACAGATGTTTCTTAAAACTGTTTCATCATCGCAAGAAGTTTTTATATTCCTATAATAATTTAAGTCTAAATTTTAGGTCATTTTTAAGTATTTCAGTGACCATAGGATATAAATTAAAATACTATTTTTGATTATAAGATTAACCATAGACAGTCCTCTACCACAGTAGTAAGTTTGTTTTTATTGAAAAATTATCTCATTTCTCTAGAATAAAACTATTTTTTCGGATTATAATGCGTATTTCATTATTATTAGCAAAAGTCTTAGATCTCATTATAATAATCATGGATAATCTATAAGATCAAATTTAAGACTTACCCTCAGTTGTGAACCACTAAACCAGGAAGTGCTGTTGGAGTACATACAGATGACATGCTCTCCAGGGTTGTTAGAAGTAAATGAAATCATTCCCTCTGATGAATATACTCGAGAGAGTACCACCCGGTCATTGGGATCACGAACTTCAACATGCATACCAATACCAGGCGATGAAGGCATGAATCCTCCCGACCGAGGGTCATATAACTCCACTTTATAGTTAACTAGAACAAATAAATGATATTAGTAACACTGCTTTAGTAATAAAGTTCATTTGTATATTCGGTAAACCACAATCCCTTACCGATTACTGTAGTGTCATCTGGGATTTCTTCTATAAAACATTTTCGTTCCCCTTCAGCTATATGGAAGTACAGAGCTGAGGCCACATCTAAAGCTAATACCAGGGATAGGAGAGTAGATAAATTGAACAGCATCATTTTTACTGTTTTTACTTCTAGATAGTCGGCTCAAATCATATGCAATCGAAATGTCACACGTCACACACGTCATCTGAAAGTATTTTTAGTTATAAGATGCATTCACAATAATTTTTTTTCAAGCACTGTGTTAACTTAGATTAATATATTAATATTATAAAGTAGATAATTCACTTTCGTTATATAAAAAAGGGTAAACAATATTTAAACTTTAAAGTTAAATTATAAAGGTAATGGATATTAAAGTCGTTTTTGTATAAAACAAAAAGTATAATATGTATTATTGATGACGTTACTCGTAATGACAAAATCGTCTCCATCAGCTGTCAACAACGCACTATTTATTTCTGAAGAGGGTTTTGACTTCGAAATAAAAAATATAAATCGCTCTTAAGCGAACAAACAAGTTAAGCCTCTAATAACTTTAACAAAGAACGTATTTACCTTTAGATAAATGTAATTCTATATTTGAAAATACGTAAAAACAACCCTTAAAGATGCTGCCTTATATCATTGCAGCTGCCATAACAGCTATTATTTTAATAATATTAACTATAGTTATCTTTCCAAAATTACAAGGAAAATCTACAAGTAAGTAACAATTAAGTTTATCAGTCACCATAAAAAGCATGAGATGTTATGATAAAAAACAATTTTCATACAAAAACTATGGGTCATGTCATTTCTTAATTTATAATATAGATGCAGCGAGGCCAAGGGCAGTTGCTCAAAGAGATGGAGGTCCAGGAAGAGTCCAGGCAGTTAGGAATCAACGAGCTAGAATGAGAGCTAATGGTATGATAAATTAACATATTTCACTATACATACAGATTGATATGAAAACTTACTTCCATACTTGGGTTTTGGCGTACCCGTTAAATTTTTAATCATAGAGACAAAACCAAAAATAATTAAAGTTTAAATTTTATCAGGAATAAACATACATCAATTTTTTTTCTTTATACTTGATATTAGCCCTATCTACTTTTAAAACCTTTGGTATACAATCATTTCCTTTGTATACAACAATTGTAATTTTTTATTGGCCTTAAAAATCTGCTGATTAAACTATAAATGTTTATAAAATGTATTTTTTTTACATTTATTACATAAGTACCTATATTTATTTTAAAAAATCTGGTTTATGATACTAATTTTATTTTATGATTAAAAATTATATTTCGATGCAACTACACTTTTATGTGTAGGAAGAATAAATATAAATAAGAAATGTTTTGTTATGTATATATATACATAAAGTAGGGTTCCCAAACTTATTTTGTCTGTCTTACTACCCCATATAGGCATGCACCACCCAATAGGGAGTATTATTGCCACTTTGGGAAAGACTGATTTATATTATATTGTATATATAGAGTATGTAATATTTAATATATTATTTTTAGCTGCCCGCCACCAAGCACCCCTTATAGAAGAGGAACCAAATGCCGCAGATGATGGTGAAGATGGCATTCCTGAGGCAGAAAAGGTTGAATTTGATGACAAGATGGGTGCCAAGGTAAGTCAGATACCTTATACACATAATAGATTAGTAAAATACGCAATAGTATACATTTTAAAGACAATTTATGACCAAATATCACTAAAAAATCTTTATTGAAGGCTTATAATTAGGGAAATTAAAATGAGATGTGCTCTGTACATTTATAACCTGACCAACATGGTTGGAATCATAACATAATGTATTTAGAGTTATGTTTGGTATATTTAAACTTCTTTGTGAATTCAAGGATGTTTTCTTCCCATATTTTGACTCAACAAAAAAATCTTTGTCATTTAAACTTTAAAATAAGTATAATCCTATCGGACAAAAAAAATTTAACATGTTTGTATTTGATATAGTTCTTAAAAAGATCAAAAATGCAATTAATTTAAAACTAACATCAAATCAAATTTGAATTAATTGTCTATAAATACAAAAATTAATATATAAAATATGTTTTAGAAAAGAGCTAAAATGGAGGCAAAGTTGGAAAAGAAGAAGGCAAGAGAAGCGGAAGAACAAATGCGTGAACTGAGAAAGAAACGCGAAGAAGATTTAGAAGAAGAAAGAAGGAAAGTGGAGGAAAAACGAGAGGTAAAATCAATTTTAGGCTTAAATTATTCAAAATCCACAACAAAGTTGTTTTGTTCTTGTTCAAGTACAACAAATTATAAAGAAACTCTAGACACCATTTAGTCCAGGCGGAATTATAAGTAATAAAATTACCAATTTATAAAAGCAGCGTAAGTTACTCTGACTTACTTATGCTGATTTACGTCTCGTCGAAATCGATCGAGTATTATTTTGATAATAGTGGATTTCATCTCTAGATTAGAAAGGGTAACAAACAGATATGCAAACATAAATAGTAAAGGATTATTTTGGTATATAAACACCTATTTAGTATACATCTATATGCATTATTGTAAAACTGACATTCAGAGCAATTTAACGTGATTGAGAACTAAATGTAATTATATTCATATTTGCTATACCAAAACATAATCATATATATCATGGTTATAGGAAGAAGAACGTAAGTTAGAAGAAGCTGCCAAGAAAGCCGAAGAAGAACGTAAAAAGCGCGAACAAGAAGAATATGAAGCTATGAAAGCAGCGTTCTCAGTGGAAGGTGAGGGCTTCGAAGAAACTGAGGCTGATGGAGAAAATCTTCTCAAGGAATTTGTTGATTATATCAAGGTTAGTATCATATACATGACTTAAATTCTTTATATTTATCTAGTTTTCCGCCCGCAGCTTCGCCCGCGTTAAGTTCGGTTATATCGCCTTTCCAAGAGAACCTTTCAAAAGTCTGGAATAAAAATTAATCTTAATCTCAAGGTCAACTCCATCTCTGTACCAAATTTCATTAAAATCAGTTCAGTGGTTTAGCGTATTTATTATCGAAAGGAATAATCCTACCAAATTTCAAGTCGCTACGCCTTATGGTTCCAGAGTAATATATAGGTGGAAATCTCTTTTATATATATAGATAGATGAATGAAAAATAAGAATTAAACAGATTATTTAAATTTTTTAGTTTTCATTAATTATGCTTATTACTAAATTATTACATTAACATCAATATATCCTATTATATTTTTGTTGTCATTTATTGATTTATGCTATATATTGGAACTTTAACAATATATTTTTTACTATGATTAAAAATATGTATTTTTTTGTTTTAGGCACAAAAAGTAGTTTTACTAGAGGATCTGGCAGGTCATTTTAAGATCAAAACACAAGCGGCTATCGATAGAATAACTGATCTACAGGCTTCTGGCGAATTAACAGGTGTTATAGATGATAGAGGAAAATTTATTTATATATCACAGAAAGAACTTGAAGATGTCGCTAAATTTATACGACAAAGAGGAAGAGTTTCAATCACAGACCTAGCGGAGAGCAGCAATGACCTAATTAATTTAAACCCTGTTACAGTAACATAGTTATAATTAAAATCTTGACACAAATATGTACAATTTGTTTACGGTTAAAGCAAAGTTTATTTTGTTATTGTTAAGTATAAATTAAATAAACAAGACATTTATAAGAATAATAATGTTTTATTAATTGTATTAATCACTCATTCAATTCATAACCAAATATATCTCTGCCTTTTTCTAACAGCAGTAAAGATGATTCCTTTATCCTATCCAATATTTCAAACAGTTTATTTTTAGTGAAAACTTCATATAGACTACGGTTGTCATCTGCTATTAAGTCACAAAGTTTTACTGCTTCTTTGTGTTGTTCTACATCATCGCCGCTTTGGAGGATTTTGAGAATTAAAATGCACACTTCGGGAATGCAAAGACGTCTCAGTGTATCTAATTGCTTCGTTCTCTCATCTCTGTCTTCCTTTGTAAAGTTCTGAGAGGCTTCACTATCATTCTCATCTTGAAGCCAACCTCCGGGAAACAATAATACATTATATAAAAGGTTTTTAGTGTGCCGGGATTGGTGTAATATAGCATTCCTCCATTTTGCTTTCTGTTGTTCCACTTGAGCACATCTTTGTTCATGGTGTACTTTATCTGAGAATGATGCATTCGGGGCTAATGGTTCAACGTCTTTTGGCTGTCCGCTTATGAAATGTCTATACCAAGTAGCAAATGCTTCCAAAGCCTCCAGATATGATTTCAAACATAGATGTTCACGTAATTCTGACGAGTTTGCTGGAGTTTTCTCAACATATTCAGCGAACATCTGTCTTACACTAGATACACATAGCAATGCAGCATCAGTGTTGCCAATGAAAATAAACGTTCTAATCATGGCATTGCTCAACCAAAGAGCTTCATCACATTGGTTTTCTATGAGGGATAACCACTCTAATGAGGAAATTACTTTATTAATCAGTGTCTTATCCTTTTCATTGGCAGATGTTTGGGTGAATATTGAATCTACATTTCCATATCCTGACTGTATATCTGTAATGGCTTTTTTAATTGCTGCTCTAGCTGATGCAGCAACATCAATGCCGGCTTTAATCCCAGCTTCAACAACATTACTTCTATATTCACTTTTGTATGTCTGATCCATGAGTTCGGCATACAAATTTATCTGTCTGTCACCAGGTATAGTAGATGTATAGTAAGCGATAAGTTCTGGAAATTCACAAGATCCCTCAACTAGACCATAAATGAGTTGAGAGACATATTTCTCCAAAATTTTGTCTCCTATATCATGTTGGGGATCTTTACCCATCTGTCGGAGAATAAGAACAAGGTGAGCTAGAAATCTCACAAATCTATCTTCACCATTTTCAATCCATTCTAAGGAATCCTGCATGATAGTTCTAACTTGACCTAACATCAGATAACGCTGGCATGTTTGATAGTTGGACTCTCTTTTTCCATCCAATAAAGACTTCATAGCATTAAAAACCTGTTGTAAAGACATTTCTTCTATTTGGAGATCATTTTGCAATAACTCTAGTATGTCTGCCGGTGTAGTATTTGCTTCGGCGGTTGCATGATGTTCATGTAAGAATTTATCCACTCTTGCTTCAATTTGCACTCTCAAATGAGCCCACAACAAGTCCTCCCAGTTACCCTGGCATGCTGACACAGCACTCTGTAAGTTACCACACAATATACCAACTGTGGCCCTGTAATGGATATTCTCCGCTACATTATTAGCAATACTTAATGCACACCATTTCCACAAATCTCTTGAAGCATTCCCTCGTAATATGATAGATCCATTTTCTCCCTTTTCGTAGTGAAGTAATCTCCAGCCTTGTAATACCGCACCACGCCATGCTTGTCCGGCGCCAATACATAAAGAGACAGCCTCTTCAAACTTACCACACCTTACTTCCGTAAATATTTTCTTGCACAGATCATTATCATCCTTTTTATCGTCAGAATGGATTACTCTGTTTTGACGTTTCGGTGCATCTGGATCAACACAGGTAACCATTGATTTATTTTTTTCTTTATTAAACAGACTCGATCCTATCAGTAGCTCATGAAGAGTGTTGCCCCAGTGTATATTGTTGCAAATTACTGGGGCAGCAGTTTGAGTTGTTTCTTCCTGATATGCGGCCGTTGCTTCCAGCCAGTCTACTAAAACTTGCAATAGTCGGAGTTCCGGGTCACATTGGAACAAAGCATTCACTAAGGCTTGTTGAGACAATGTAGGCTCTACTATAACACTCTCTAGCGACTCCGGATGTTCAGTAACTGAATCCGCGAAAAGGCAGTACAGAAGTTTCCATGTGTTAGCTTCTTCGGCGAGCCAATAATTTTGTGCATTATATCTATGCCACGGTTCAACAATTTCAAGTGAGTCGCAACAAACTTGTGCTAACCTCTTCAATGTATCCAAAACCTCACTAGGACGACCAGATTGTATTATTTCAAAGAATGCTTCATTTAACCCATCTCCAGCATTACTGGCATTAACGATCATTGACGATTCATCCAGGACATGCCGCAAACTAGTATCGTTAAGGTTTTTCAAAATTGAAGTTTCGTTAAGAATCGGGGACATATTTAAAGTATTCAAAGTGTCGTCTCTATTTAACAAATGTCTTACACGTTTTGATTTTAAGGGTGTAAGCTGCGTAGAATGCAGCTGACTTCGTTCAAAATTCATGTTTAGTAATTTATAAACTTAAATGTTACGAACTATTAAACAGCAAAACCGCGTCGTTTTCCGCGGTTTTTGATTTCTTAAGTCTTGAGTTATGACTTTTAACAGATTCAAAGTTGCCAAGTTAGAAGACTTAGGTAACTATCAATGCTTTCGGCATTATTTTTTTCCAGGTATTCCCTAACAGTCAGTTTTTTAAAATACTCTTTGTACCTTTTACTCAATTTTTTCCCAATGTCCTTTGATAAACAAATTACAAAAAAGCTTCAGTTAGGTTTTTACATTTCAAAAAATCATGCACAAAAAAGAACAAGTTATTATTTTATAAATAAGTGTGCAATATGTATAAATAAGTGTGAAAAATATATTATTTCTTTATAAGATATAATGTTAATGGTTAAAAAAAAATATAATAAAATTCTAAAAAATATAAATTTTTATTCAACAGTTAATGAACATTTGAAAAGTTATTAGGCAACTCGTCCAAGACAACCTGTCGAATATTGTAATAATCGCACAGCACAGGCCACAGAGTACCTATATCTATTTTAATTAATTCAAAACCCAATAAGTGTGGAGGCAAGTATTAAAAACTTAATTATTTTAAACTTAAGGAAGCTATTTCAACTTTAGAGCTTTATCAATGATAGTGTTATAATCCGTTATATTTTTATGAAATAAATACAATTATTGTAATCGGTACCTGTATAAAAATATATAATATTGATAATAAATCTTTAATGTAAGGATATTAGCCAAAAATTCCTTTTTCCATATTAAATTTATATCAGTTATTAAATTATAATAGATAGAGTTATTTTAATAATACCTGAGTTGTTGCACTATATATTTTTATGAAATAATCTTTACTTTAATAAGAGAATAAAAATCAAGCTAAGTTCTTATTAGTATGTTATCCAAGGGAAAGTTAAATATCAAATATCTGCATATATGTCATTCATTATGCAGATTTTTGATGTTTAATATGTATACTTAAAACTGTTAATATATAACAAAATATAACATTACCTTTTAACCCTTATTGAAAGATTTATTTCTCGAATTTATATTTTTATAGAAATTTCAGTTCGAATACTTAAAAAAATAAACATCTTTATAAACTTAAAATATTTTAAGGGATGGTAATTTGAATATATACTTCAGCAATGTTAATTAGAATTAGTGTTAGTAAAATATTTACTCTTTTTGTAACAGTCACATTCTAAAAGTTTTTTAGTCCTTTGAATTGCTTAATTGTGTCACCACTTTGGTATACTCATTCATCCGGACTAAACATAACATTTTTATCTCTTAGTAAATTTTTGTATTTCATCTCGGATTTATGTTTAAAAAATATTATATTCAATTATCATTGCTTCTATTTACTTACTTTCTTTAAATTACATATTTTTTTATTATTTTGGTAGTATTTTGTCTCTTATCTTTTTTTTTATTGATTTTATTTATGAAAAGATATAACTCTACTAACTTTAAGTTGGGTATAAAGTTCCAAAAATGTCAATTTGAAGAATAGTAAAGGATATTGTAGTAAGTAATTCATATATGAAAGGAGATACAATTTAAGATTAAAGACTATGTAAGTGTATTTTATGTGAATAAAGTTTGAAAAGTACTTTACATAATGTAGTGTAAAATTGCTACATAATATAAAGCTACCAGATTATATTGACTTCACATATGAAGGGTAACAAATCTAAAAAGTATGATACTCTTATTTGAAAAGCTCTTCCTAATAGCTTGAAAAATAGAAATATGTAATATTGTCTCTTAAGACCCATAATTATGATATAAAATAAGTTAATTTAATATATGAAAAAACATAGTATTCTTTTTATTCTTATATCTTAGTGACAGAAGTGACATTTTCAACACTAAAATTATTGTCATTTTCAGTTACCTGTCACATATGTAAGAGTATTCAAAATGGTTTTATTATTGTACAGTCCTTTATTCTATTCAAATTATATTACTTCTAGGCCACTTATGTTCAACAAGATGGAGGAAAAGCAGACAACAAGATTTGATAAAAGTTTTCAAGAATTACAACTTTTAATACTCAGTTATAACAAGGTGAGAAAATAAATTATCAGTACTAATTAATATTAATACATAATTCTATTTATTTTGTGTTGTTGAACTACTTTTTGTTTATAATGTTCTATAACTTTTCATTACACATACTCCTTTTAACATTAAAGTTGTGAGCAGTATTATTCATGATTTAACAGCAAATATTTGTTAAAAAGTAATCATTTATTGGTTTAAATATAAGAGATTATTGATAAAATAAGGTACTTATGAGTTGGGAAAGATTAATTCAAACGATACCCAAGCCAATATTAGGAGGACTTAATGACTTATGTATACTTTTGTATATATTTTTTTAATTTCTTGATATTTCAAATGCAAATAAATATTATATAGCAAAATTTATGTATAGATCTAACAATCAATATGGCTTATGGTTCAAATAGTTTATTAATTAATATTTTTGATTGAAGACATATACATATATACAAGATGGAACAAAAAGATACAAATTTATAACTAAGATTGGAAAAAAATATCAATATTTATCTTAGAAATAATTGGAAATCATTAATAAAATGCATTAAGTGGATGTTCTTTATAAATGTATTTCTTTTTCTTTAATTTCATTCTTCATACATATTTGTGCCTGGGTTGTACTAGAAATATAATTATAATATATAATTTGAATAAAAAATATAATATATAATTTAAATGAAAAATATTAGAAAATTATGGTAATTACAGTAAAAACTAATGTGAAATGATCAATTAAGTGTATTTTATTATTAAAACCAGTCGCGTATTTTGTATTATTTTTATGTAGTTTATTTTTTGGCATTTAATAGAGATCAACAACTTAAGTGCCACTTGCCATTTTTTTTAATCACAATTTTTTTTAGATCGCAGAGTAAAATTGTTTATTTTTAAATATTTTTGAATAATACTTCTAAAACAAATGTGTAAGAAGTTCAATAAAAACGTATCTAAATTTAAAAGTTCTCTGTAACCAAGAATATATTTTTTTGTCTAGCAACACTATTTCCAAGTATTTTGTAGATTTTTACGTTCAATTTATGTGTAATTTTAAAAACAATTTACTGAAAGTTATTATAATTTGTATACATTTTTATTTTAACTTGAATAATATTTAATCATATCTTTTTTTTTTTAAATTATCAACATCCGTAAATGCACTGCGTTGCTTTTAAACATTTATTATTTAAAAATCACAAGCATTCTTAATATTTTCTATGTTTAAACTTTTCATAGAAACTGATTTATACCACAAATGAGTTAAAATATATTTTTTATCTTAAAAACTATTTCCGATTTCGTCATAATTTCACCTACGATAGTTCTATTGTTAGTATATGGCGTGGCGGTAATATATGAAGTGTCAACTGAATAACTTTTATCTTTGTTAATATTCTACCGTATTTCAATACATGTTTATTTGTATTTAAAATTATTATATATTTTTTTAAATATGTCATAATATTTTTCTTATTAGTGAGCACAATAAAAGTACGTTTATTTTATTGCGTATTTGACTTTACCGCGCAGGTACCATTTCAGGGACGATATTTCTATCTCTTTTTAACGTTCAGAACTCGCTCAGTGCTTTTAGCGTTTGGTGTGGTCTACGCTACGTTTCGTCATAAGAAATGAATTCCTATACATTTGAATAGTGTTTAAGGCCTTACTCCGCCATTACTATTAAAATTTCCTTGTTGTCATTGTTTTACGTAAACATATTAAAGTATCTTAACAGTGGAGTGATGAAATTAAGTTATATTCATTCTTGGTTTAAGTGTGTTTGAAAACTATATCATTTCCTGTTCTATATCGTAGAGAAACAAGCCTTTTCGGCCTCTAGGGACTGGATTCATTATCACGTGGGTAAAATAAATTCGAATTATGTGGATATTTAATAGTAGTTTTAAGTGTTTGTAGTTTATGTTCAGTTGACGATGACAGTGTTTCTTCCGAATACACAAAGACCGGCTAGTAATCAGTGTACATCGTTGTTTTTCAGAAGCGCGCCACACGCATAAATTTTTACCAATACAACTATTGTGAACCGGCTGAAGATCGTCCTGGAGAATGACCTCTAATAGAACAGTGCAGTGTAATATTGTGTTAGTGTTGTGAAAGAGTGTATAAGTGGGTCATTATATAATTTCGGGATGAGTGAAGTAGGAAGCCCGCCCTGACGCGTCTTGCGCCGGCGTCCGCGGCGGGCGACGCTCGTGTCATGGCCCCGGCGCTAACTGTGACACCCCAATATAACCACTACGACGCCGTCGAAGAAACAGAGAAGCTATCCCACCGAAGACGGGCCCTCGCGTCCGTCGATAACGTTACTATACCCATGGAGGAAGACGATATGGGGCTTCAGAACCAACCCAGCCTGGCTAAGGACTCTCAGGAAATGGAACAGATCCTAGTAGATTTAGGTAACAATGACCTCGTTCAGGCTGATTTACTACAAGCGATCAAAACCTTGGAAAGTGGCGGCGACACCCTGTCTACAGGTGACCCAGATGGTATGTTCCCTTTGAGTGGTTTCGATCTAGCTGATACAGTCGATTCAGAGAGCGATGCTACAGAGGATAAGATAAGATTAATACAAGCGCGTTTAGAACGCCGGTGTGCGTTCCTATTGAGACGGCTAAGAATATTGCAAGCTAGAGCAATTGGCAAAAGAATATCAGAGGAAGCGTCGCAGACTTTCGAAAAATGTGCGAAGGGCGCTCGGAAAGATGGCGGTGGTAGGCCGATGGGGCTTAAAGCTCTATTAAAAAGGATAGAGACAACGGCTGCTTTACAAGCGAGTGCGGCATCTCGGTCTGTGGTCGGTCCTAAGTATTACCGAGCGGGCACTTCAAAAGGTGATGCCTCAAGATCTGCGTCTATTGGAATACCTTCCGGGACGTTGACCGGCTTGGAAGACTCTGCTGGTGCATTAAGATCACATTTATCAGTAGTTAAACATCAATTGGATTCTGATGCAACAGCTTCGTCATCTGGAGCGGAGAGCAACGATGAGGCAGTCACCTACAATAACCCTCACCAGCAACCAATGCCTATGTAAGTAGTTTATTTTTATGATATATGTATTTCACCCTGTTTAGTCATCTACATAAAAACCTTATCAATTTAAAATTATGATAAAAAACATGTAATATATGAGATTTATTTATTTAATTCACTACATTCATTGTCTTAATATAAAAAAATATTAAATCAATTCATTAATTTATACAAATGTATATTTTTTAGGTAACAAAAGAAAATTTATTTATTTGAATATTAAAATTAGGTTGACCTATATTCCTATAAGTACTATTCATTCTTCATTTTTTTTCAATACTTTCAATTTGGAACATAACTTTGTTTTTTTTTATATTGAACTTAATCAAAAGTAGTTATATACATAAATTTTGTTTTTATTGTTTTGCTCTCTTACATTTGAAATATAATTTAGCATCACATTTCTCAATAAAATCAACAAAAAGAATGAACTACTTATTTTGATGCATAATAATTTTCCCACCTATATGATAAATATTTTCAATTAAATTCAACATATAATAATCCATTTTGAAAACCTGGTAGCATCTAATAATTTTGTTATTCTTTTTTCTATAAAAAAATAAAAAAAATATCATATACATATTTGAAACAAAAGAAATATGCTTTTGTTATTAATTCTAAACTTAAAATGGGACCAAATTTCACAAATTATACTATGGCTATGTATAATTCATTACAATTCAATAATTTTCATTTTGTTCTGCTTTATTTATGCTTTTAATAGATTTATTTTATTTCTTGCTCATAGCACTTTTGTTATTAAACTGACTGTTGTACATATATAGTATCATTGATTTATTTTTTTAATATATATATTATTACTAGTGAGGTTTCCTAAAAATATAACTCAGTAGCTGAGCATTGCAATGTCTTATAGATATTCTTATTAAAAATTTAAACTTAATTCCCCTTTTAATGCTTCTATCATAACTTTTAAAGTACAAATTTTAATAGACTTATCCTCTTAGTTAGATTTTTCTATGACAAAATTAAGCCAAAGAAATTATTCCAAAATGTGCTCTTTCTAGATGCATAAATATTTTTGAGATTAGATTGTTTTTAATAACTTGTATGTAATTTTTTATGCAGTACAATAACACTGTATGTAATGCATGTATTTAATCTTATGAATTGTGGAATAATTTTATACATAATGTATTTATGTCATATAACCAAATTATTAATACATATACTGATTTTTTTGATGATGATTCTAATTTATTACACCAGATCAAGTAATTTGAGTAGGTTTTAGTTAACACTAGCTTTCCGCCGCAGCTTCGCACGCGTGGAGTTGGGTTATATCGCATTTCGAAGAGAACCTGTCAAAAGTCTGGGATAAAAACTAGCCTATGTTCTTTCTCAAAGTCAACTCTATCTCTGTATCAAATTTCATTAAAATCAGTTCAGTGGTTTAGGCGTGAATGCGTGAAAGACATACAGAGTTACTTTCGCATTTATAATATTAGTAGGGATAGAATTTATTTCGCCATAACATTATATTGTATAATGTTTCTACGTTATTAATGACTTAAAATATATAAATTTAATATTAATTAACTTTTTCCAGCGAGAAGCGTGCGTTATACTCGTGGCAGAAGGCGCGGGCTTCGATCGCTGCTCGTTGGTGTTGGCTGCAGGTGCAAGTGCAGGAATTGGAGTACAAGATACGCCAGCACACAGAGCTACATGCACAGGTTATTATATTACAGCATATGCTGACATAACATGCACATGTATATCGGAACATGCACTGTCAGCTACTTGCACAGTTTATAATATGCTATCAGAACGACATACATAGTTTATATTAGAATATATGCATACATAAAACTATATGCACAGGTTAAATATTACAGTGTATGCAAACAAAATATGCACTAATTATATATAAGAACATGCACACTTAACTACATTCACAGTTTACATGCTATCAGAATTACATTCATAGTTTATATATTAGAATATATGAATACATAAATCTATATGCACAGGTTAAATATTACAGTGTATGCAAACAGAAAATATGCACCTATATCAGAACATGCACTCTCAACTACTTGCACATTTTATATGCTATCGGAATTACATGTGCAGGGCCTATATATAAAAATATGCATATACAGAAGGATATATTATGTCAGAACATATGCATAAATTGTTCATAAAAAAGTAATGTCTTCAATAGAACTGTCATGTTGAGCTAAAAACTCTTCTCATATATTGAGCTATTCATCTATGAAGTTCCAAAACATAGTTTAATCACTGACTGTATGTATGAAATTGAATGAGAAATGACTATATGGAATATATTCCTAATACACAATTTCAGATGCCCTGCCAATGATTGAAATAAATATGTATATTTTAGAAATAGTATTGCATTAAATGAAATATTTAAGATATATTCATTTTACATTTGATAATATAGTGCAGTTATATTATTATAAGATTAAAAGTTAAATGTTCTTTAAATATTTATAAATCATCTAAGAAATCAAATAATTAATTTTACATATATTGCTATATAGATATAATAGAAACTAAATGATATTCTAACAATTTTATTTAACAAAATATATAATAAAAATATTATAGTGATAAATATGTTTGTGTACACATATATTTTTTTACATTTATTTCTAACAATATTTTATAATATGTCTTGATCTCATGCTGAAGGTTTGATTAAATAATTTTTTTGTAAATTATTTTTGAATTTTGTGCATTTCTATTAAAAACTAGGAGACCTGGCGAACTTCGTATCGCCCTATAATCAAGAAATGTCTATTACGTTTTTTTTATTTATATTTTTGGAGTTTACCTGTAAGCCATAAATCTCCGTGTTTTGAAATGCGACAGAATGATTGACATATTAGTTAGTTGTCAAATCTAATGTCAAAAAAAACGTTTGTATGGGAAATAGAAAAGGGCTGTTTTTGTGGTTTTCCCAGTAATGAATCAATTTTTTTCAGCTTTTATACCTTCCCTGAACCTCCACGAACATTTCAAGACTAAGATAAGATAAATCCGTTCAGCTGTTCTCGAGTTTTAGCGAGACTAAGGAACAGCAATCCATTTTTATATATATAGAAGATATAATTTAATTTAATTTTGATCTTTAAGAAAACTATCAGTACTTAGTACTAAATGGGACTTTTAATTATTAAAATCAATTTAGTGAATGAAATTTGAAGGTGTGTTGCTATGTATACTTATTTGCTTAAATGTTTAATATTACTCTAGTTTTATTCATAGATTTATCTGTAACTATTTTGTTTACTTACAACCAAATCCAAAATAAGCTGAACATGCATTGCATTAAATAAAAGGTAGATTTTATATAATCTACAACTTGTGCATAGTGTTTCTTCATATAAGTAATTTTATTTTCAGCAGACTCCCATAAAACAAATATCAAATAAATATTCTATTTAAATTCTAAGTATTTGACCTACATACCATATGTTTTTTGACTATACATATATACATTGTGTATACATTTGTGAATGCCGCCTTATCCTATACAAAGTCTAATCTTATCAGATATTTTGTGCAATTCCAACACATTACTGGGCCTCATTAACTTTTCCTGTTCATTGTTTATAAAGCATATATGGTTTTTGTAATGGATATAAATATAATATAGAAATCTCCCAAAGAAAGTGACTATTAGTTCATTAGTTTGATGAAATAAAAGATGTTACAATACATTATACAAAGCTTTGAATTTTCATATTCGTCAGATTGTTTTTTATATGGAAGACATTTGGAACCAATACTCCATTAAGAATATAGAATATTATGCTATTTGAAACTGTGAATATTATGCTATTGGAAATTCTGTTGGTATTTCATACAAAAATTACTCAACAGAGTTATTTTACACAGATACCTACTTATAAATCTGAATAATAAGTGGGATTTTAATTAATTCTAACAATAGTCCATATTTTAAAAGACACAATTATTAATATTTTCAATAAGATTATTTCAAAATATAAGTCCTTATATATAAAATTCACAATCCAAATTAAACAGAGACTTCATCTCTTATCACACTCATATAAGGTCATTGCTCTTGAATTTAATATAATTTTGGCTAATCTTGTATTCTATTACAATATATAAAATTCATTACTAAATTTTTGTGTAGATAAGATGAAAATTATTGTATTATTATCATACTGTTATAATTAATGATAATATTTATATAATTTAATAAAACTTGATTTAAAATATGTGTATATTATAGAAGAAATTTGTTAGCTTAATATTCTGAAAATCTTTTTGTATGTTATATGTAAATTGAACTCTTCATTAGGAAAAATTTGTATATATTCCTATCTGGCTTTAAAATGAATTAAAAACAATCATCACTACAATAATATGTATTACAGATTATAATTATGGTTATTTTATATATTAATAATCAAAATTTATATACAGAACATTATAAATATACGTACTAAACATCTTGTTTGAAATTCTTTATAATTATAATTTCCAGGTCCGTGAAGCTAAAGGTCCGGTTGAATTTGAAGTTACCGGCGAATCCCAGTTTGAAGACACATGTTCCAGAGTTAGACCTCTAAGAAGGGACACATTTAATAAGAGAAAATTGCTACAGATGCACAATTTACATATAGCAACAAATAAAGCAGCGAAACCATCGGATATCAAGTTAGTATAAAGATATTTGTAATGTAACCATATTTGAAGTTAATTTTAATTGTATGTACATGTTATTAAAATCTCTGCGATTGTGATGAATGAAATCTGGGATCATTAAAATATAAATAGAATATGATTTCAGAAAATTATTGTCTTTAAAAAATTTTTCATTAGTTATCGTAAATAAATTATTTAACAGGTTTATTCTGTGTGTTTTATACACTCAAACTTTCGAAATGAGAGGATATCAAAATTTTATGACGCATTTAAAAGTGATTTTTCAATCACAGTGATGTGTTCCTATTCATGTCTTTATCATTTATTAATCATATTACTAACAAAATATATTTTTTTAACGTGAAACTAATATAGCTAATAATTTATATAAACTTTAAAATTAGTACTTGCTACTTCCACCATTTCAATAAGTAGTTTTCGTCTACTAATATTCCTATATAGTGTCTATGAAAAATTGTGTCAACCCCCTTAACTGCGTTAACAGTATCGAAAATGGAACACAATCAAACAACTTACATTTACAAACTCTTCAATAAAAATAATAAAATTAAATGTCTATTATATGTAGAGTAGCAAAATGTTTGTACCCACTGGTATAACACGTATAAATATTACTGTATATATTCAATTAAATTTTGTACGTGTATGTCCACAAAACTCGCGAGTGATAATCACATGTTTTGTTCTAGTTGTCGTTGTGTGGGTAGTTCGTGTGCCGTGTGTACGGGGAGGTTCGAGGCCACGCAGCCGATGGCTCCTAGTGGGATGCTGCCACCTTCTGCAAGACGAGCGTTGGTCGATCCCTCGCATCACCCTGTACTGAGTGATGTTAATGGTAAAAGAATATAAGTTACATAAAGGTCGCTAATAGGGAAAATATGCGTTTAGTTTACAGTAATACCCCGCTTTACGCGAGGGATACGTTCCGAAGAAAATCGCGTTAACTAAAATTCGCGTATATCGAGGTTTATGATTAAACACAGTCAAAATTTAATAAACAAATATAAAAATCATTTTAAAAAATCACTTTAATTCTAAGAACACTATACAATACATAGGTACTTCTATTTTTTACGAAAAATGCATGTATTGTCTTTTGGATAGCGTTTTGTTTACGTTCTTGTAAAATACGTTCATAACACCAAACACTGTTTTTAATCGTTTGACACACGTTCAAGACACGGTCATCATTATTGTCTATACTCTGCAATGTCCCATCCTGAATAAATTTTTGAAAATCGCGTTATAGTGAAACCGCGCAAAACGGGGTCGCGTTAAGCGGGGTAATACTGTATTTTATTTATTTAGGAACACCAACAGTACACATATGCAACATTTACATAAAAAATACAGTCAAAAGTATAGGTCTTCATATGTAACCTATTACAGGTATTCACAGCACTGTCTAAAAAGTTTTATAACAACGATAAGCGTTACTAGCATTAGATAATTCAATGTACCTTGCATTAGAAGTAGAATGACAGAGAAAAGTTAAAGTTTGATTATTTTCTAAGTTATTTTTAAGGTAATTTTTTTACAGTAAGTAATTATTTGTGAGTTAAATTTATTACTCACTCTGATAAAGTACCTTAACATTTATTCATTTAGATAATTATTAGATTTAAACCTTCCTCTGCGGCATCTTCCAACGATAGTTTCGCGGATTTGCACTATTTCTGACGATAAACGCTTTATTCGATAATAATGTAAATGAATAGAAATTAGAGAAAAATTACAAAAAGTAAATTACATAGTTTTATTCAAACATATGCTCTTGTAAAATTCAGAAACGAGCAACATACATTATATACCTGACATTTATACTACACTATCTGCGCCCCGCGGTGCTACCCGCGGTGTATCAGGTCGAACATTTTCCGGGATGTAAAGTAGCCTATGTGTTATTCCTGGACGTCAGCTTCCTGTATACAAAATTTTATCGAAATCAGTTCAGCCGTTTGAGCGTGAAGAAGTAACAAACATACACACACTCACAAACTTTCGCAATTATAATATTAGTAGGACTATAACAAATGAAAAAGTGTCTCCAAAATGCAAATTGTTTTTACTGCATACATCTCATATACAGGGTGACTGGTGAATTACTATCAATATTTGAGGAGAGTACTCGGTACATGATTCTCATTCGAATTATGTCAAAAAAAATAGGTACTTAATTGTTGACCAAATTTCCGTATAAATAAATAAAGTGTGGACACGTTCCAAGTGTTCCAAGTGTGGACGCGTGCGGCGGCGTGCTGATACAACACCACGCCGCCGCACGCGTGTGTGTGTGTGTGTGTGTGTATACCTAATCTGTAGGGTGTTCACACGATGCGTTATTAATTACATAACTTTTGGTTAACTTTACTTAGAAGTTTATTAATATTTATGTTATATTAATTTTTATTTTGTCATATATGATCGTCAAATATCACGTCCTCAAATATCGATAGTAATTCACCAGTCACCCTGTATAACATATCAACAATCTGATGAATCAAAATATAATATTATATATATAATTAATTCCAGATCTTCGTCCGTCTGTTCATCTATCAGCGTTAACATCACGCTCGTGGTTCAGATCGAGAGTCACCAAGTCGTGGCGCGGAGCACATACTGGTACAACACCGAGGGCGCCGCCCGCACCGCCGCCGAGACACAGGCGACTTACGACTAGTGAGTATAAATACATGTATATAACACATAATATAAAAGAGATTTCCTCCTATATATTGACTCATCACGATATCCTTGGAACCATAAGGCGTAGCGACTTGAAATTTGGTAGGATTATTCCTTTCGGCGAGTAGAGGTCAGCTAAGAACGGATTTTACGAAATTCCACCTACAATTACACAATCCTATAGTTAAGACAACATGATTGCCCCGATTTTAGAAACCCAATGAGAATTCCATTTGTGTTGTATGAGGAATGTTTTAGTTTACTCAGCCAGATTTTTCTTTTCGCTAAGTCAGTAACGTCATTCGTTATATGATATTTTAGTTTTTGTCCATACAACTACGCGTATTTAAGAAATACGTGAACTTCATAGGTTTCTTACAAAATAAATAACTTCCCAATCGAGTTAAGGTTAGATAAAAATTTTGGTTACCCCCATGTAAAATATTCTCGATTTTCCTTTAATAAATTGTGGAATAATTAAATAACATCCATTATTTTCAGAATTGAAAAGAGGCCGGCCACCTTTATCACGTAAGATAAGAGAAAGAGAGAGGGATGAAGATAGTGCTTCAGGACAAGAAAGGTAATTAATATATTTAAATGATTTTACTAATATACTAAAATAATAGTAATGTTAGTTTAGTTTAGTATATTGAATTTATTTGAATTACTGTGGAATATGATCAATCTTGACTGGTATTGTATGATACTTTAAAAAGCACTTTATTTATATGAATTTCTCTAGAGGATCAATCAATTAAGATATGGTTACAAACCTAACTGGAAGCGACATCTTTAGTCTGTGTCATGGGACTTCATATATAAAAAAAATGTAACACTGATTATGCGAAAAATTATATGGATTTCCAGGATAAGTTTAGCCTAAGTCTTACTCTGATGACCAAGCTAGATTTCTGCGAAACATTAACATTAGTAAAGTAGGTCAAGTAGATTGGTTAGGTAGATAGAGGAGCTTGGACAGTGGAGGTGAGCGTATAACGCGCGTTAGATAGGGCCTTTAAACCTACACCTGGGTCATAAGTCCCAGGCACTGTTGAAGCTCCTCTCCCTACAACGCTATGGACCCGACACACGCACGGTGAATACATTGAATGCTAAGAGGTTTTATATTATTAACATATGTTAGACATTAAGTAACTTAAACGAAATGTCATAAATATATCATTTCATCGTCAAAAATGGTAACATGAAGCGATATTATAATATAGTAATATATTGTATATGTTAATATTAATATTTCCAGGGGTCGAGGTCGATCGAGTACTGAGAATCGTTTGTGGCGGCGGCAGTCTTACGATATTGATAACATCGTTATACCACAGAGCGTCGCCGCTAGCACTCGGCCGGAGATACTCACCTATAAAGAAATTATAACACCCAAGTACGATAACATAATATATTAATGACATGATATCCATATATATAATATTTAATATAAATGAAATTAAGACAAATCAATTTTTTTTTAGCCTATGATTGAAAATCTTAAATTAAACTCAGCTGTTTAAATTTCTCTAGACGAAATACAATTATAAGTTCGTAAATATGATCTGGTGTAATATTTGAGTTTTAAGGCAATCTACTGTGAATAATAAATATAAGTAAAAATATTTTAAGTAAATATATTAAATATTTGATTATTTACTTAATAAAGATTACGATTAGAGAAATTTAAGTCATAACATATGAAAAAAAATTGTATTGATTAAATTTTGAGTCATTGATATATTAATTACAAATATATTTTTATCTGCAAATAATAAATCTCAATTTGATTTATTTCAAAGATATTAAAGAATTCATTAAATTATTATGGTTATATATTCAATCATTAACTCATGTATTTTGTTTTATATAATTTTAAATAAATTAATAAAAAATATATGTATATAGTACGAAAATGAAGAAAAATGTATCTGTAATAGAAGACATAGAGTAGATTTTTAAAAACAACAAGTCTAAATAAAGATAATATTTTCAATAGAAAATGACTACTTTTGCAATAGTTTAAATATTTTTGTTTGTTACACAGATGGAGGGTTATGGAAATACCAGAAACACCGCTCAACAATGGTGTGTCGAAATCTAATAGGATGTCTATAGAGAGTGATGTAAGTTACATTAATTTATATTCTATAAAATAACATACAAATTTTTAAGTCACTGAAGGCCTAGTGGTTAAAGGCCCGCCTCTCATGCACAAGGGCGCGGGTTCGATCCTGGCAAGTACCAATGTGATTTTTCCGAGTCATATGTATTTTCTAAGAGTATTTAGACACCACTGACATACGGTGGAGGAAAACATCGTGAGGAAACCTGGACTTTAAATTTCACAATTATAAGTTTGAAATCACCAACCCGTCTTGAGCATGCGCTGTGATTAATGCTCAAACCTTCTCCATGTGAGAAGAGGCTTTTGCTCAGCAATGGGCTCTGATAGGCTGATGACAATACAAATTTACTTTAAAATTATAATTATTTATTGAACAATACTTATAATGATACTTATCTCATACTCGTCATAATCTTCCAAATAACTAAATAGTTTTGAAAAAATACACATATATATAAATTATAATGATTGTAGGACGAAGATATATCAGAAGCAGCGGTACAAGCTCGTCATACACGAGCCGAAACTAGAGAACGGAACAGATATCTACGTAAGAGAAGATCTAGGAGACGTAATACAGAAGATGAGAATAATGAACCTATACCTGAAGTAGTTGTTCGACAGGTTACACCACCACCACACGAGGTAATTAATAACATTAATATAGGGAATACACTAGCTGAGCCCTGCGGTGTTACTCGATGTAAAGTAGCCTATATGCTATTCCTGGATATCAGCTTCCTGTATACAAAATTTCATAAAAATCGGTTATAAAAAACACTCACAAACTTTGACTATTATAATAATATGTATGGAATATATTATGTAATATAGTTTATGTACTATACAGGGTGACTGGTGAATTACTATCGATATTTGAGGACGTGATATTTGACGATCATATATGACAAAATAAAAATTAATATAACATAAATATTAATAAACTTCTAAGTAAAGTTAACAAAAAGTTATGTAATTAATTACGCATCGTGTGAACACCCTACAGATTGGGTATACACACACACTCACACATACGCGTTTGGCGGCGTAGTGTTGTATCAGCACGCCGCCGCACGCGTTCACACTAGGAACACTTGGAACGTGTCAACACTTTATTTATTTATACGGAAATTTTGTCAAAAATTAAGTACCTATTTTTTTTACATAATTCGAATGAGAATCATGTACCGAGTATGCTCCTTAAATATTGATAGTAATTCACCAGTCACCCTGTATAAATATACATATGGTCGGGGATAGTGTAAATCCGTGTAAATACCTTTGGATAATTCCGCGTTTCTATATTGGAAGCAGATTATCAGAAGAAAGTTAGAGTTGAAATATTTTCTATAAATTAAACACTAAATAATTACTACTTGTGAAAAAATTACCTTAAAAGTCGTTAATATACAAAAATTTCAGCTTAAACTTTCTTCTGATAATCTGCTTCCAATGTAAATACGCGGGATTATCAAATGGTAGCTACGCGCATTTGCACAATCCCCGACGATATGTATATATCGTAGTAGTTTCATATGTGTTATTATGATCATTTACTTACAAATAACTCAATATTTAAAAGATTTATATTCAAATTATTATTTTTTTAAATTTATGAATTATTATAAATTCTCCACATAATAGCCTTTTTATAATGAAGTATATTAAGAATAACAGGTTTCTGCTCTTTACTTAACATATAAGAAATTGCATATAAATTATAAAATTTATACCAACTCTTACCAGAAATAAAAGTGACCTTTGTATGTTTTAACCTGCTAATGTTTTTAATGAAGATCCATAATGGAATTCAGATATATTTTTTGTTATCATTATTTATTTTGTAGGGAGAGTAAAATTTGTTATCCTGTTACGAAATGGTAGAAAAAGTGGTTAGATGTTCATGCAATCTTATCAATAAACAACTCAAATATATACTTTAAATCTTGTAGGAGGTGGATAATAATTATTTAGGTAGAAATATATTTTTAGTCGTTAATTTTAATTTAATTCCTACGCATTAAGTTAATGTTAATATTACAATATAATTCCAGACAGTGCCACCATATTCCCCGAGGCAGTTCCCTCTCAAAGATGATCTCTATCAAGACATGTTATCCAAAATGCCTGAAGGTTATCGACCTATCAGCCCCGAATTAGATCCTGACATAACAATGGACGATGAGACGAGTTCCCTATCACCATTATCACCTTTGAACTTTGAAGGTGATGATCCCGATGATGATGAATGGAATCCAAGCAATGAAAAATCTGATAAAAGGAGAAGTACACTTAGATAAATCACTATTCATGAACATTATTGATGTTAAATAACTTATTTCATGTCAACATTATGACTTCATAACTGGCCATCTGATTTATAAAACAGTGTGTAATTTATTGATGATTAAATTAATTTAATCATTGAGTTCTTGAATGGTGTTACTGAGATGTAAATTAAGTATATATGTAATGGGACTTAACAACAATATGATGCTGATTGTATCAAAATGGTATTACAATTAATTGCCTATTTTTGAGACTATTGATCATATAATTTCTGGCAAATTTATACGAAATAGCATCTTAAATATTAAAGGTATTGGTTCAAGAAACTAATATAAGAACAGTGTATTTTAACACAAATTGTTTTCAATAGCCAATGTATGTACAAAGTTTAACTACATTGATGTTTAATTGAGCTGAATAAGTGTGATAAGTAATTTATTGCTTAAAAACCCCAAGTTAATGTTTTTTTAATCAAAATTGTTGTTAATTCACCAAGAAATTTCGAATTTGTTAACCCCATCTTGTAAGAGTGTATTCATTTAAAAGTTGAATTTTTTACTTAGAACTAAGCCATGATGTATTAATAATTACTTGAATTCATAAAGACAAAATCTTCGAGAGGATCTCAGATAAATATTTTATATATAACATCTATGGCTATTTGGTAGACCTTGTCAACAAAGTTACCGAGCCATTGAGCTATGATTTTGCTTGTTTTCATTAGTAGTAAGTTTAATTTTACATTGTTATTAATTAAAGGCGATCGCTAAATTTCAGAAGCTTTATTACTATTAAGATGTAAATAATATATAAAAATATATGTATATATAAATGAAGTGAATGTTTGGTGTATTCAATGAAACTCCTATATACAATTAATGTTGTTGAGATCCTAAGACGAATATTCATAGTGAAAATATTGTCTTTATCCAAATGTTATGTTATAGAAGAAGTAAGATGGATATAAAATCAATGTCTGTAGATCTACCCTCACATTCCTGATTCAATGTTTTCTGGTACTAATGTATGGTATTTTATTGTCGTATTCAATGTTTAAAGCAAATTAATATTTGATGTCACTGAATTTATATATTTGGGTTTTTGTTTGTACATAATAATAGTGGTACATCTGCGTTTCTCCTGTTTGTTCTTGAGATGTGATCCACAATACATATATATAATATTTCATTATAGGTTTAATTCTAGTTTGTACTGGCCCGAAAACGCAAAGCGGAATGTAAATAACTTAGGGCTCTGAATAGCAACTTATAGACTGGTTAAAAATAATTTGAATCTCTATAAGAGTTCCGTATTTCTCTACAAAAATTTCTTCTATCGAACTTAGTCTGGCCCGTTATGATTATTATTTTATTATTATATCCTCTTCCGTTTTAATTTTATAGATTTTTCAGCAAGCGAGTTAGAACGTGTCAATATGGCGTACAGGCAGGCATTTTGGTTATTATTTTGTTATTTGATGTTATGTCTTGTGGGGAAAGTTTAAATGAACGTGAATGAGTAATAACTGGAGATAGTAATGTCTGGACCATTGTTTGAGAATTGTTTTAGTATAACGAATGTTTGTTTTTTCATACATTTTAAAATTTCCCCTCAAGTCATTGCTGGCATTTTCTTTAATTTTTTTTTTAAAGGGTGACAAATTAGATGAAGTAACATTTTAATATTTTAATTGATAAGAAGCCAAAGTCTTCTTTATGTTAAGCATAGTTTAGGTTTAATGTGACAATTTGAGTCGAGCGCTTGATAAATGCATTATACAATGTGTTGTATATGTTTAGTAAGCAGAATGAGAAATAAAGATTGATGAGTTATCTGATATTTTCTTTACACCCTATATATAAACAAAAAATATATATCAATAAAACTTGTTATATTTCTACTTGATATTGTATATTCAGCAAAGTACATAAAGGCTAAACTGACAATCTCATACGATGTGATTATATTAAGAATACGACGTTCATGAATTTTGACTACATAGTATATAGTATTCTACACAATACGAATATTACTTATAACTAAAAAATAAGCGTAATGATATAAATGCTAATAAAAGTTATAACTACAACGTTAAACCTTACGAACTTCAATATGAACTAACATCTTTAACTAAGAACAATATTTTGTGATTTCATTCATTTTATAATACAATTTACGTAATACATTGAATGACAAAAGTTTTAGCTACCGATGTTTGATTAACTATGAAAGTTCATACTGCGAATATAAAACTATGTACTTAATTAATTACATATATATATTATATACCACTATATATATAGAAGTATAAATCGTTACAATACAGTAAGCAAAATTAGTTTGTTTTCAGACTTCGTAACATAACATAAAACTTATTAAGTACTAAAAATCTTAAATACACAACCTATCATTCTCTATATACATTTAAATGGCATCTTCATGTGGGTAAATTTTATATACTAGTCTAACTTAATCATGTAAAAATCACATAAAAAAATCCTTTGCATATATTAATACTGTGGAATGAATTGTTAAAATATAAATGGTTATAATACACAGCCTTTTAATAGCATTGAAATAATTCTATTTCAAATATAAATGCATACATTACTTATAGGTATAATTTGTCTTGGTTATATACTAGTTGACAATTTATAATGATAATCATTATTAAATTACAAATACTAGTTTTTTTTAATATTACAAGAGATTAAAATATTCTATTAACCTTCTAATACAATAATGTTAATAAATGTGTAAACCTATCAAGCATAAATTGGCAGTGTTGTTGATTAATTAAATCTATTTCTGATTATTTGATTTTATTTGGTCACTGGCTGTAAAATGGCACTTTTTGGTATGTATAGCACAAATACTCCTCTATATTTCAAAAGCACACCCAAAACTCATTATTAATTAATTATTAAGACCAGCTTACAATAAAACAATGGAATTTCATGTACAAATAAGTCATCATGTAAGGTGGATTTTGGATGTTGCTAATAATAATTCTTAATTGATATTTCTTGATAAATCTTGAATGCGTCTAGCATTACATTGTTTACAATACAAATGATCGTCTAACGGATAACATCTACTGCCTTCATCTCTAGAGCATAGTGACGCCCCACAATCTTCGCAAGCATAACAGGCAATGTGAAAACTCTTGTCCAATGCAACAATTCGGACAGTTTTTTCAGCTCCACCCTCAGGAATAATTGGTTCCCGACATTGAGCGCAACGAGGTGCATATCTGAAAAATATAATTAGTTTTATACAAATATAAAATTATAACTTAAATTGTATGAAAGAATTTAAAATAAGTTTGTACCTTTTATGAAAATCTTCAATACAATGTATACGATTTACTGCATCCACGGTAAAAGGGATACCATCTAGACTTTTCTGACACATTACACATGTGAAGCAACGAGGGTGATACGGTTTGCCGGTGGCTCTCAATATTCGATCAAGGATTGGATCATTACAGACACAACATTTCTCGAGTGTTTCTAAATAATCCACCTCGCAAAGGGCTTTTCCTTGCACTGCATAGAATGGTCGCCCCTTTAATATAAAAACATACAATGTAGTTATGAAAAATATAGTTCTTAAATAGAAATTATTAATAAACTCACCTGCAAATTGATACCACACTGATGACAGCAGAAGCATTTAATGTGATATATTCTTTCCATAGCAGTACAACCAGTAGTCTCTCCCATAATTTTCTCACCACATCGGTAGCAATTACCACAGTAAAGGGCATCGTCTGGTTCTGGTATTGGCTCCACAGCAGTGCCGACATATCCACCGTATAAAGAAGTTCCCGATAATTGACTACATGGGCGTGGGTTAATAGGTTCGTAGAGGGATTCGTATGTTGAAGATGTCTGAGAGCCTCCATATGTAGAAAAATCTTGAGCGTTCACAGAAGCCGACGATGGTGGGTATACTGAACCCGGTCTTCGTAATTCGCTATAAGTTGATTGCGCTCCTAAGTCGCTATTTCTAGACAATTCAGACCTGGTATCTCGATCGTAAAAGCCTTCAACGTTCCGAGAGGATTGAATATTGGAGTAAACGTGATTTGTACCTCCTGGTGGCAGTAAATTGCTGTATAAAAGCACATCACCGCTTCGGACTCGAGCCGAATTTCTTACAATATAACTCTTTACTGGCACCAAATTTGAGTATGTAGAACTGGTCCGACTGGCGTTTTCTAATCTTGAGGAATATGACGGCTCGCAGGCGGATTTCACTGTGTAACTTTGGGGTATTTGAGGCAAAGGAGCTTTATTTTTTTTAGGAGGGATCGATGGTTTTACTTTAGATGCATTAATGTCGTCTTGTAATTTTGCGTCCAATTCATTAGCATATATTCGTAAATCTGCTAGATGTTTATCTAAAGCATTCATTGTATTCAAACAATTTATGCTTTTTCTTTTAAAAGTTACAAGCACTTTCTTAAAATAATTATCAGTATCAATGTATACTTAGTAGTCAATACATTATACACTTAAATCCGAATCACAATTCACAGATAAACAGTCGATACTTGCTTATGACATTTATGTTTTTGTTAAGAAAAACGCATCAACTTCACGTTATCAGGGAGCGCTTTCTTATTAATTGTCCGATATATTAATAGTATTTTAATAAGTTATCTATAGATTCATCTATATATTATATAAAATTAATTATTATTTAATCCATTAAAATTTATGATAATATTAAGAAAAAATAAATTTTTAATCCCAATAGTTTGTACTTTAAACTGAATCTATATAATTTAATTTATAAGTATCTAGAGTGATAGTTTCAATTGTAATTATACAAATACAACACCCTCCTCTGTCAGTACATGATTATTTTTAACTTTATGTAAAAGTTATTTCACTTCGTATTTAATTTTATCTTCTTTTTATATTGTAATTAAAATATTGTATTTTTTTGCAATTTTTTTTATTTATTATCCGTAGGTACTGTTTTTTTTAAATATTGTATAATAAAAATTCATTTTGTAACAGTATTCGCTTTAAAAGAAATGTAATCGTTATCATGAACAGAGATTTTCATCATTTTTTGTAGATTTTATTTGTAATGTATAAGAAATTAGACCACAATTCACATCGGTCTGTTATTGCACTGAAAATTAGGTGTCAACCCCTGAAATTTTCAGATTTATATGTTGATATTCTTGATTGTTTAGAAATTATGTAATAAGTATGTAGAAATTTAGTACATTTAAATAGACACGAAAATCGCTCCAGTTTGTTTTTATGGATTAACTATTTTACTCATTAATGTATTTTAGCAAATGAAATTAAATTTGTTCGTATATAAAAGATATATCATTGCTACAATATAAGAAATGTAGACATATTATACAGACTCTCACGCTTAGGTGTATATAATTAGGTTTCTTATAATAACATATTCGGAAGGGTTTCGAGATTGACCTTCCAAATATTGTAAGTAAAGCAGAATTGCTTTTAAAATCGGTTTTATTTTTTATTAAATTACATATTGACTATAAATATTTCTTCCAGCTGTTAACTGAATATATTTAAGAGAAACAGTGAAAGGTAAAGAATTTATTTATTATTTTAACAAGCTTTTTATTTCCAGCTATTAAAGTTAGTTCTTAATTGGTTTCTACAATTTATATCGTTAGTTATTATATTTCTTTTTATTACGTCAGTCAATATGCATGTTATAGTTTCGATCGGAATTATTTTATTTCAGGTACATTTTGAATTATTTTCACTATAAATTAATTGTATTATATTACACGATTATACTTTTTGTATTAATTTATTTGACTGGTTGTTTTATTTTCAGGTTGTTGTGGTTTTATCACAACAGGATGAAGAAGGTACAGTTTGTGTTTATAATATTTAGTTTTGAAGATTAGGTAATACATTATGAATTTTAATTACAGATTTCGCTCCCACTGAACCTAGCGAGGAAGAGGTATATAAAAATAGTTATTGTTGTTTTTTTAATGTTCATAAATGAAATAAATTAATTTTATTTTCAGTGGCATATGGACTTTATGCCGGTAAGAAATAAGATAATAATATATTTATAATATGTAATATTTATTCAGCTTAAAATTCATTCGCAATTTGAACAGTATCAATTTTTCCTTTAGGCCAGCGATTTTCCGTCTTTAGCTAATTTAAATATTGTGTAATGGAATATCTTATATATAAAATTCTCGTGGCGCGGTGTTAGACCGAGAACTCCACCGAAACGGCTGGACCGATTTTGATGAAACATCTAATTTTCATACCCTTAAGTCATAAGGGTTGTTGTTTTTTTTGTTTTAATTGTTTTTAATTAATTGTTTCTTTTTTGAACGATTTTTTTTTATTTTTTAATAATGTAGCCTCAAAAAATACATACAACACAAAATTTTGCCGCTTTACAACGTTTTCCGGGTCAGTTAGTATTAGAATTAGGTTTGATTTCACTCTTGCTGGTCGTTGCTCAGATCTCCGCTATTAAGTTGTAATTGATTGAGAATATATCGCCCTATTAAATAGCACATAATTATATTATAAACAAAAGTTAATGACAAATAAAATGACGGCGACAGTCGGCTTAGTTATAGATAGTTTTAATTGAAATGGAGCTATAACATTTTAAAAGGAGTTATTGAATTTGTTCCATATCAATTTCAGACCGGATATTTACCAGATAGTGTGTACCGTGAACTAGCGTGGTACGGTATCCTGCAGATACAACCTTTACATCATAGCACCAAACATAAAGTCGCCGCTCAACTTATATGGCAACACACGCTTGGACGACCGCACGTCATTATGGAGAGTCCGCCACAGGTAAATAAATAAGTTGAGATTAAAAAATTACTCGTATTTTTTCATTAACATAATAGAAGATAAAAATCACTTTAATTTCATATAATATGTATATTAAAGAAATACTAGAAGAGAAGAATATGTATATTAAATATATAGATAATAGTTATTCGTTATTGATTTGAAATGATTAGGATTAATCAATTAGGAATAGAAGAAAAGTATAAAATATTAATCGATCAATAAATTTACATATTATCTTTAAGTAGATTTTTTGGGAGGGAAGAAACCTTAAAATTAATAATTAAATAAAAAAAATGAGTTCCAGATTATTTAAAAACCAAATAAGATTGTACAAAACAGAATATAAGGCGCATTACATGTAGAATTAATAGTCTCGTGTTTAACAGTCGACTCAATCTGAGGGTAAAGTGAGTCGCCAGATCTTAGCGGAAGAAGCTGCCAAGTGGTCCAGGGAACAGCGAGCCGCTCAGGAAGTATTGATGGAAAACATTAAGAGCGGAGGAAATGGACTCACTGTGAGAACAGTCGTCACTGCTACCACTAAAACCACTTATATTATACAAAATGGTACGTTTATATTGGTCAGGGTACGTTTAGAAATCATAGAGACATTTATTCATAATGAATTTTAGATATGCCCTGGCTAAAGCTGGGAAATTTCTTGGTAGAAAATGAAGAAGGAATTTTAAATATCTATATTTGAAAAAAATTAACAATCCTAGAGCGTGTTATATACGTTGTGTGTTTAAATTTTCAATTCTTTATTTTTATTTTCAACTCTGTTATGTTTAATAAAAATTCATAGATATTTAGAATAAAATTTAATGAAACGCAATATTTCAGTAGGTTCCGTCTATTTACCCACAGTTTAGGTTTCAAAAATTGTTTAAAAATTTGTAGGTAACTACTATAAATGTCCAGAAGGCTCAGAGCCTGATTTAGACGCTTATAGAGTACAAGCCAACATGCATGAAAGGAAATGTACGTATGGGAAGTCATCGATACCAGTCCCCGTGGATCCTTGCATTGAAGCTGAAATAGCGCCCATTGAATACTCATTCCACGAAGGTTGGATGTTCTGCCTCGGAAACGGCGAACGTGAGAATAACTATTTCCAAAATGGCACTTTAGATTGCGGTAATAAAACAAAGGTAAAATATTAATTACATATTATATTGAAATACAACACTTATTAAAATTCTAAAACGCTTAAATAAGTTATAAGAGCAACGGTATCACGTTTATTTCTTTTGTAGTTTAGGATTTTGTTTTTCTGACAATAGGTTTTAGTTTAATTTACTTTCTAAACTTTAAAATAATATAATAAAAAAATTCAATCAAAATGATTTAAAATAAGTTTTTCTAACAATATTATCTTATTATAGATACAATTTTATAAAAAAGCAGTTAAATATATTTCAGCTTTAATTTAGAGGCCATTCTATTGTAAGTTTTATAAGTAACTAGCTTTTGCCGCGCCTTCGTCCGCGTGGAATAGTGACTTCCGGCAGATTTTTGGTTCTTCCCACATAGTTCCCGTTCTTGCGGGGTTTTCGGAATGGTCGAGTTCCCGTAGAATTTTCAGGATAAAACCTATTTTTTTTTATTCACAATGAAGTACTCTTAACCAACAACATATTTATTTGTTTATTTGAATAAAGGTTAATATAACTATGTTGATACAACTTAAACAAATTATTTCGACCAAATTAGGTACCATAAAAACGGTTTTTGTGAGTTAATCTTAAAAGATAGACATATACTGTCGCGGACTGTTTTTTAGATTATTAAAAGAGCTATTATTCTTTAATACATATTTTTTGTGTATCTTGAACCGTTTTCACGGCGCACGCAACGGAAGGCTTCAAAGATGAAATAATTTCTCTCGTTTTTTACACGTTTACCACTATATCTTTGCTCCTATTGGTCGTAGTGTGATGTTATATAGCCCAAAGCCTTCCTCGATAATCGGACTATCCAGCACAAAAAGAATTATTCAATTCGAACCAGTAGTTTCGGAGATTAGCGCTTTCAAACAAACAAACAAACTCTTCAGCTTTATAATATTAGTATAGATAACTAATAGTAGTAATAATAAATTAGTTATGATCTTTGCTCAACAGGTGGCAGTTGATGATTTTTTAAAACAATGCGCCATAGACAACAATATAGTGATCACATTCGATTATTTCGGCGACGAGCCCAGAAAGGATATGATGCACAACGCAACTCTCTGTACAACCTGGGATCCTTGTAAACTGTCCTATTTATATAGGCTAGAGGTTAATTCAGTTTCTATATATCTAACTAATAGCATGTATTTAAAACAAATATATAATGTTATCAATTATATTATAAATAGAAAATATATTAATATAAAATGGTGATTTTAATACGAATTAAGTTTAATACAATAATATGATGTTATTAAAGCCTCCACCAGTTGAACTAACTCCAGCGTTTCCGACTACAACTCCGAATCCTTGTGACACTACCATGTGTCCTGAGTGTATTGAAGGATTTACTATGGAAGAGGGAGTAGCTATTGATTGTAAGAACTGCTTATCTTAATATTGAAAATGAATGTTTATAGCACCATTATGTCTTAACTGCTGAGATTATCAACAGTTTAAAATTAAAAATCATTTACATAATATTAAGACGTTAAACACGTTTCAAATAATATACAAATGATATATTAATTAACCAATTTTTTTTTCCTTACAGTAAACATCGAAGAAAATGAAACATACAAAGGGGATGATCATTGAAATAAGCACATTTTGAAAATAAATATATATAAAGAACACTAATTATTTTTTTAATTTATTTCACCCGGATTTATTAAACCTACTGACGCCTTAGGGAGCGTTCAAGTATTACGTAACGCACTTTTGGGGGAGGGGGGGGGGGTCTCGTAAAACGTAACGATGCGTTACTGGGGCGGGAGGGGGTGTCTCTTACAAAACGTTACGTAGCATTGTTTCTAAAAAAATTTATTAATAAAAACCCCCAAACTGGCAACTCTTTTCATATACATTACATTGTTGACCAGATTGTATTAGTCTGGTCGATATTTTTATTTGTTATTCCAAGTTTGCAAACCTCTTAATTGATATTTTACGGGGAATACATAGATTGCATTGTAAGTCTTTTGATGAAATTGATCACTTGAGTGTTACGTAACGTTTTGAGAGGGGGGGAGGGGCTAAAGAAAAACGTTACTGTGCGTTACGACGGGGGAAGGGGGGGTCAAAAATCTTCGAAAATTGCGTTACGTAATACTTGAACGCTCCCTTATAGGATATAATTTTCAAAAAAACTGAATACGTAAAATACTCGTACACTTTTTAGGTTTTATTGCCAAGAATATTTTCTGAGTTTTGTGGCAAGAAATATAATATTATGTAGGTATTGTTTGAATGTTTTTTTTTAAATATGGCCTTATACTACATTTTGTAACAATAAGGCTCGAAAAGACTCGTATCTAGAGCTATAAAACATTACAAATAAAATGTACTACATATTGACTTTGACGTTTAGTCATTGACAGTTGTAGTCAATGTGAACTTAGTCACATTTTGTATGAAGGAGAGAATTTTTTTTGTAATATATTAATATTATGAAATTTCGTTGAAGTAATCAAAATAATTTTATTGCATAAATCAAGATTAAAATAAATTTTAAAATGGTTGTGTCTCGAAGTTTTCAAGAGATATTTGATTCGATAGATATAAATTCGCCACTAAGTTTACCCAAGTGCAAGAATAATGTATTACAAATCGAATTTACTGAAACGAAGGTGTGCTTATTATTTAATTTATATTTAATAGTAACTTAAACTAAGTTGGTATAATTTTTCTTTTAAATTTCAGACTAATGAAACAGTGTATAATAATAAACCTTTGTTACCATTTGCTGCCAGTGATATTTATTATTCTTCTATAATTAATTCAAGAAGATTGACTGCACTGGATAGTGATTGCAAGGCTGTGTATGAAATATCACTAAATATTGAGGTATATTTTTATGTATACCTACATTTAAATCTAATTTTTTTAGCATTTTTCTCTATATACAAATACTATGTACGTAATTATGTTAAGTTTTTTTTAATTTAATCTTAATAGAGATAACTTCTATTAATTGGTAATTTGCATAATGGATTACATTTATTATTTTAAATATTTTTTTTTTTCTCATAATCTGTATCGTAAATATCATTTTTCAGGATAGTTATTTTATTTTCACACCAGGAGACACAATAGCCATTGTACCACATAACAAAAAATCCGAAGTGGACTTTACATCGAAGCATCTGGATATTAAAGAAGTACTATATAATGATTATAAACTCAGTTTAGATAGTGGGCAAAAAGGTGCTAAATTTCCAGCGCACATACCAATTAAATCAAATTTATACCATGTTCTAACACACTGTGTTGATTTAAGAGCTATTATTAAAAAGGTATAACATATTTGATTATTATAAAGTAATATTAGAGGATTTAAATTTGAAATACTGCAATTGTCATAGCATTTTTTATGTTTGAGATCTCATCTAACCATATTAAGTTGTAGCTAGTATTTTTGACTCTCGAATTGTTTTACAAATTATTAATTGCTATTATTATAAATGCTAAAATACAAAGTAAAAAAGTGTAGAAAGTCAGATAAAGGTTCACCTTTTTGAAATCTGATTGTTCTGCATTTTAATCTTTATTTTATTTAAAATGTACCATTCAAAGCAATGCCTCATAATTCTGACTATCTTTTTATTTTATTAAATTTTTGACCAATTTCCACACTAATATGATTATTTAGAAGTTACTATTTCATCAAAGAAAAAAAAATCTGCTTGAAAATGTTTATAAAACTAAATTGGCTGAATATAAAATTTCTAAGACTTTTAATAGCTAACATAAAATGTTATAACATTTTAAAATTATTATAATGCAACTACCTAGTAAAATTGTAATACAAGTTAAATATTTTTCAGCTATTCCTTTTAGCACTTTCTACACACACTAAAGATGAGAATGAGAGAAAGATAATGGAATATCTTTGCAGTTCCGAAGGCTCTGCAGCATATAACACTCACATATTAAACAAAGGCATATGTATTCTTGATATATTCAATACATTTAAATCCTGCAAACCTCCCATTGAATTACTTCTAGAGTATTTACCGAGACTTCTACCACGACCATACTCTATTGTTAATAGCCAAGGTCCTGTTATAAAAATATGTTTTTCTGTTATGGAAATTAATAATAGAAAAGGTCTTACAACTGGTTGGTTGGAAGATTTAATACTGAAAAATGATATTGAAAGTCAGATGGAGAAATTAAGTTTGGGAGTAACAGAACATAAAATTCCAATATATATGAGGAAGAATATGAATGAATTCCGCCCACCAACGAGTCTTGATACACCATTAATATTAATCGGCCCTGGAACTGGAGTGTCACCTTACATCGGTTTTTTAGAAGAACGAGAAAAATTATTAAAAAATGCAGATAGCGCTGGTTTCGTCTGGCTGTTTTTCGGATGCCGTGACCCTAAACTAGATTTTATATATGAAGACGAATTAAATAAATTTGTAACAAGCGGTGTTCTTAGCAGATTGAGTACGGCATTTTCAAGGCATGGCAACCCTGAAATAAGATATGTGCAAGTAGGTAGATTGTAGTGAATTAAAAAAAAATACTTTATAGCTATGTATTTGTTTGCTATTCAATAAGTAACAAATATTTATGACGAAGGTTATCTTGGGGACAATTTAAACTCCTATTTTTGTCAATTTTAGTATAAATTATGTGCAAGCTTTTATAAGACACCTCAGAAAGATATTTTAAAGACATCCTATGATCTTAAACTTACAACGATTAAGTATGTTTTTGGTTACCTTACCTTCGATATATTTTTTTGCAGGATCTCGTAAAGGAAAATGGAGAAGAAATTTCTAAACTGTTAGTTGAAGGAGCGCGAGTGTATATTTGCGGTGACGTCAAGATTATGGCCAATCAAGTTAAAGAAGCCTTCATAGAATGTGTATCAAAATATACAAACAGAAGTATTAATGTTGCAGAACTGTTCATATCAAATATGCAGAAAGAAAAAACATTCTTGATAGATATATGGAATTGACATTTGTATATTTTAGAGAAATTCAATAAAACATAATATTTATTATATGAAATTTGTTTACTATAATGTGTTATAAATAAAACAACTCAATTCTTTTACAAAAATAATTTAATAGGCAAAATCTCTATCAGTAAAATGTTCAAAAAGTGTCATTGGTGTATATACTTATGACTATTCTATAGCAATGCTGGTTTAATACGATAACACAATTTCGTTGTGCGGCAAAAATGCATTAAAACAAATAATAATCTTATAACTACACATCAAAACAGGCACTCGTGGTGGAGGGCTTTTTAATTCACCGAAATCCTCTCAAATATATCAATTCCAAAACCATTGCCTAATAATTAAAATAATACTAATTTAAACGTATCTAAAGTATTACATGTCTTACAATATTCCTAATTCTAGTAACTACATAAATAAAATGGCCGCCATCCTTTGAAAAAAAAACGCGCTAAAATAAATCAACAGTTCTGAAATAAAGAAAAATTTGAAATCATTGCACAAATACATATTATAATTATAGAAGGAATTACGAAATTTTTCTTTATATTAAAAATTAATAAACAATTTCAAAACTTACATATTCTTCGTTTGACTATTTCTTTACACATATATTACGATTATTATTTATAAAGAAATAATATATATTACAAAAACTTGTAACAAATGCGTATTTTATTACAAATATTATACAAATTATTAATATTACCATCAATTAAATGTCGCAAAAATGATTGTGAGCATAAGAGATACAGTCTTAATTTTATAATATACCCTAAGAAAGGTGTATGTATATATCCATCTCGGAATAAAATTCGAAAAGGAATGTCAGAAAAATACTGTTTTTTCGGAAGTATTGTTATTGAGTTAATAGTGCTGGAAATATATAAAAACTTATTGTTTACTATAATAAAAATGCCACGTAATAAAACTTATATTACAACTAGCTGTTTTTGGTTATTTGTTAGACTTACCCTATCGTTCGAACCATCATACAATCTGTGTAGATATAAAAATTATAATTATTTAATAGTTGTGTTATGCCAACGTAGACTTGACCTTGGCGTTATCTTTGATCGTATTATAACAGGTGATGTCCACAAATACAGAATGCTATCGTTATAACAGTATTAATGTTTGAATTCATTAATTTTGGACACCGTAATACCTACTATATTATTGTGATTGAGTAATTCATTCATTATTTGTAATAACTTCTACTTTTCGAAAGGTAAAGATGTATATGATGCAAATTTTAAGCTATCAAGAGTATTTTAATGCAGAGATGTTAAATGTGTCGAAATATTCACACGTCGCGGTAGTGCGTGGTGTATATCAGATAATACCATTATCTAATACAAAAAGCTGATAACACGAGTCGACTTTGCATAATGCGAAAAACATATGTTGAACACATTCAAAACTAGATTTCTCAAAAGCCGTATTATGCTTATATTAAATGTTATTCTATATTATATATCACTTAAACTAAATTGTCCGTAATTCAATAAAATTGTACAAAATGGTAAAAAGCTTCAAAAATTCCAGTAATCATACAAAAATATTAATTTCACATTGGCACATCTAATCTGAATATAAATAAAAGATAATATCAAAACTATTTGTTGAATTCCATATAAAAATATAATGCAGTATTGTGTCTGGAAGTTTGGATCGATTAAATGATTGAAAAGCTTAGCGAATATGAATTTAGTGTTAAAATTCAAGATTATACCGACATTAGTCCATGTTTTTCTGCAAAATTTTCTGGGCAGCTTTGATTAGTGGAGTGAGGGATCTCAACTCACTGGCACATTCAAGGAACGGATGGGCTAGAAGCTCTTCCGCTGTTGCTCTTTCGTCCGCGTCAACTTGGAGGCAGTTGTCCAAAAAGTCTTGGAACTCTGGTGACAATTTGTCCCACCTAGGAATCTTTGGTCGTCCGACAGCAGCGATCAAATAAAGCGCTTTCAAAGGATTCTCTTTCATGTACGGCGGTTCACCCTCGATCATTTCGATGGCCATAATTCCAAGAGACCATACATCTATCTTCTTTCCGTACTGTTTCCTTGTAACTACTTCCGGCGCCATCCAATACGGCGTACCCACCATCGTCTGGCGTTTCTCATCGCCGACGATGTTCGCGCTGAATCCGAAATCAGTCACTTTCACTGTCCCATCCATACCTAGAAGCACGTTGTCCGATTTGATGTCTCTATGTATCGTGCCTTTTGAATGTAGGAAAGCTATGGCTTGTAAAGTTTCGCGACAAACAGCAGCTATATGCCCTTCTCTCATCACAACTTCTGTAACAACGTCTGTCAATGATCCACCATCGAGCAGTTCCATGGCCACCCATAGATGATCGAAGCAAAGGTACGCGTCTAAGAAGTTAACTAGATTTTTGTGATTGAATTCCTTTAGTACATTGACCTCGTTCAATATGAGATCTTTTTTGGTCTGTTTTGTTAGATCTATATCTTTGATCGCAACTCTTGCATTTTCCTTTCTGTCTATTGCTATGAACACGACTCCTGCAATCGACAAACACAAATTCTATAATTAGTATATTCACATTAAATGTAATCTAAATAGGACATTATGACATCAATTAATGCATACACGATAATAATGTACGGCTGTTTGGAGCAGGGAGTTGGTTTGCTGCATGAAGCAATAAGTAAATTATAAATACAAGTTTTATAAATAAAAGTTCGACCACACTTAAAGATATTCTTTGTTAATTCTATGATTCCTGGCGTTTGCAGATATCACATGAGGTTGAATTAATCTCGTTACTACAATTACCGTTCATTTATATAATTTATGATGCAGTTTTGTTTTATCATTTGTTAGTTCCTATGCGAATATCGTAAGTAACAATATATTGTACTCTGTAGAGTATAATACTGTACTTCAATGACTTAATTTTGGCTTTATAAAACGTATAGAAATTCATATAAGTATATCATAAACATGTGTAAAAATGAACTCTAGATGCTCCTGTTATGCACGCAATCATCATGAACTTAGCATATAGGTTGTAATTAAAGTATATTTTTAATGTATTCCAACAGAAAGATTTTACTTCAAAAATATTTTCGTCAGAATGGATTTTATGAATCTTTCTTGTGAAAAACTGTCTGAAAATTTTCCCATACTGTGAGGGATTCAACAAGTTTAAATGGTACTAGCTGGGTGCTAAATGTCGGCATATAGAGGGACATTCATTAATAAAATGGACTATTTTGTTTTTAATTTAGAATACTCTCCCTTTGTTGGTGAGATTTTGTGTGATGTGTTGAGATAACCACTCTCATTGGCAATATTTAGACTAATTGTTAAAATACTAAATAAATAGTAAGACAGCATAAAATCACAAAAAATTAGTCTCTGTGAATTTCAAAATCATCTGTTTTTCAAATTTTGGCATCAGATATTTAATTGACTATCTCCCTATTTAATTAAAATAACATTAGGAAAACAAGGATTGAATAAAATTGGACATAACTAACACAGATTTTTTGTAGTCATAACTGAAACATAAATTCATTGCAAGTTCTAAATACATATTAATCAAATATATTGACAAACAGCATTAAAGACATAGAATCTTGTTTTTTCAAATCAATCTTATGGTGGAGACAATTAAATAAATACCTTAACTTTAAGACAATTACAGCCGGTTGTTGGATCAATTGCTTTTAATTTATAATTATACTATATGTTCTACACTGTTTCACCTATATATTCATTTACTAAGTAATTCCCATGACACAGAATTATATTATATAGCATTTAGCCTTCAAAAATTAAAGTAACCCTTATTATATATATACGATTTTTTTTTCTGATAAGCATCTTCAGTTTATGTAACAAACATATCATTTTAAGTATTCATAAATCAATCTAGACCATTTAATAATAATGCCATGAGGAAAGGTACTTGTACAGGAAATATTTGGCAATAAACTAATTTTAGGCAATATCTGGCAAAAGATATGATTAATATGTATATGAAAAGTAAATCCTATCGCAGGGAAAATATATAATATCAGCATTAAATGATTCTTCTCAAGGAAAAGGTTTCACTAAAGCCAAAGTTTCCATATATTCACTAGCATTTGGTAATCAATTGATTTCAATATCAGGTCAATTTGTTTACAAGGTTTTTATTTGTAGGTATGAACTGTTATTTTTAGTCAGAAAAACTAAACAAACGGACAAAATACAGATATATCTGATTTATTTAGGAAATTTTTAGTTATATTTAGAATATTTTATTAGTATTTATATACAGGGTGACTGGTGAATTACTATCGATACTTGAGGACGTGATATTTGACGATCATATATGACAAAATAAAAATTAATATAACATAAATATTAATAAACTTCTAAGTAAAGTTAACCAAAAGTTGTGTAATTAATTATGCATCGTGTGAACACCCTACAGATTAGGTATACACACACACACACACACATACGCGTTTGCTGATACAACACGCCGCCGCACGCGTCCACACTTGGAACACTTGGAACGTGTCCGCACTTTATTTATTTATACGGAAATTTGGTCAAAAATTAAGTACCTATTTTTTTACATAATTCGAATGAGAATCATGTACCGAGTATTCTCCTTAAATATTGATAGTAATTCACCAGTCACCCTGTATAAATCATTCTATACATAAATCCATATTGTTTTCATACAGTATATAAATAAAGTCAAAATGACATAAATAAATATTTTCCTAAGGTAAAAAATATTTAAAACATGTTTATATGTTTTGAGTGAACAACAATTACCATACAATGGTGTGGTAACTAATTTTGGGTTTCACACACATTTAAGGTATTGTTAGATTTTTGTCAAGGCTGTCTTAAGATAATGTTTAGAAGATTCATGTGTACAATAATTTTGAAGACATTTAAAAACGACAAAGATTTATGTATAAACCAAAAATATTAGTAATTATATACTAAACTTAACTTTGTTTAGTCAATAAGGGAAGTTAGTGTATCTTCAAAAATGCTAGCTTTTATAAGAAACTATGTCAAATTAAATTGGGAATAAATTCATACAGTTGTACTGGTTAAAATTCAGTTATACTAAACTGAAATTATAATATAATTGTTTTAAACATTAAGTAAAAGCAGAACCAGATAGTTCTAAAAGTGGTTTAATGATAATGATCACTGTAAAAAAGAAGTATTGAAGTAAATTAAATAATAAAATATCAAACTGACCTGAAGCCCCTGCACCAAGTTGCTTGATTCTTTCAAACCGAACATATGGGTCATCTTTATTACAAATCCTTCTTAATTCTTCATATATTTCTTCATCATTGAGTGTTGCATTAATCAGTTCTTTCTTTCTTAGAATTGGACTTTCTTCAGGCTTATTACCAATAAGAGTCAGGTCCTCTACTATAGCAGTTAAATCCATCATGGCATCATTCTTTTTAAGATTGTTTTTGGTTGGTGCGACTGGCATTGTTTGTCTTTGAGTATATGTTTCAGGAGCAACATCCTCTTCGCTGCTTTGACCTATAGAAATATCTGAATCTTGACTTTGGTGAGCATTTTTCTTAGCCAGAAATTTTTTCATCTCCAACCCTTCCTTTGTGATTGCCTCTTCTGTGACTATAGGTTTGCATGGTTCGTTTTCAGCCTGTTCCTTTTTCAAAACATGGAAATTATGGAAAGCTACGGCTTGAATGGCAGCGTTGGGGTTTTCGTTTTGTTCCTTTGGCGATATCTGGGCGTTCAGTTGTCTCAGCCATGATGAAGGTAATCCTTCCAACATTCCCGTCTCAGAGTTCATGCTTACGTGTATATGTTGTTTAACATTAGTGGGCATACCAATCTCTGTAACTCTATCATCTCTTTGATGCTGCTTCTTTGAGAAAAGTTTACCAAACACACCTCGGCCTGAACGACCCGTCATTGTCACTTATTTAATTTTACCTAGATGTTAAGCCATAAAACATAGACACTGTAAGTTCCGAGATCAATAAACTACATTGCTTGTAACCATTTCAATAACACTAAAACTAATTAAGTATTGCCGAGATAGGAGTGGCTAATCACGGACGGACAAAACTAAAGACATCAGAAATACTTTATCATCTGTCAAATATTTGTCAGTTGCCACTAATAAGAAATTTTTCGTTTCAAGCAAAATTTTTCCAAAACATTAAACGAAATTGATTTCGTAATGGTATAAATAAATATTTTTTTTATTACTTTTTCTCTATTTTCAAAGAAAATACTATAGTAATAGAGATTTAATACAGTTTGTCTTGGTAATTTCAATTGTAGAGTTAAGTATTAATAACTTTTTTCGTTACTGTACGTCAAAAAAGGAATGCATTTGTTTTTTGATTCGGGCAATTTTTATGTTGCTGATAAAGTATTGAAAAGGAATTTGAGATGATTCATTCATTGCCTTGAAGAAGATACTTGTCTCATTTGGATAATATCTACATTTTAAAGTGGACTGCAGTTGTCTTGCAAATAACGTTATAAAAATAATAATCATTAGAAGGAATCTAAAAGTTGTGTTCCGAATTGTATATTTTGAATGGAAAGGAGTAAAACACGAGTATTTGAGGATTAAATACAATTACAAAATATTTATTAGTAATATTAACTAATTTAAAACATAAATTGGTCTAACTATTAATGTTATTGAAACCCACGTCTGAACAGTGGTTCTATAATTAATACCTAATGAAAGGAAATTGAGGTGTAAAATGTAAATAATTAATACGAGTACGTAATGATTATATAAAAAAAGTATAATTTCATGTCCTGTGTATGTTTTCATTGTTGACGGCTCTGCGACACCATTTGTATATGGAACTTTGTAAAATCCGTTCTTAACTGACTTCTATATTTTGTCGAATTGAATATTCCTATCAAACTTACAGTCTCTACGCCTTATGGGCCAGAGATATAGTGATGTATAAATATATTAGTTAAAATCTCTTGTATATATACACGTATCTATAAGTATTACTTGTGCTTTCTTTTTTTGTTTCAGAATATATTGAATTATATTTACATAATTATTAAAAAGCAATTTCGTATAATGCATACTATGAAATTGTACTATGTCGTATACAATTCATGCTTCTTAACGAAAGCATCGATAAATTGATAATATCATACATTCGTTATATATATTAAGTTATACCTATATTTAGATTGCTATGTATAATTTGCTCTTAAGCACATTGTAATATTGAAACAATTTCAATATAAAATAAAACATATGGTTTATGTTTATATATCTTGTATATGAAGGTGACAAATATCCATTTTCGACTAAAATTGGGAAGGGTGCTAAATAAAAGAAGTTTCGAAGCCATAAAAAGTGTATATTAAATTAAAAGCTGGTCTCCAAGTAGCGGGTGCCACTACTGGAACAATTAACTCTTGTGTCCTTAATTCATTCCCTTAATGGGTTTTGCGAGCTCTATAAATAATAATACGGCCAGTAAAGGATTTTAATAATTGTGTTATGGTATTTAAACTTTATGTTTTTACCTATGATATGAGATTTAGTGTCAATATGATTATTTGAAAATATTTCGGATTTACTACGCGATTTTTTATTTTTTAAATGAAAATATTTCGGATTTACTACGCGATTTTTTATTTTTGACTATATCTAAACTACATACCTACTCCCGACGTTTCGGCTACTTTTTAGCCACCGTGATCACGGGCAGACGAGATGTGAGTATCTGACATTCACATCTCGTCTACGAAATGAGCACTCGCGAAAATCTTAGATATCATTAATATGATTACTTCTTCATTTAAGAATATTGTTTTACGATTAAATGTTACGTAGTTTTTAGATCATAAGATAAAATGTATATAATTCTAGAAGATTTTCTAATTCATAGCCTCATGACACGGGGATGTTTAAAGATTTAAGAGATTCTCAATTTCTTTATCTAAATATTATTTTTGATTTGAGGTAAAGTTTTATATATCAAAAAAAGTAATGCCTAAAGACTCTTTAATTGCTAATTTCTTGGTAAAAAATATTCAAACTAAAATACATATATAATCTAAAGTGACTTCATAACCAGGCAGTATCACATGTCTTTAATACGCGGTTAGATTTACTAGTAAATACTATACATTTATCTACCTAGCTAATTGTAGAGCCACAATATTTAGACAGACTACGTAAACTGTTATCTTATATACTACTTATACTAGGCACTTAAATTACTTTAAATGTAGGTAAAATTACGATACTTTCAATTTATGCAGTTGATACAGAAAAATATTCTGTTTGGGTTTCATTTAATTGAGATATTTAGCTGTTTTATTAAATTTAATTAGAAAGTTATCGCATCTTATATAATAAATAAAAAACTTTAAATAAATTTAAAATGTTTTATTTGTTATATTAAACATATATTTATATTTAATCTATATAAGTTCTGTCAGGTCTGGTATATTTATAATCTATAGTCCACTATATAGAGGTGTAATTTGTTTATTATTTCACTCGTAGTTGCAGGCGAGGCGGGAAGATGAAGATTTTTTCTATCGATGAATACAAACATGGATTCACGCAATGACTGTGGTATCTTTTTATATGCACATTATCACTTCTACATGTTGACCACACACCAACATGTGTTCATTGATAACGCAGAATAGGTATATTTATCTCACGTAGCTAATTTATTATAATACAGATACTAGCTCTCAAGTATTGAATAAATTAAGTATCTATGATAGTTGAAAACATGTGAATGTTTAATAATTTTATTGTATATGATTAAATTGTTTTTATTTTCTTTGGCGCCATTAATGATTTTTTTTATCTGTCAAATCAAAGTTTAAATATTTTATCTGTACCGAAAATGTGACGTAATAATTATTATATGTATATACGATTAAAATAAATTAAATTAAAAAATCACAGATCGGTAATCACTATCTCCTAATTTCACTAAGCTAGTGCTCGATGTAGTAAACAATTCTTTCTGGCGCGCGTTATTTTTAGGTCAATAGCTTCAGGATTCGCTCATCGTCTTACTTATACTAATGATGTACATTCGGATACAAGATACGCTTCATCGAATAAGTATCATTATAGAAGTTTCATGTGCAGGAAAGATAAATTTCGCGTTTAATAGGATAAAACTTAGATATTGACTTATATATGACTATAGAATGTATTTTTTTTAATAAGCTGTCATAGTAGTAGGTACTTCAATTTCGTGATTTGACAGTTAGAAAACATTATTTCTAATTAAAGAGAATAATGGTTTCTGTATAGAGATTTTTGTTGAGAATGAGTACAGTTTAAATATTTTATAACGAGATGTGCGCGTATATTTAGTATCGAGTCGAGCCGCCCACTGAAACTCAGTCTCGACGTTCCCTCCGCGCGGTCCGCCCGTCAACATTTTATTTATATATTATTTATAAAAGAACGCGTGTGATTTGTTTACTAAACGGCCATTTTATTTTTTTTTATGTTAGAAACGGAAAACGGAACGTGTTTCGTTCTGTATTTTGTAATATACGTTTAAGATTCTTTAGTGTTATAGTGATGAAAATAAACCGAGGATTCTTTTTATAAGGTTGTGAAAAATGTCTTTATTTTATTTTAATATAATAATATTAAATATGAATTAATATTTCTCAATTCTTATATTATAAATCTAGACAACTATAGATCTATTATTTTTTTATGTAAATGATATTTTTTACCATGGTTCAATTAGGTATGTAAAGAATAGATTTCCTTTGTTCAAATAATCCCTAAATAAAATAAAGGACATATAAAAACTCTTAGTGCTTTTTCAAATATTTAAAGTGATAAGTATTCTCAATGTATATTAAAGTTGTTAATAAATCCGGTCAAGCGTGAGTCGTTTCACAGAATGTTCCGTAGCAAGGTCGGCAAAAGACTTAGAAAAATATGTTCCTGGATTAACATTTTTCAAATTAATTTCGTAGATTTTATGTGGCAACCAGAAATTATGAATATTTTTAGTGTTATAAAATTAGTTATGATTAATAAACTGATTCTACGATTTGGATACGGAACCCTAAAATAGATTAGAGAATTATTAATGCACTTAGACTGTGTTGTAATTAATAAATGTGACTGTTTTTGAATACAGAGTATGTTTATTGAATTGGAAATTTTAGAACTGATCAATATTTACTTTTTACATTCTGGAGAGTTAGGATAGAAGTTTTATTTTTATATACAAATTAAGTATTAGAGAAAAATTTTTGGTCATTGTTTTTTTTTTTTTGTCAAAAACTAATGCAAGTCTTTAATGTTTTTTGATTCTACTGACCACGGCCTTACGATACTATACAGACATATAATATTATAATTTCACGAAAACTTTTGTTAGAATACGTAGTAAAAATATTACAGAAATAGAAACATCTCTTTTATAGCCACGAATTAATAGTAAAACCGACGGACCGCAAATTTGGCGGTAACTATGTAAATTAATATTTATTTACTGGTTACTAACATATTTTCTCATTTGAAATCTCCATTAATGTACGTGTTAAGCGACTAAATGAAAGTTTAAAACTAGAAATAGTCGTTAAAAATATTGTTGTTTCATCAGTCGTAAATTTTGACGACTTTTATGGACAAGCACAAAGCTGGTAGCATAGTTCCTTGAAGTTTACGACTCAGTTTCCATTTATAATAAATGATGTTCTAAGTATGCTTACCTAAATTAACTTAGCCGAAAGTCCTTTTTATAGTGCTCAAATATACGTAGAATATAAAACGTGTTCAAATTAAACTTACTGATTAATCTTCAAGTCTTTCGTATAGTAATTAAAGTCGACTAAGCTGTTTTAATAATTAATCTTGTTATATGATTATATCAACTAAGAATTTGAATAAATGACCTCGATTTTCTTAATTCTTGGTATTTGTGTTGACAAACTGTCAGTTGGTAGATTAAAAAAGCTAACCATATGTCCACAGATTAAAAACAAATGTTATTTTATAAAATATTGTAAATTGATCAATATAAAAAGTAGTATTTTCTCCAAATGTCGTTGGCGTCACTCTTTGGCTATATGCCATGAAATTTTCAACATGATGCTTTAACGAAGGTCGAACTATGACGTGTAGATTCATCTCATTTAAACTGCTAATAGTTCATTCTTTACAACGCGAACGCTTAGTCATAATAAGAATCCTTTATAATTGATGCATTTCTTTTAATAAGTAATTTTTTCACATTTATGATAAGTATATTATTACGTATTGCTTGTTAATGAAAAAGGTATAGACGATTTTATAGTATTGTTTGGATTTGTTTATCAACGGTTGCTTAGCAGAGCTTACAGAGGAGTTAAGTCCCTCGATGTTTAACGAAGTATAAATTAGTTTTAAACATTGAACCTTAAAATGTTTACGTGTTCTGTATTAATGGCTTATTTCTATTAATAAAATTTATATCACCATAATAGACAAATGCAAAGAAATCTTTAAACAAAGTTTTTATATTTTTCATCGTATGTAGTTTTAGATGTTTTTACTTCTAGAAATAATAATTGTTAAGGTTGTAAATGATATATTGATCAATAATAAATATTTTTGATCACAATACAATTTATGTGTTAATATCAAACTTGTCTATAGGCAATTATTTAATAGTTTTATTCTAAAAAAAATATAGTATTTAGTTAATTATATAGAGTGTTAAATAGGACAAAAAGTCTTCAAATAAACGTAAAATTGCAATAATATATTATTTTATATAAATCAAATATGAATCAGATGTTTGTATCATAGATATTTCGGGAGTTTAACGTCACGGGATAATATAATATCAAGTACTTACTTTCTGTTTGAGTTTTGAATCATTTGTTTCAACGCTCTTAGTATCAATTTACGTATTAAGATTACGTCGCATTTATCTTTTCGAGTGTTCGGACTCAGGTTACGTGGTGATAGAATATTCTAGAACAATCGATAGTACTTAATCATTTGAAATCCATACTAATATTATAAATGCGAAAGTAACTCTGTGTCTGTCTGTTACGTTTTCACGCCTAAACCACTGAACTGATTTTAATGAAATTTGGTACAGAGATAGAGTTAACCTTGAGAAAGAACATAGAATAGGTTTTATTCCAGACTTTTGAAAAATTCTCTTGGAAACGCGATATAACCCAACTCGACGCGGGCGGAAAACTAGTAATAAATAAATAACTTCCTACTATATAATATATATACATATTATGAAACATCATATAGGAAATATTAAATCGTATAAAATACCATTTCACGGTACATTGGTATGGCTATTGTATGATTCAGGTCGGCAGCCGACATCAATTCCACTTTAATTGGCACAATTGCGAGCGTCCTTTGCCCCTGCATATACTGAGAAATGAGAATAACACCTTCCTGTATAGCTAATGTAACTTTTCAAAGATATGTATATATTAAAATACAAAAATAACTCATTTATGAGATACATATAGAAATAATAAGATCATTTAGTAAATAGACTTATGTATATACATTTAGTAAATGTTATGTTGAATTTATGAAAAGAACTACATAGCTTTCCGCCCGCAGCTTCGTCCGCGTGGAGTTCGCTTATATTGCGTTTCCAAGAGAACCTTTTAAAAGTCTGGGATAAAAACTATCCTATGTTCTTTCTCAAGGTCAACTCTATGTCTGTACCAAATTTCATTAAAATCAATTCAGTGGTTTAGACGTGAAAGCGTAATAGACAGACAGAGTTACTCTCGCATTTATAATATTATATACATAGTAGGGATAGCTTTAATAAATTAAGAAAATGGTTTCGTTTGTCAAATAAATTTTAGTATCAATAAAATAAAGGCTAAGGCGTGGTTTAATAACTTATAATACTAATATTTATAAATAGATATAGTTGATCGAATAAAATAGTAGCTGTTACCATTAGGGAGTAGAGCGGAAGGGTGTGGAAAAACCTGAAAAAGGGAGAGTAACTTTCACGAATACATTACCGATTACCGATTTACCGAATATAGAACGCACTATTGTAAAACATTAATGAAATTTCTAATTATTAGAATTTAGAAATAAATTTTTCATCAAAAAAAGGTCACGTTAAATCTATTTATGTATTACGTGTAATTAAGTTAACTAATGTGTAATATCAGTTCACAATAATTATATTTGACATCCGTAAATATGTGCAATAATTCAAATTAATTATTATAATTTTCAGAATTCATCAACAATATAACCATAACAAAAATAAGGACAAAAAAAGGCGAAAGACCGCGAACGTTCGAGACTTACCGAATACACGACTTGGTGACGTCACAAGACAAGATGGCGTCCACCGACAATTCGACCTCCAGCCAGATATCTGCAACCGAAGATCACAAGCGAACGGTCGACGAAGCTTTCCTCAACAAGATGAAAGGCCTCGTCGAACGTCTGCGGCTCGAGAACTCAACCTTGAAGAAGTCGCTCGACGTCGAGCGGAGCGAAGTACGAGCACTCAAGGCCCGACACGAGAGTTCGATAAGAAACTTAAAGACTGAATGGAAGAAGAAGGAAGACCTACTAGAGAAACAACTCAGAACTAACAAGACCGACAAAGTTGATGATCTAGCTAATAATAAATTGATAGAACTTAAAAGATTGACGACAGAAATTCAGTCTTTAAAAACAGCGAACAAGGGTCTTCAAGAGAAACTCAAGGTTTGTAGCATTTTAATTATTATTTTATTGATATAACTAGAACTAACGAGATTAACGAAATGACTAACTATATGATTAGACAATAAAACACTTTTTTTGAAAGATATAGAATAAAACTTCCATAAAAAAGACGAGAGCGCTCACGAAGAGTCCAATCAGCAACATTAGGAATACTTCCTTAAGATTTTCCAAGCTTAATGTTTTTTTAGTTTTATTATCACCACCATATAATATCTTCCCATGATTCTGGTAGAGGGTATATTCGTCGGAACGAGTCCAGTAGTCTAAAATACCAGCCTGATTGAGATAGTTCAAAATGTTATCGAGTTTTGGTAAATACGGACTTCCGTATGACAATCCGTATACAACAGAACAAGGCACAGGGCATTCTGTTGTTGTATGAAAGATAGGTTTACCGTCCTTCATGTTGGATGGTTTACGGCTTATGTATTTAGCATCTGAGAACCTTAGCAACAAAGCGTACTGAGATTTTCTTTTATCAATCACATCTTTTATCTGTCTATCGTTCAGTATTACAGTTCTTCTCAATACATCGCCGTAATTTTCCTTGCTAAGACTCTTCTTGAATAAGGTATAATGTCGATTATGAACTCCGAAAGTATAATTTGCGCTTAGTAATTCTGACAGAGTATTCTTATCTGGTTTATATCTTGGGTAAGCTATAGCTGATGTTATGATACCCTGAAAGAAGAAATTATATTATATTTAATTCAACTATTTATTCACTGAATAAATATTTATTGAAAGACGTACTTCAATAGCGCAATCTACAACTAACGAATATAATATAATTAGCATAACAACAAATCTGAAAATAGGTCCAATAAATTTGATATCGACCGTCTGGCGTATGAAACATTTCAACAAGTCCACAACAGTGACTGACGTGGAGCGTTTATCATCAATATTATGAATATTCCCTTCCACTTTACGTATTAAAATACACACAAGAATAAACATTACAACATTCGAAACAAATATAAGTAACAGTTTGACTGATATTAATGCTATCGTGGTCATGAAAGTCGATTGATAAATTGATTTCTTGATTAAGAAGCACATTTCATCTTGACCGAACGGGTAGGTTGTGTCGATGTAGCCGTAGTAGGAATTTTTCAATATGCGAGAGCTCAGTTCTAGGTCTGTGTAGCCATCAAGAAGATCGGCTGTGACCCCAGTAGCAGTACCGTTGGGTAAAATATCTCCTACAGTATTCCCGTCTCTCGGAGCAAGAGGCTTACAAGTAGCGTTAAGATCTTTCATAACCGTCGCAGCTAATCTTGAGTTACATTGCAGTGGCCCTGTCTCATCTGATGTGTATATTTTTCTAAACACACTTAATCTTAATTCAAAACCTTGAAGATCTTCGTATTGTCGTAAAAGTAGATCAGTTATGTCCGGGACGTATGTTACATCTCTGATTTTCTGTGTAAAGGGATTATACAAATATATTCTTAGATGGTTCGACCAGATTAATACGACAGAATTTGCAATGTTCCTTGTCCAAAGCATTTCGAAATGTCTTAACATGGAATAGTGAAAATAGCTATCCACTTCTATGGGACCGTTCAAAACAAAAATCACTGTCGATCTCGGTTTAAATACTCCAGTTCTTGATAGTGCTTCTATTGCATATTGGCTTGATTCTAAGGTTAATTCATTTGATGTGACTATATAGGCTGTTTGACCGTGTTTATTAAGTCTAGGTTTAATTCTCGTTGTATTCGGATCTTGGCATCCGTTCAACAGCATGACTGGATAACCATCTCCGAAGGTCTCCGTGTATTTTAGTATGCTGTTTTCGAAGTACGTAAATTCACAGAACGTTATAGTGAAGAACCACTGCTTGAAAGCGTTGAAGATTTTGTCGACCACCTCCCTCGCCATAACAGCTTTCATATAAGTTTCATTATGATAAGTGAATACTTCGTTATATAATACATCAGATTCGTTAAAACAAAACGTAGAGTTCACAAGAGCAGTAATGAGTAGGATTTTTAACATTGTGAATCACGTGTACTTAGTCACCGGGACTGAGAAAAAATGACTAGTTTAAGGTCAATTTTATATGAAAGTGGAGCGAATGACCATTAGCAGAATGTTAGATACATTGTGTGTAAAAGCCGTCAATTACAGCCCAAAGAAAATATTGTTATCGTTTAATTGTGTCCAACGTGCCAGTGCATAAAGCTGTATACAAGACCCATCGAATTTGAATGATTAAAGTGGGGTGGACATTTTTATATCCTATAATTGATGTTATTACAGCCAATGAATATTCGTATATTAATATATTCATTCAATATTCACCAATGAGAAGCTATTACACGGATTCTTATTCACAAAGCGCAGTACGTAATAAAATAATACTGTAGTTATAAACGAATATTATGTTTTTTAATCAATTTCATGAAATATTTATAACATTTTGTGTAGTAAATGTTAATAAAATCTACTAGATAGTTGAATTAACCTGACTTTAGGTTTGAAATAATTAAAATTTTAATCAAAATCAGTTGTTTTGATAAAATGCCAATGTCTGAGACTGAATATGAAGTTATTTATTTTTAAGTTTCATTGTGTATTAAGTTCGAAGTTCCCCTTGAGTTCTTTTTGTGAAATATAGGTGAATAATAACATATTGCGAAAGTTTTATTAAAAATTAAAATAAAAAATATTAAAAATGAAAATGAAAGTAAATATTTTCAACGTCTGATCAAATTTAAATATCACATATTTACATCCACGATCCAACATTCAATTTTAGTCGGAGAATTTTATAAATCTTAAACAACGTCTAAAAATTAAATATTCTCAAAGAATATTCTACATATGATTCGATATTAAAAAGAGGTACATGTATAAATGTTACAATGTACAGGTGTGTAAAAGTTGAATACCCTTTTACATGAAAATTATCGAAGAAGTTTTAAAGACACCTTTGTGTAACATATATTATGAATTAGATAAAACTACCTTACAATATACAGACAAATTGTTATATTTTGCAACAATATTTCTGTTCGCAGGCGACACCGGTAAATTCGTCATATTTTACATCAACAATGTTTAATTGTAGTTGTTAATTATTTTATTATTTGTTTGTTTTTATGGTTTCAGGTTGCCCAAGCGGCGGAATGCGCCCGCGCGGCGGAGTTGCGAGCGCAAGTCGCGAAGCACACCGCGCTGGAACAAGCCGCGAGGAGAGATGCGCGTGCGCATACACACAAACTGGTCAGATATTATATAAACACACTCTTTAATATTAATTAAAGAACTCATAAAAATCACTACATATATAATAAACATTATGAAACTGACATTTATAAGGAAAATATATTAAGGAATAAATATATTAAAGAAAAACAAGTAACTTTTTAGTTACGTTTATTAATAATTGTTTTATCATTTTAATATTTTTTTATTTGAGACTATTGTATTGTAGCTGGTTTATTATAAACAGTTATTCAATTTTTAAAGTTACAGAAGGCATATTCTTTTAAATAACTTTGCGTGAATCAATGTCTTGAGTGTGGGTGTAGGTCTATTTCAGTACAAACCTTAAGGTTAACTTGGTAATTTAAAGCCATTCTAATTACAAAGCTGTTTGTCGTTTATTTTGCATTACATATTGTCATGTTGGGTTTGTTTAATTTTTATATAATTAAGAAACATCAAAAAATTAGTCAGCGCCTGCCAAAATAATATAGACAAACTTTATATTAATATTTCGGGAAGGAAGAGTGAAGATCTATAAATTTGACCTTATTCAGACGCAAATTAGCGGTAAATCTAAATCTCAATATCATTGTAATTGTTCTTGTATATTACGAAGTAATAAGTAGTAACTTTGTATTGGGGAGCGTTCAAGTATTACGTAACGCAATTTTGGGGGAGGGGGGGGGTCTCGTAAAACGTTACGATGCGTTACTGGGGCGGTAGGGGGTGTCTCTTACAAAACGTTACGTAGCATTGTTTCTAAAAAATATTAATAAAAACCCCCAAACTGGCAACTCTTTTCATATACATTACATTGTTGACCAGATTGTATTAGTCTGGTCGATATTTTTATTTGTTATTCCAAGTTTGCAAACCTCATATTATCAATTATTTTACGGGGAATACCTAGATTGCATTGTCTTTTGATGAAATTGATCACTTGAGTGTTACGTAACGTTTTGAGAAGGGGGGGGGGGCTACAGAAAAACGTTACTGTGCGTTACGACGGGGGAAGGGGGGGTCAAAAATCTTCGAAAATTGCGTTACGTAATACTTGAACGCTCCCTAATGATTATTATATATTCATATGTAATAAAATATGTTAATTGTTTGTAACAGCTGGAGGAAATCAAATCAAAGGAGCGGGTGATCATACAATTGAAGAGAGAGGCGGCGCGGGCGTCTAATGATCAGGTAAGGTTTGATTTGAATAGATTAAGAAAATGTTTACTGCATCATCATGAATGCATGATGCAAGTAAAAACAAAACAGATCGTACTATGGTACGATATTGAATTTGCTTTAAAAATCAATGGATTATACATATCAAAACATATTATTTAGCAAATTTATAGGTATATGAACAAAAAAACAATGTAACACATTCCAATCAATCGTAAGTATGATAATCTTGTCTTTAATGATGGTATTCGCCAATAGATGGCGCTGAGTAGCATTACAATTTCATATTTAGTTCGGACACCTAAAGATAGGTGGAGTGATGGTTTTGTATTTAAAACTCTACTGGAAAATTATGTATATACAAAAGATAGTCCAATATTTATAAAAAACATTTATCCTATAAATTACTAATTATACCTTTGCTATTTATAAATAAATTTTATAAACTTAATCAATATAATTATTCTTAGTCTAAATAAGTCATATATATTTTTAACTGTCACAGAATATAAAGCATATTAATTTTAATCACCCGTGTAGACTTAATAAAATCGTTTGAATATGAAAAATGAATGAATTACGATAGTAATCCTGGCAGTACATATGTTAATAAACTAACATATGAAACGTGAACTACCAAAACCTTATTTTTTCGGACTCACTTCCATAGCTCGACGATTTCCATGTTTGTTCACACTCGATGTATGAGCGGGAACCTGTTGGCTGTTACCACTTCTGACTTCTGAGAAGTAACGCTAAATGTGCATTGAGCTTAGGTTACACCCACGATATAGACTAAAAATATTTAAAATAAAATGATTATCATTTTTTTGACATTGGCTGTATGATAACTTTTTTTATTCTGTTTGATTTTAGAACGAAACAGAATTTTAAATTTAAAATGTCATACTTTGTTTATGTAATTTACTATTATTTTTGTTAATATGATGCGTTTGTTATTGTTCATATTTGTTAAATTCACTACTGTTTGTTGTGTTTTTAGCTGTATAACCTGTTATTTGTAACTTGATACGAGTAACTGAATCCCTAACTACGGCTTCCCATGGTATACGCTTCAGGGAAATCTCAGCTAAGCTTTAATAACATATTCATGTCAGTTTTAATATGAAAATAATCTTTTTCTAATTTAGTTCTTATGTTTAATTATTTTTAAGTATACATTTCGTCTTTCATGATAACGGTTGCTGCAATGTAATCGAAAAGTAGGGAGTATGTTGTTAAAAAACAAATATAAACGAAAAATATTAGGTTTATATCTATGATATATTGATTCATGGAGTCGTAACAAGTTTTTTTTTAACATTTTGAATTTGCCAACAGTATAAAATATGTAACTTTGTCATGTCATTTGTCATTGTCATGTTATAATCAAACAGCCAATACATTTATTTTAATCAAGGATTAAGTCTTCACTAATAAGGTATTATGTTTTCCCACGCTTGTCCTCATTTATAACTCAATTGTTGTTTTATATACCTACAGTGCATATAAAAATCAAATGTCGTTAATTAGTAGAGTAACCTTGAAAGTTTAAAACAAAGAAAAATACCTCATCTTAGTATGGTTATTTGATATAAAAAATCACATAAAAGTTAGATAAAGATAGATATTTATTATACAAGAAAGTTAGATTAAGCAAGATATTAAATTAAACATGAGTTAGTTGCTTGGTTGGTTCTTTTAATTATTGCCTTCATCCGCGCAAAGACGTGCACTATTCTGCCAGTGTCGTGTATAAAACTTATTAGAAAGATAATTGTATCTTGATTTATATTTTTATTATTTGTTTTGTATATTTACTAAATATTGATTTAGTACATAACTTCATAATAACATGTCAAAAATTCGTTGAAATGTCAAAATAACTGACAGGACGTATGTATGAGGATGAATGGAATTTGTAAATCGTGTGAATGCCCCGAAGCGGTAATTTGGTCCATCCACGGATCATTTGAAATAATTATAAAGACGAGCTGGATTACTACATTTCAATTTGTTACTTTTTTTTAAAAAGAATAATTGAAGAAAAGAATTCAAGATTTCTGACATGTAATAATGTGATATAAATTCAAAATAATATGTCAATGTCTCTTAAAAATAGATAGGAAGTTACATAAATAATTTACAATATCTAGTGCTGTTGTTCCATATAGTTTATTTAAATGATATAATAATTATGTTTTCATACTTTTGTTATTATTATTACAGCAATTTCGGCTGTTTGTCTGTGTGCAATTTTTTTTTTATTTGACAACTAACAAATAAGTGAGCGAATCCAAACTCAAAAGCAAAGCTATTTGCAATAGAAACATCTGCATTAAACTTATATTTTCAAAAATGTTTTACTTATACAGGAATGTATTTAACATTCGTTTATATTGTATGATATTTTATATTAAAAGTAAAATACAAAACAGATTGTATCAGAACGGCGACAGAACAAAGTTTTATTGTCAAAGTTTATTACATCACGTAAAGATGGCATTTCAGATAGCCAATATCTGTTAAGTCTTTGACTCCGTTTAAGGGCTAAATATGACGTAATTATGCACTGCCAGGTAAATAAATTACTAACTCGCTTCTACCGGCGTATATTCTTCATTGATAATATCATTTTGTTTTTAATGAATACTAGAAGACCTGGCGAACTTTGTATCGCCCTATAATCAAGAAATATCTATTACGTTTTTTTATTTATATTTTTGGAGTTTACCTGTAAGCCATAAATCTCCGTGTTTTGAAGTGCGACAGAATGATTGACATATTAGTTAGTTGTCAAACCTAATGTCAAAAAAAACGTTTGTATGGGAAATAGAAAAGGGCTGTTTTTATGGTTTTCCCAGTAATGAATCAATTTTTTTTCACCTTTTATACCTTCCCTGAACCTCCACGAACATTTCAAGACTAAGATAAGATAAATCCGTTCAGCTGTTCTCGAGTTTTAGCGAGACTAAGGAACAGCAATCCATTTTTATATATATAGAAGATTACTATTAGTCTCCCAACTTGTAAGATTGCGTAAAAGCAATGTTTTTCATATTCATTCATTCTCTTTATGTTAATATAAGTAGCAAAATCATTCATATCCATAATTTCAAGAGTTGCTTACTCTATGTCCAATTTTTTTTCTTCGACTTTGGAAAAAATTAAAACTATCAATAACTTTATGTAAACACCAACCAGATAAAGTTGAAATTTAGAGATAGTATCCAACTTTTTATATAGAGATTATAATAAAACTTTAGATTCCATACACTTTTAATTACTCACATAAACAAAGCATACGAATAACTTTTTGGTTGCTAGTGGAGTGAGTAATACTTAAGTGGCTTAATTTTTTTATCAGTTCAACTAATCATTTTTAACTGAAAGGATTTCGAAATTATATTTTTTTGTTATCGTCCATATCGGTCATTATGGTACCAAAGCATATTTTTGGAAATGTACGACTGTTACTAGAACTTAACTTTAACTTGTATGAATTTTCTTATTAATAAAGATTTTATAATATTTTTCCTTTTGTTATCGAAGTCGATCTAAAGCTTTGTTTTTATTTCGCTTGAAGGAACAAATTCCTTTTTTACCTTAAATAGTATGTTATCCAAATAAGTATTAAGTCTTAAATACATGTCATGTAGCGTCGGAGGAATGGTGCTTAATTAGTAATTTTGAACAAAACATTATTTTCTGACGAGAGTAAACCCATCGACAACTTCCGTCTAATAGGATGTGTGTTGACTTTTATCACAGGAAATTGATCTTGACTTGAATGAAGTATGGGTTAAAGCTTCAAAATACTGAAGGACGTTATATTTGTAAGACATATCAGGACAGATTATAAAAACAATATTAACGAAATAAAAAAAACACTAATTGATTTAAATTGACAGTTTTATTAATTTAATCTGAGTATAGTTTGCATACATACAAGGAAATAATTTTAATATTGTTTGCTATCTCATATAACAACATATTATTTTTGAAAATGTTTAATATTCATGCCATGGGTTACATTATAATTTACACAAAATGGTTTTAAGGATAACGGTATCAATGTTACAAGGAAAAACTACATTGTTATTATTTTAAGCAATGATTCAATAACAGTACAGGGACATAGCACGGTTTGTATTAATTATTATTTATGAAAACATTACGAATTAATGGTTTTATATTAATAAAACATTAATATTGCGACAAAAATAAAAGGAATCTAAATAAATTTATTTTAATTATATTGTATAATAACAAAAATCAAACAATACATTGTGTAAGGGACAAAAAATTAATACAACATTATCAAGTGCGGTCGCGGTCCGTTGCACCGGCTTAATAGACCCGGAGTTCAGACCGATTCCAGTTGCCGCGGAGTGCGCACGCGCGTAGCCATCTTGTACGACCGACTTGCCATTCCCGCGTATTCAAATAACGTCTCATGTGTGTATTGTTTAACTTTGTGACTGTGTTTTAATAACTTTATGTTTATTATTAATTTAACATTCGTTGATGTTTATGATTTTGACTGTGTGAGGTGACTGAGTCGTGAACTAGCTTTGATTATTTGTGCGACTTCGTATTTCGGATTTACTTTCTATTACTGTAAGTACCTGTTTTATTGTTTATGTTTATCTCTCATTAGTGGAGAAAGTCGAATTTTGTTTTAACAAATTGGTAGAGCTGATCCCATTGGCATACTTTGAGTTGTCTACCGGTCAAACGAGTCGCAGGTCAATATTTATACAAATATCTTCAGTTTAACAGTTAACAGAAAGTATGAATACTCTAATATTGAACCACTATGTAGAAACTACAATTCTTACCTCTAATAATATAATTTTGAATGAGGCATGTCATTGTAATATAAAATTTGATTTCAATAAGGAGACATCAACAACTGTTTCCTTACTTTATATTCAGATTGTATTTTTTGTTGAATAAAGACCGCATCACTAAGTGAACATCACACCCTTTGTCTTTAAACTATGAAGAATAAACTTTGAATATTTTATTACTTATGAGTCCTTAGAATTTAAATATTATGAATTTCCATGTCCGGCGTACAATTACTATTTTTATTGTAGTCTGTAAGATTTATAAGCTGCAGGCACGTTGCATTCAAATGTACGGTTTATTCTAAAAATTATAAAAAAACCGGTTATTTGGATACGTGATCCGTTTTCGTTAGCGGCTCTACACATCTCTGCAACAAAGGCATCTGGATAGGCATGTCTTTTTAGTATGAATTAATTATCAATCGTCAAATATTACGACTACAAGTGTTTGAAAATACTATCTATATAACAATTTTATTATACAAATATGTAAGTTTAAAATCCCATACAAGGTCGGCTAATCTTTTCGTCATATATAATGTATAAGGAAGTGCAATTTTAATTACGCTCAAAGTAAAACAATCTTTTAAGCAACATCTTATATGATAAATGGTAGAAAATGTGCTCTAGACAGCTCATTACAGCAAATTCTCAACATCCTCAGCTGTCTGAGCTAAAATTATCTTATTAAAATAGGAATTGACAATATATTAATATTCGTATATTATGAAATATTTGTTAACATTAATTTATTGTGATAATAATAATATAAATCTATTACTTTTGAAGTATGTTTTAATTGATTACGATAATACTTACGTCGTTCTACCAGTAACCAGAATTTCTGGATATGATTTGTGGCAAATTTCTTATTAGTCAATAAATTACTTACAGCTCTATTAGGGAGTAAGTTAAATACGAATTTACCTTAATAAGGTTTTATTGTTATTATTTAATATTATTAGTGTATAGTATATTGACCCCAGGCTGACAGTTTACGTAGTAATCTTCAAGTAACAATAAACCCTGTTTCGTTAACCATAACCGTGTTTGTGGAATGCCGCTTAGCTGAGTTCACTATAATAAATAACTGTCTGTTCTGTGAAGAACTTTCTACGGTTTTGATGCACTTGAAACTATGCTTTCATGGTGTTTCAAGCTAGCCATTATACTTGTAACACTTAACAATACTGTATGTGTATTAAATCTTTATTATAAATAATTATTGCGTCCTAAAATCTTCAATTACTTCAGTTACTGTTACTCATAATTTTCTAAGTATATTTTGTTGGTAAAATATATCCAAATATCTCCTTTTCTCGTATTTTAGTTTGCGTCGTTAAAAGTTTCTCTTTTGTTTTTTAATTATATTATATCAGTACTATTATGTGTTTATCTTTATGTACCTAGTTGTAAAAGCACCGTCCAGTCGTTTAGGTTGTAAAAGCTCATATACTTAAAGTAGCTCAAAAGTGTATACACTTGAGTACCTATTATAATTCGTTTACGCTTTACTCCCAGTAGTCTATTTAATATTTTTTTCAAGTTGTTTTAATATTATGTTTGTTTAAAATTATCCCTCAAAAGTACACCTGCGTAAGTCCTGTGTTAGTCGCCCAAGTTCTAAAATTCATTTCCTTATCTTAATTGAATTGAACAGATGTATTGGAACTACCGAAATATTTCCATTACATTACGTATACATACACAAGTACAAAAAATACGCAGTGAACTATCATTAAGCAGTGAAAGTATTAGGCAATATTTTAGGTCAAATTTTCAATGAAATTAATTGCATATGATTGATGATCGAGCTCAGACACTTGATGGTATTAAAGTTTTTTGTCAAATCATCTAACATTTAAAGTTAATGGTTTGGTATATGTTAGGTTTTTTTTATCTCAAGTCTCCGTCAGGGTAGTGATAAGAATGCGCTCTGATAACACGTAACGAGTAGCTGCAGGCTGACAAATATTTGTATAATAACGTATTTCAGTTAATTTTAAATAATCAGTCAAAAGACTTACTCGGATTATGTATTTTTTTTATCATTATAACCGGTTTTACCGCGGTTCAAGTTTTAATGCTTTATTATTATTAATAATTCATAATATTTAGCATTATATATTTTTTTTGTGAATGATAAAAAAACCTCAATTTATGTATACTGTCAGTAAAGAGAATTTTTTATCAGTAGTTTAGATAATGAGATTCAAGATTTTCGCGAGTTTTATTAATTTAAATGAAACTAATATTTTTCGGATATACCTACTACTCGACTTTATTTTTGATAAAAAACTACATACCTCGACATTTCGGCTAATTTTCAGCAACCCTGATCACGGGCAGACGAGATGTGCTTATAGGAAAAATATTAGTTTCATTTAAATAAGGATCTTATAACAGTTTTTCAGGCTGTATAAAAAATATAATTTTTTATTAACCAGGTACTTCAGAATCGTAGAGCTGTTAAATTTGACTGTGTACCCGTGGGAGTGTCAAATTAGATTCACTCTTTCTATCACTCATTTTAATACATCGTTGTAATCATAGAAAGGAAATAGCCGCTGGATTGTTTTATTAATGCTATTGTTTGTTTATTTGCATTGAATGGACTATGAATGAGTGCTTGGGATTTATTGTTTATAGAGTTCAGGTAATAGGTTCTCTTTTTATCAGTACGGTTATTGAGATACTAGTTTTAGCCCGCATCTTCATATCTGTTTCAAATGTGTTTAATAATGTTATGCTGTGTGAGAATCATTATTCAAAAGTTTCTTTGAAATCTGTTCTAGGAAAACTATAGAGATACATTTTCAAGAGATTTTATATGTGAGATTAATAATACGAAGTAAAATATATATTTACAAGCTAAGATTTAACGTATTGTTTTGGTTTATTTGTCGTCTCCAAGTAGTAAATACATACACACACATACACACACACACACACATACACATGCACAGACACTCACACACCTTCACAAACCATATATAGATCAGGATGGATGTCGTCATCATTTCCCATAGATCATGTGGGTACACTTTACAGTAGGAATCCAAGAAGTGTAACAGTAAAACGAGAAACGTAATCTCATTTCCACAGCAATATGTTCCGTTAACATCTCGCTCGCTTGTTTAGTAATTGACTGGCATCCGCCAACTTTGATGCTAAATATTACTTATGTTTTCAATGACATACGTAGATGATGAGAAGATAGTGAGAAGGAGTCACTTTTATACTAGTATCTTCTTGTACCTTCTTCGTATAAAAATTATACATAGCTTTAATTACAAAATTATTAATATCTTTAAGTGAATTATATATTCAAAGGCGTCTATTACATAATTCGTCAATGTTTCTTATAATATAAAACCGATTTTATAAAATAATTGGTTATATGTGTCCAAAATAACAGCGACTATTGCGTGTCACGAGAAGGCCGACATTATGAAATCGGGTACGGCAATAGTAGAATGCGTTTTCATAGTAATTAATTAATTTAACTCTAAAGTTATAATATTTCTCATATACTTTGATAATTATAAAATAAATTTCATTTTAGTTTCAATTTTATGTATTTTTTTATGAAGAAAAAGTTTTTCTTTTTAAAAATATCGTTTAATATAAATTGTGCGTGAAACAAGACAAATTCTTATGAATATGTATATTAAAATGTCCAAAAATGTTTATTAATTAGAAAAACATATTTCTAGACTTAATTTTTTACAAAACCTTTGAAAACAACCAATTATATAACATTTGATAGAAATCTAAAGCGCGCATTATTTACATACGATTTCCTTGTTTATGAAAGGATTTATTGCGTATGATAAGATAAGGTATCGCCAAAGAATTTTTAATCATAAATTTAATTTTAAATCATTTATTTCTGGTAAATTTCTCTTAAATGTCCGTTATGAAGTCTAATTGTATATAATATGTATGTATGTTTTATCATTTTACAAGCGACTTCCGATAACCATAGCTTGCTTAGACGCCATTGCAAGTTAACATTTTCATCTTTAATAATTGCTGAAGAAAGTGCCTGTATAAGGAAAGTTAATAAGTGTGACTGATAATAATTATAAATTACTAACTTCTGTCCGCGGTTTTACTTAGTTTTTTATTTTGTATTTACTTGTTCCTTCTATGTATTCGTGAAAACATCGTCAGGCCGAGTTCATACAGACTTTCACATCTATAGTATTAGTAGATTAGGATACTTACATTCATTATTTTATTAAGTCGATTTATTTTATTGTTTTTTTCACGTTTAACTAGGTTATGCTCGCGATTTTGTTCGTATGAACTTCGGAATTGGATTCACAGAGAAACGACTAAGGTGTCTAAATAAAATAGCTATGAAAAGTCACCGGAAAAGCCCTGTATCGTTTCTGTTGTGTGACTTAATATATATTATAAAATACAAATTCAAAATCAGTGGTGGCCTAATGGTTAGAGGGCCCGACTCTCGTTGCCGAGAGTGCGGGTTCAATCCTGGCCCGGGCAAGTACCAATGTGATTTTTCCGAGTCATATGTACTTTCTAAGA